TCACAGCCCTAAAGAAAGTCCCTCGGACCAAACGCCTCCCTCTTAAGGGAGGTCCAAGAGGTCAAAACAGGCTTCGCTCTCTGCACCAGCTCAACAGCCAATCTATTAGCCCTTGAAAAACAGAAAGCCATTATATCATCCGCAATCGGAGACTGCAAAATTGAGGCCCAAGAGAAATGGACCACTTACCGTCTAAACTACGTCCCCAAGAAAGTCACCATCTTCAATGACCAATTCAAAATAGACTCCATTTTAGTTACAAAAGATACGATCTCCGACGCTATAAAGGAATACTCTGGTCAGGTGCTTACTCACGCTATCCAATCCCAAACGAACCCCTCACCTAATGAGTATTACTCAACATGGATAGTAAGCTTCAAGACAGGAGCAGAACCACTCAAAAAGAACCTGAAGATTCTAGGGGCCAACATCAGCACATCCCTCCTAGTACAAAAACCAAAGATCACTCAATGCAATCGTTGCTTTCAATGGCACAACGCAAGAACATGCCTCAAATCACAAATCTGCCGCCCTATGCGGTTCGGGAAAGCATACAGAGAGCAATCATACTACCAGTTGTGGTACTGAACACGTATGCCCACCCAAATGCCTTCACTGCAACGGCCCCCACCCAGTAGATGACCCCAAATGCCCCCTTCGCCCACAAGGGAGAGAAAGGAAATCAAAATCAGAACGCCAGACAATCCGGAAGATATACCTCGAAAACAGAAACTCTGTTTGTGTAAAGGCTGGATGCTCAAAGCCATCATCCGATGCACAAATGGCCGACTCCCCTACCCCTCCCTCCCCCTCGGACCAACTTAGGCCAAGAACCCCCACCCGCCTATTCGGCTCCACTCACTCCACAACCCTCTTCAGCACCCGCTCCACTAATCGATTTGCAACAATCGCCAACCCAACCCCTATCCCGTTTAATGAACTATAAACCGCTTACGATAACCCAAACCAATGTAGGTAAAGGAGGGATCTCACACGATCTCGTCCTCAATCTAGCAAATATGGATCAAATTGATATCATCACGATCCAGGAGCCATATATATACAAAGATACCTCAAGAAAAATCACCAAAACTCACCCCTCCTACGAAATCTTCACTCCATTAGACGATTGGAAGGAAAACCCTCGTGTCCTCACCTATATCAGAAAAGAAATAGGAATTCAGATCAACCAGATCAGACCGATAATCTCCAGAGATCTAATATTTATACAATTAATATCTACAAATAATACAATATTTACCATTATAAATATTTACAACGCTCCAACACAATGCACAGATGGCAATCAAGCCATCAAGGCACTCTTTGAACTCCAAAACTTCCCAAACAACGCCATCCTACTAGGCGACTTCAACCTCCACCACCCCAACTGGAATCCCCTCCATCCATCCCCTTCAACGCTAGCCGAACCCTTTGTAGAATGGTCAAACTCCCGGAATCTACACCTCATCTCCCCAATCGGAACTCCTACTCACTCAAAGGGAAACGTCTTGGACCTCACCTTCCTCTCAGGGCCCTATACAGCGTATACCGCCCTCGCTGAACAACTAGAGTGCACCTCAGATCACAGCACCCTAAAAACCTACCTTCACTGGAATTACCGAAGCCAAAAGCCTGCAAAGAAACTCAAGCTAAATACATTGAATGAAACGCTCTTTAAAGACCTACTAGAAACTAATCTCACCAACATTGCAGCTATCCCCAGGACACCCTCTCTAAGAGACCTAGATCAAGCCGCATCATCCCTTACACAAGCCCTTACAAAAGCCTATACAGGATCTGCAAGAAGATCCATAAACGGGCCCCTTCAACAACCTTGGTGGAACAAGGACTGTATAAAGGCTGTGTATAAACATAGAATCACCAATACACCTACATCCAAACGCTCTCTTCGGAAAACAGTCCGAAAAGCAAAACACACCTTCTATATTACGAAAGTGGATAAAGTAGAAGATATAAACGATGTATATCGAATGGCCAAATGGCATCAATCCACAGGAATATACCGTACCCCCCCTTTAGCAGATCTATCAAAACAAACCATTGCAAATACTATCGAAGAGAAAAGGGAAACCTTCGCCAACAACCTACTGACAAACCTAGCCGAGGTTGACGACATCCCGTTCGATACCCCTACAGCCCCAAGTAGATCTATCACCTTCCCTGATATAGCTATACAAGATATAGAGCTGGCCATTCTAAAAGCAGGGAACACAGCACCTGGCGCAGACGAAATCCCAACAAAAATCCTACAAGTCGCATGGCTACAGATAAAAGAAGTAACCCTATCCCTTTTCAAAGGCTGTCTACACCTAGGACACCACCCAAAATGCTTCCGATTAGCTACCATCGTAATCATCCCTAAACCCAACAAGCCAGATTATACCAACCCAAGATCATACCGACCAATTGCCTTGCTCTCGGTCCTAGGCAAAGGCCTCGAAAGACTCATTGCGAAGAAGGTATCATGGCTTGCTCTAAACTACCAAGTCCTAGCGAACCAGCAGCTCGGAGCTCTACCCTTGCGATCCTCAGTGGACCTCACCACTTGCGTTACACACGACATTGAGGCATCCTTAAAACAAGGGTTAAAGACCACCCTGCTCACAATGGATGTAAAAGGTGCTTTTGACGCAGTGCTACCAGGAAGACTAGTGAATCGCCTTCGGGAACAAGGATGGCCAAACAACCTGGTTAGATGGGTTCAGTCCTTCGCCACTAATCGATCCATCAAGATCCGACTAGACGGCGAGACTGGCCCGGAAACAAAGCTAGAATGCGGTCTTCCTCAAGGTTCACCGATCTCCCCGATCCTGTTCATGCTCTACATCGCGCCTCTCTTCTGGATGGGCAAACCACAGAGCAGATTCGGATATGCAGACGATATCGCGATACTAGCGACATCAAACTCACTACAGACAAACTGCGATTCTCTAAAAATGGATATGCAAGAAACTCTCGAATGGGGAAAAACCGAAGGTATCACTTTTGACCCCAAGAAATCTGAGCTTATACACTTCTATAAAGGACACCGAACACTAACGGATACCCCTGCAATACACACCGGATCTATGAATATAGAGGTCAAACCTGGCCCGCTCAAATGGCTCGGAGTCCACTTCGATAGGAAACTATGCTTCAAACCACATGTCCAGATCCTCGCAGCCAAAGCCCTCAAGGGAGCCAACGCACTGAGATCCCTCAGCAATACACACCGAGGGATACCCCCATATCTCACCAGGAAAGTGGCTGAAGCCTGCATACTCAAAAAGTGCTATTTCGCCTCGGAAACGTGGTGGCCAGGCCGAACCAGAACAAAGAAGAATGCCCTAAACAACCCGATCTCGATCTCAAATGTAGTGGACAGCCATCTAAGCTTACTCAACAAAGTGGTAATCACCTGTACAAGGGCAATCCTCCCAGTATACAAAACCACAAACACAGCAGTACTCTACGAGGAAGCCAAACTCAGACCATCCGAGATCGAGCTAAACCTGATTTCACAATTATATGCGGCACGAACCACCAGACTAGACCTTTACCATCCTCTCAGGATCAGAGCAGAGAACATAACCAAAGCCAGAGAATATAACCGCACCCCAGATACAAGATTCGCAAGGCTCATCACAGCATTACCGGAGACTGAACACATAAACCCCTTGGCCTTCCCACCCTGGGAAATCAGAGAGTCGAGGGCAGAGGCCGAGGCCCGCATCAATGGTCCGATGGGCAGAACGAAGGCACAAGCAGCCGAAGACTTCAAAGCCTTCCACGCCAAGATCCCAAGAAGCGATATACAAATCTTCTCGGATGGCTCAAAAAGTGAAAGCAAGGATGGCGCAACTGGGGGCGGATTCGTAATCTCACAATTCGATATTCAGATAGCACATCATTCTTTCTCATTAGGCACAAATGCAGAAGTGTTCGATGCAGAAGCCACAGCCGCAGTAGCAGGGGCAGCAAAAGCCCTCACTCTAGCATCAACCAAACTGGCCACAGATCTCTGGATCTTCTTAGACAACCACGAGGCTGCTCTCCGATTAGGATCCCACTTCAATGGTTCCTCACAGAGAGTCTTTGAAGACTTTCTGAAGCTCACACAAGCTTGGGCTGTTAGACCAAGGCTCCCACACACCTCCCCCGGGAAAATCCGCGTCCGATGGGTCCCAGGGCACCTGGATATCCCTGGCAACGAAATAGCTGACAAAGCCGCTAAGGAAGGAACAAAACTCCCCTTTCCCCTCAACCCGATCTGTACGCTAGCATCCCTAAAAAGAATGATCAGAACAAGGGCCAACAAAGCAGACGAACAATTATGGAATACAGTCAGCCCACAATACTACAAAGATCTCCAATTCAACCACACTTCTAATACAGACACCCTCTCTCTGAAGAGAGCCACACTCCACCATATTCTCGCTATCAGATCACAGCATGGCGACTTCGCAGCATACCATGAACGCTTCAATCACACTACAGCCCACGTCCATTGCTCGTGCGGTAAAAGGAAAACTCCATTACACTTTTTCTTTTGCAAAAAAGGAAAAGCCTTCAAAGCGCTCACAAAGAGCCCCCCCTCCGAAGCTATCCCCTGGCTTCTAAGAAATCCCACCGGTATAGCCAAACTAGCCGAATGGCTAGAATACACCAAGTTCTACACAAAAATCTGCCCGTGGCACACAGGTGCAAGATAAAAAAAAAAAAAAAAAAAAACTTTCTTTCTTTCATTGGATTCAAACGGAGTTAATGGGTCTCTAAGGCTGCTTTTCCTTCCTCTTCTTTCCTCTCTTTCATCTTTCCCTTTTCTTTCATTAAAAAAAAAAAAAAAAAAAAAAAAAAAACAAGCATGCATACGAACAACCAAAACAAGTACGAGGAGACAGGGAGAGAGATCAAGAGGTAGTGATCTAGTGGACGAGGATGACCACAATTACAACCCCAAAAGGCCTACCGGCCCAAACCCCCCCTGCGAAGGCAATCATGTAAACCCTGCCCTAGCCCCCTTTAAATTGTATAAAAATACTCCCCCTAGCTAGCTAGTAAACCACTCAGAGGCTTCTCCTCTGAGCGTCATTTGTCCAAAACTGGAATAGATGGCTAAGGTTATCACGCGCCAAGGCGCGTGGGCCCTACGGCCTATGACGATAAACACAATCAATCAATCAATCAATCTCTACTCTGGTTTTCCTTCTTCTTTTCTCCTTAGCTTAGTATTTTCTAATACAGGATACTTTACCCAGTATTCCTTGAGTGTGACAAAGATAATGATGTGATGATGTGTTAATTCATAAGTTGTTGCTTGTTTATCGGCGTTTGCCCTTGTCTGTAGGTGCAGGCGGATGCTATACAGGCGAGTGCTATGCAGTTGTGTAGTTGTGTAGTTGTACAATAGTTGTAGTTGGTTCTAGCTATGATTCTAGTTATGGTTTGAGTTTGTGTTTGAGGATTATTGGATATTATTAGGGTAATGGATAAGAGGTAGATAGTTGGATAGGATAAAAGTAAAAGTAAAAGTAAAAGTAAAAGTAAAAGTAAAAGTAAAAGTAAAAGTAAAAGTAAAAGTAAAAGTAAACTCAAACTCGATGATAGGGATTGATATAAATTATATGCACTAGATACCCACTATTAAACTCTAGTCGAGTTATTTTATCAATTTCCATACTCGTAGTATTTTTTTTTAAATGTTAATGGATTAGAATACCTAGTATATACACAAACATACCCAAAAAAGCAAACCATGATCCAAATTCAAATTCAAAGTCCAAAAATCCATAATTCCAAAACAAGAACATAGATGTATGAACCCAACAAAAATATTTCATATGGTATGATAATGATATAAAGATAAAGAGAAAGCCACCAAGCCATTCTACGGGCTATGAAGAACAAGGTATAAATAAATAAAGCCAATATCAACCACCATACACACACAACAAACAACATAATTGGCAGAAAAGACAAGACATGATCCGCCCAATCCTAGCTCCAACTCTAGCTCCGACCTCAAAGCAGTTTGAAAGATGATGAATAGATGAATGGGTGACCATGACGCTAATATGCTAAATAAATGATATGCAGCAAACCAAAAAGTCAAAAAGCCAAAAGGCCAACCAATCTTTTGTCATGGGCTTCGTTAAAATATCGTAATGGTGAGTAGGTAGGTAGTGATCGTAAGAAGTATGAGATTCGTAATGTGATGAGATGAGATGAGATCTGATGAGATTGATCGAATACATAAATCATAACAATCGAGGTATTCGACAAGCTGACAGATGTATGTACAAAAGAGAGAATTAAGTTATCCAGTCGAAGATCAGATGGAAAAGAAGTTGATATAAACTTTGAACTATATCCATGATGATTCGATCAAAATCAGGAGGTATCCAGGTGGCTATGCTACTCAAGGATGCTAGGCCTACTTTTTTGGCCTCGATAACTTCAGCTGCACCTGGTGTCATTAATCCCTACCCATGAAACATTGTGGCGATAATATACGCACAGCTGAAGTTATTTATTCATTCTTTAATTCATATATCTTTCCTCCTCTTATCCTAAGAGAAAGAAGTTCATCAATCTCAATAAGGATTAACATAAGCATATCCTGGCGTAGGAGCATATTGTGGAGCAGCCCTCGAGTTCCTTGGTGGATTTTGTGCAGGCGGCATATGTGGACCTGCTGGGGGTGGCGGTGCAGTCATCGGTCTATTCCTCCCTTCAACCCTCAAACTATCTCTCCTCTGTCTGTCGACGTGCCTTTCTCTGTCGTTTGCAGGAGTTCCAATCCTTCTCTGTTCCCTCCTTCTATCCCTTTCTTCTCCCCCATCCGAAACAGCAGGTGTAGATCCTCTCTGCGGTACAGGCTCATTTAATCTCACTTTTCTTCCTCCACCCCCTAGCGCCGATAAAGGTGGATCGCGTACCCCAGGTTCTTCATCGCTCGGTAAAGTTAATTCAACTAGGCTGAAGAAATACTCGAGGACTTCGGGGTAACGTTGCACGCTTGCGCGCCAATCTTCGTCGATGCCGCGTTTGAGTTCGGAATCAGCTTGGGCAACTTCAGAAGGGTGTGGTCGCGCGTTGTAGTAGTAGGCTGCTCGTTCGGTTATGCGATGTATTTGAGCGGCATGTTCGTCTTTGCGGCGAGTTGTGAGCACGCTGAAGTAAGAAAGTATGTAATCTTGGGCGTGGCCGCGGACCCAGGTTCTGTTTATGAAGAAGGTTAATGGTTTGTTGCTGTATAGGTGATGGATCATTCATGTAAATGATAATGAGAGGATAAAATGATAAGAGTATATGAACAGGAGGGGTATAAGGATGCGTGGGAGACAGTACCTTATATCATTATAAACACTTGACATCATTCTCTGTTCAGCCTGCCTCACAGCGACAGTAAGGCCATTGGCTTCGCACTCGCATTTTGCGATGGCTGGCTGAGAACATATTGCGCAATCCGGATCCATGATCTTGACGTTTTTGTTGTTCCTGGCGTTCTTGATTAACATTATGAAGGGGTATCATCTGATGTGAATGAGGGGTAATGAACAAATAGAGAAAGCTAGTATTGAAGTGAAGAGACGTGGAAGAGATGGTTAGATTAGAGGGTATTGAGGCTCAAAGAGAAGGAAGCATATGCAAATATGAGGAGAGAAAGAAGAGTAAGTGTTTCGGGATCAGGGAGGTCGGAAGTAATTGAAAGAAGATTGGAGGGGGCAAGATGATTCCATAGTTTGTGGTGGGTAAGAGTATGGGGACGAACGGTGAGGTATCTATCGTACTGTATGTATGTATATACGTCGGTGATAGGTAGGTCGCTTGACTGACAAGACGCAATTCGAGATCTTGGAGGGGGAGTGGGAGACCTATCCAAATATCGTATCCTCTGGCTCGCTGGCTTGCTTTTGCAGTGCAGTTCGTGTGGGGTACGGGTTGGAAATGATATTCGAATCAATTGAGATGATCTTAAAGTTAAACTAACCTTTTATAAGTGTATTCCCCTCTCAGCTCCCCTCTTCGATTTGATGCAGCGAGTCTGGATGGTAGGGCAAGAAACGAAACGACACTATATTATGCTATGCTTTCTTGTTTGCTGGCTTGCTGGCTTCGGAACTGCAGATTTCCACGATAGAAAGATCACGCTACGCAAATTTCTGCACCATTCAAAATGAAGATTAGAATATGATGTATGTTGAAGTGTTAAGGAAATCAAAACAAAAAAGACCCCACGACTAACAATGCTAGTATCGTAAATCGTAAGATATAGATGATATGGTATAGTAGTAGACGGGGAGACGCTAAGTAAGGTATGTGTGGTATGGACTGAGTAATGGACGGAAGATAGGAAAGATGGTTTGGTTAGATGTGATGGGATAGGAAGAGACGGGTAGTTGGCATGGAAGAATGGCAGTTCTTCTTTGGAATTCAGATGACAAAAAACCTTGAGGTTACGGAGATTTGACAGCAAAATGTGCGCAACAGGAAGGACGAGTGAGGAGGAGGAGGAGGAGGAGTAGGAGGAGGGAAAAAAGTGAGATGTCGTTATTAGAAAGATGTGCAAGCTTGTCTGCAGGTTCGGCGTGTCGGTTGATGGTGGTGGTCGTGCGTGTGTTTCTGATTTTTTTTTGAGTGGGGAAGAATTTGGGTGAGAATCGCAAGGTGCATGAAGCAAAGGCATGAAAAGAAGTTCGAGAGGGTTAACTTACGCTGTAGCTACCTGATTCCTCGGTACAAAAACTGTATGTACACCTAACACAGACTTAGCTCTACTGCATACCAAACATTATGAGCGTACTCCTCCTTATCACCACTTATCACCACTTATCCCTTACCATCCTTTACTCTTTTGCTATATGATCACCTACCATCCACCTGGAAAAAGATTAATTTGTACCACCTCACACTATCGGCGCACCCAGAAACTACCAACGCACAGTGGCATATGTGGATCATACGCGAGAGGCGAGAAGATACCCCTCAAAAGCTAATAAGATAGAGCAGGGCATGATTTGGTGATTTGATGATTTGACTACATTTGGTTTGATTACACACCTACTGTATCCTACTCTATACCAACTCCGGAAAAAGATTATGAGGTAATCATCCTGATTAGTAGTAGGTTGATTCATATATAGTAACTGTTCTTCAAATAAGCACTCTGTTGCCTATAGGTAGGTAAGTGTACCAAGTGTTGACATTTCAGCGGAGTGCGCGAGTTGTCGTGGCTCGAATGCTTTGATGTGACTTGCATCTCGTGGTTAGAGAATTAGAGGCCAAATGCATGGATTGTTGGTCATGATTATGATATCCGGTTGGGTAGATTCCTAAAGTCCTTTGCCCATTTGAAAAGTTATCTAGATAGTGGCCCGAGAATGAGTTGATGAAAAGCCTTAAAGTAGCTAGATCAGCTAAGTAACGAAGTAAATATTCATTCCTAGGTCGTTGCTTTGAAAAATCAGACTCCAGAGGATCTGGACCAAAAAGATAATGAGGCTATCTTGAGTTCGTAGCATGGCCAATAGAATGCTATAGAATGATTGGGTCCTATGTGCTCCGTATGCAGCCCGAGTCTTTTGTCCTTATTACTGAAGCTTTGGGTGCAATGTGCAGATCGAAATTTAGGAGGTTGGTGAAAGGATGGAGGGTTCTGAGAGTCGCGTCTACTCACCGCTTGTTCGCAGAATCGAGAATCGCGGCAAGAGGGTAAGCCAAAGGTGGGGGATAAGAAAAGATTGAAGCTTGAGCTTGAGCTTTGGAGGGGTGGTGTATGATAGATAGATAGATAGTATTAGAGGGACATATATTGGTTCCGAGACACATCAAAACTGGTCAATGTGAAGATATATATGATAGATGATATCGAGAGAAATCATATTATAATAAATTCCTAGCATTTCAAATACTACCGAGATCGTTAAAAGGGGCTTTAAGAATGAACAAAGCTACCTACCGGTGCGGTATTCACTCATTTCACGCTTCTCATTAAATATCGGGAGTCAAAAATATTAACCGGTAAGTTGGTGGTGCTACGGTGACCGAGAATTTATTATTTGCATCACGATATCAAAAGCATCTTTTTCCACCACTGCAAATAAATCTGCAAGCCAGGAATTGATTCATCGTTCATGATGCCTCCACGTTGCTCAGCTGTGCAAGGCACGTTGACGCCATTTCTGTACCCATTCCTATTTTCAAATACATCTAGGTTGGTCCAGCGAAGCCCCAGAATTCACATCAATGCACTGCGAAGACAAAGTACCTCATACGAAGAACTTGCCTCTGAGTCAACATCCGAAGAATTTGATCGCCTCAATCCTCCTCCTTCCGATTATTCGCGAACGATATTCGCAGACAAAGCAAAAATAGATGTCTATGCAGGTGCTGGTGGCCATGGTTGTATCTCTTTTTTGCGGGAAAAGTATATAGCTGCTGGCCCTGCAAATGGAGGTGATGGAGGTACTGGTGGAAATATATACATACAAGCTGTGCGAGGGGAAACAAGTTTACATAAGCTTGCAAGACGTCGGAATTTGAAGGCGGGTAGGGGGAAAAATGGTCAAGGAAAAACGAAAGGTGGAGAGAGAGGGACTGATATCATTATTGAAGTTCCTGTAGGTACTATTGTACGAGAGCTTGATCGACATGATCCAGCGGCCATTGAGGAGGCCAGGATACAAACGGAAGCTGGCAAATTGGACGGTCACGATCTAGATGGTCCTTATAAATGGGATCGAGAAAGATGGTTACTATACCCGGCTATCACACCTGAAGAGATCGCTACTGCCGAATTTCCTTCATTGCCAAAAGCAAGAAAGTCAAATTTAGCTGCTGCTCAAGTGAAGGGCCCTATTTCGTTAGATCTTTCCATGCCTATGGAACGACCATTGCTCTTGGCCGCAGGTGCTGTAGGAGGTTTGGGGAATCCACATTTCGTCACTAAACAAGTCCCAAGACCAAAGTTTGCGACCAAGGGTGAAGCGGGGCTACGAATTACCTTGGAGCTCGAACTCAAACTTCTTGCCGATGTGGGACTTGTTGGACTTCCTAATGCTGGAAAGAGTACTTTGCTACGAGCTATGAGCAATAGTCGAACGAGAGTTGGAGATTGGGAGTTCACTACTTTGGAGCCGAACATTGGAACTGTAGTTATTGATGACAATAAAGGAAGACCTCTAGCTCAAGTGAATTATGAAAACGGCGAACCAAGAACAAATTTTACAATTGCAGATATTCCTGGATTGGTCGAGGATGCTCATTTGGATCGAGGCCTTGGTATAAGTTTCCTACGTCATGTTGAGCGAGCCCGAGTACTTGCTTTTGTCGTGGATCTCGGAAAGGGCAATGCCGTAGAAGCTTTGAAAGGCTTATGGCGAGAACTCGCTGAGTATGAGCGAATGAAGATTGAAGAGGAAAAAGAGAAGGCGAACCCAATTGTGGAGTGGACTCCCTTCACATCTGTCGAGGATGCTGTGGCAAATCGATCTGAAACAATTGTCATTAATACTGGACCTACTTTTGAGAAATCCCCTCGCACCTAATCTCCCTTCAATTTCCAACAAACCTTGGTTTGTTGTAGCTAGCAAAGCAGATTTACCTGGTACTCAGGATAATTTCCAGGAACTGAAGTCGTACCTTGAGAAAGTCGCAGCCGGAAAGGAAGAGCATCCTTCCAGACAAAAGAACCCTTGGACGGGGAGAGTAGAGGCAATCCCCATCAGTGCAATTCACGGACATGGCGTTGAAAAGATTACCGAATGGACCATTGGCCTTCTAGATGGCTGAGATGTTTACGGATACAGGCATGTATAATATTATGATGCATATTAATGATCAATTCATGTACAAATTTTATTGATTTCTACCAGCTCTTCTCATAATATTGAGATCATATACTTCTGCTTCTGTCTTCATGCATCTTTGACGTTTGACATAGTGGGCTATATCTAGCGGCTCGATTTACTTGATGTCTGTCACAGTGGCGTATGGCCTGATCCCAAGCGGGGTTTAACTTCCCGTTATGTTTCCATCTGTGCTTTTGTCTCTCTTGTCGGGAAATTTTGGCGGTTGGGATGAGACATTGAAGCGGTAGCGATGCGGCGATCCGCTGTCGTGACACCATATGCTTCAACTCCAACAAACCTTTCGAGTCCCAACATCAGATGATTAGTTTGTGCAAGTGTTGGCTGACGGAAGGAACATTCTTCCTAAGTTCCTTGTCTCAGATTTAAAGTCTAAAGCTCCCATCGGTAGCGTTCTTGCCCTCGAGTTATATTCTAGAATCGATGATTCGAAGCTATCTACACACGAAACGATGGATGGAACTTAGATATCTCAACAAAATTCTCCGTGGGACTAGAGGAACTGTGACCACTATGAGCACCGAATTACTCGAATAGAGTTGGATCTACTCATATGGTGAAACAATGAAAACGTGGTTGAAGTATCTCAAAGGCGAGTTGGGATGACATTCACCATTGATAACTACCTTATTGAGAGCGGATCAATACATGATGGGCTTAAATTGGCTGCTTGGAGAAAGGTGAATGAAAGGGTTTGGGAAAGTAGAGTTCATTTTGTTTACTCCGATATCGTCATCGTCCTTTTCAGAAAGATATAAAAGCCCGATCGATCCCATCTTTCAGATAATTTTTCTATCCACAAACAATAATAACACAGCTCTCGATCTACCTCCAACTTCAAACCCTTTCATATACTCATAACATCCTACATTCTGGTTCTCTTGAAGCATCAAAACACTCTCAAAGCACTACAATCAAGTCTCCCCTTTGTACACATCTGTTTGCAAAGTCTTCTTTCAAGATGTCTGCAACTATAGCTACTCTTCCTGAACCTTCCTCTCCACTTGATCCTCAAGCTCTAGCACAAAAGTACCATCTTGAGCGAGAGAAGCGTATTCGTGAGGATGGTCTTACCCAGTACAAGGAGCCCACTGGCAACTTTGCTCGATTCCAAGATGATGCTCTAGTTGACGAGATCGTCCCGAGAGAACCAATCACTGATTCTGCCGAAGTACTGATTGTTGGTGGCGGCTATGGTGGTTTGTTGGCTGCTGCTCGTCTTTCTCAACAAGGTGTTACCAACTTCCGCATTCTTGAAAAGGGTGGTGGGTATGGCGGTACTTGGTATTGGAACCAGTATCCAGGTTTGTGCTCCTCAATCTGACTTTCAATTTTCCCACCTTCAAATTTTGACGATTACTAATTTCAATTGCAGGTGCTCAATGTGATATCGAATCCTATATTTACCTTCCATTACTTGAAGAGCTTGGTTATGTCCCAACTGAGAAGTATGCTCGCACCACCGAAATTCATAAGCATATCGAGATGCTCGTTACACGCTACAACATCAAGGAAAAGACGATCTTTCAAACTGAAGCTAAGTCCATGAACTGGGATGAAGATACTCTTTCATGGAAGACCGAGACAAATCGTGGTGATCACTTTACTTCCAAGTTTGCCATCACAGCAACAGGTATTCTCCACAAGCTCAAGCTACCAGGTCTTGAAGGCATGGAGCTTTTCGCTGGCAAATCATTTCATACTTCGCGTTGGGATTATGGTGTCACAGGTGGTGATGTAAATGGAAATCTCAGCAAGTTGGCAGATAAGCGTGTTGGTGTTATTGGAACTGGTGCAACAGCAGTTCAAATGCTTCCTCATCTCGCCAAAACCTCAAAGCATGTCTACGTCTTTCAGAGAACACCTTCTACAATTAACGTTCGAAACAACAAGCCTACCCCACCAACCTTTTGTCAAAACCTTAAGCCAGGTTGGCAGGAAAATCGAATGGAAAATTTCAATGATCGTATTTCTAATTGTCGCCAGAAAGAAGATCTTGTCGCCGATGGCTGGACTCTCAATCCTGCCACAGCTATCTTAGGAAAAGCAAATGCTTGTACCGATCAAGTAAAATTGGGTCAAATGATGATGATGGCAGATTTCCAACTCATGGAACGTATTCGAGCTCGAGTTGATGAATTAGTTGAAGATAAAGAAACTGCCGAGAAACTCAAACCATGGTACTCATCCATGTGCAAGCGACCCTGCTTCCACGACGAATACCTCTCCCTCTTCAACCGCAATAATGTGCAACTAGTCGACACAAACGGAAAAGGTGTTGATCGCGTATCCCAAGCTGGGGTAATCGTCAACGGTGTCGAATACCCCGTCGATATCCTCATCTATTCCACCGGATTCGAAGTCACAACCGCCTATCAACGTCGCTCAGGGATCACCGTCACCGGCCGCAACGGCCTCCTCCTAGACGATAAATGGAAACTAGGACCCTCCACCTTCCACGGATTCCAAACCCACGGCTTCCCCAATTATTTCTTCTTCGGCACCACTCAATCCGGCGTATCCGCAAACTTCATGTATACACTCACGCATCAATCAATGCATACCGCGTACATTATTTCCGAATGCAAGAAGCAAAATATCAAAGCTGTGGAAGCTTCCAAGGAAGCAGAGGATCAATGGGTTAAGGATATTTTGGATGGTAGTGCACCCATGATTCATTATTTCTCCCAGTGTACTCCGGGGTATTTTAATGGTGAGGGTCAGGTGGGTAAACATCCTGAGGTGGGTGGGAAGACGGCGGTTTATGGATGGGGTGCTAGTGCGTGGGGGAAATTGTTGGAGGATTGGCGTGCGGAGGGGAAGATGGAGGGGCTTTTGAAGATGTTTTAGGAGTGGTGCGTGGTGGATTTGGTGTGGATTTATTTTAGGGGGGAGGGGGGGATGGGGAAGGGTGTTTCTTTCTCTTAAAGAAAAGGTGAAAAGTTATTTTTCTTTGAGGGTGATGGGGGGTAAAAGTTCTGAGGGGTTTTTTTAATTTGGGGATGGATGGATGGATTTATAGTTCAGTTTGGAGATGAAAAGTTTCTTTAGATGTGGTACTGGTGACAGTCAGGTATGGGTGGTTTATGGATGGTATCGATGATTTGGTATGGGTTTACTTTTCTTCTAGTAATTATACCTAATTTAATTTAATTTATCTCGTTACCTGAGTAATTAGAACTACTCTATTTAATATATTGAAATTGAAATTGAAATAAAATTGAATAATATATATATTATATTACTATTCTGTTACGAGGTTTGCCGTCTAGATCACGTGGAAGTGCTCTAGGCTCTCGAGGTGGTTTATAACTAGGCGTCAAGCAGGGACTTAAGTAATGACAATAATGAAATGCAATTCGTAACTAATAGTAGGATATACTAAATGATTGATCTTGAAAATGAAGCTTTATACAAAGGAAATCCATCTTGATTATATAGTCCTTCATACCGATGGTTACTTAATAGGATCAATACGGCTCAGTACTGAGCTCAGTGATCCTTACTGAGCCAGTCACGTGATATCAATTGCACGTGAGAGTTTCCTGTTACCCGGTGTAACATATTCCTCATATGAAGTCAATATCTCACTTCCATTTTAATATAATTTTATAATAATTACAAGCTCTGATTTATAATCTATATATATTTACAATCTATAGATATCTATAAATAATCCACTCTACAAATTACTCATTAGAGTTATAACCCACCCCGCCGCGCCGATTATTCATTCAGACTTTAAATAATCCACTCCGCAGATAATCATAAGCCATTCGGATTCTCCAATGATCCGCCCCACAAATGGATCATTCATGAATTAATCCACCAAAGCAATGATCCGCCCCGCGGGACCCCGCTGCGCAGTCTACCAGTGATACACATCGTCTTAAACAAATCAGAAACCTAGTAGATTATAATAGAATGAAATAAGCCCTGCTTATTCTCGACTTCTTTTATTCGGCTTTTGAATATGTTTTCCTCAGAAGATAACAAAGTATTGGAAGTAACATCACCCGAATCAATACAAATTTGATTGATTATCAGCTTCCTCCAACGATACAACATCATGACTTGTTTGCTGCAAGCGATTGTGATTTTCTAAGTCTTGTAAAAGCTCAGATTCCTCCATCTCTGATTGCTCAGAGACCTCAAAATTCAGATCAGAGGGTAAATCATCGATAGCGGAACGGATTCTCTTCAAATGAGCCGGCACCCAAATATCATAGATATTCTTAGTGAACTTATATGCCGTCCATTTTTCCTTACCATCTAATGTTGTAATATCGAATTTATGAATTGGATGACGATAAAAAGTGGTGTTTTGTCCATCGATGATTATAGGATAATGGCCATAAATCCTGACAGTTCGATGATCATGCGAAATTGAAAATGTAAGTATCTCTCGATGGAGTTCTTTCTCTCGTTTTACAAGCCTGAAAAGTTCAACTACCCCTCTCACTGCAAGTGTCATACTATGACAATTTTGTCGATCAGCAGTATTTAAATCTGTAATACTGCATTTCACTTCCGATGCTAGGAACGGGAAATATGTCCGCCAAGTACCCATAAAATAAGAAGTACAAGTATCTGTAAGTTCGCCAACAAAAGGTGTAAGCTTTTCCAATTGATCGTTTGTAAATGCAGATCCTCCGAACCCTACTGAATAATCAGGTTGTGGGCGAGGACCGTAAAATGGTATAGCACTATTCCAACCTTCATTTACACTTTCAATCAAAGGATGGAGATGTGTAGCACCATATGTAGCTAAGGTTTCCGCAGAAGGAACGATCAATCGAGCAATATCTTGAATTACCCTTGCTTCATTCCCATTCTGGGTCTTCTTACATGTTTTGCCGAATATTTCATCGCGAAATAAAGAGTTTTCAGGTACTGTCTGTTCTGTTTCTAGCAAAACTCGGCAGAGATTCTTACTTGTGTCTGTAATATCCAGATCGGACTGATGCATAAAGCTACCCTTGGTTGCAAGAGCAATTGTGTAACTCGGGTGTGTATAGGGAGCGCTTTTTACTTACCTCGGCTTTTGATCGCTAGGTGTAGTAAATGTAGGTTCAGAATAAGCAGTTTCCCATTGTTTGCTACGAAAAGACGAAGACTTTTTCCTCGCAAGCGGATTTATCTCGCTCTCCAGTTCAAAGTATGTCTTTGGCCAACAGAATGTCGTCCTCCAATATTCCAATGGATGGATATCTTCTTCGCTGACATCAAATATTGTATTTTCGCCGGCTGTATGTTTAATAGAAGGTTCTGGAGAGGATGTTCGTAATCGTTTTGGAGGTGGATTGACGATAGAAGACATGCCTTCGTTTGCTTGTACTTGTTTATGTTTTCGACTCTGAGCCTATAAGAAAATTAGTTTCGTAGTATATCAGAAAAAGAATAATATACCTTCTTGTCGGGAGTATTACTGGTTGATAAAGCAAATGGCTGCTTCGATTCGGTATTCCTGTATTTGTCTAAAGGTTTTTGAAGAAGTGACTTCACTTGTAAACGTGCGCTTCTACGAAGATATGGCTGGCCTTGTGTAAGCTTTTTCTGTGGCCATATTGATGGAAAAAGGAGGGTTGATGAACAGAGACGTAGTGATGATGGATGGACAAGGTGGATAGAAGACAGTCTCAATGTTCTAGAATCACAAGGGAAAGAACAGTTAACGCTAGGCCAAACAGAGATTAAAATGGGTAATGATAAGAGAAGATATGATAGAAATGATAGAAACATACTTTTCCTTACCCCATGGCCTGGATGTCCAGAAGTAGCCTCAGGTAGATCCTCAATCCTCAAATATCCTTTGCTTAATGCAATCACCCTTTTGCGTCTGTACTCATGATAATATTCTGATTTGTTTCTACTTAAAAAAAAAAGATTATAGAGATGCAGTCAAGGCAGCTTGAGTTTGGTAGGGTATATGGATACTTGCGTATACTTTCTCTAGCTTCGTTCTAAGATATTTTTATGGTCCAAGCTACTATGTATGATGCAACTTGTCCAAAGACAGTCGCGAAATCCAGTACCAAATAGGACTAGTGTACTTCGGCGTATTCGCTTATTCAGGATCTTTTCCTACGGCTCTCTACCTCCACAGAGCATATATACGATTTTACTATACGGAGGAGGAGTATTACTTTCTTTCAAAGGAGGCCACCCTCTCACCGATGCGCTTTTACTGCTGCGGCTGGCAAGGGTGTATGTAGGTCGAGGGTCTTAGGTTGTGGTCGTACTAGGCTGGCGGTTACTCTCACAAAGCAACATACAGCAGGATTATATGTTTACTGAGTGAAGGCTGGTAGATAAGAGTACCATCTTAAATAAACTCGCCGTGGTCTTTTATACTTTTCCTAACAGGTTTTTGGGGAATTTCCCACAACATATCTATTATATGAGTGCGTATACGATCTTATATTCAAAAAGCCCCGTCTATCCTCCTCCCTGTCTAGCTGTTACGAGGTTTGCCGTCTAGATCACGTGGAAGTGCTCTAGGCTCTCGAGGTGGTTTATAACTAGGCGTCAAGCAGGGACTTAAGTAATGACAATAATGAAATGCAATTCGTAACTAATAGTAGGATATACTAAATGATTGATCTTGAGCACGAAGCTCTATACAAAGGAAATCCATCTTGATTATATAGTCCTTCATGCTTCCATGATTACTAGTGATCCTTCATGATCATTAGTGATCATCTATATTGTGATCCTTAGTGATCCTTAATGATCACCAGTGATCACCTATACTGTGATCCTTAGTGATCCTTAATGATCACTACTGATCATTAGTGATCATCTATATCGTGATCCTTAGTGATCCTTAATGATCATCAGTGATCACCTATACCGTGATCCTTAGTGATCCTTAATGATCACTATTGATCATTTGTGATCACTGTCACACTCAAGAATACTGGGTAAAGTATCTTGTATTAGAAAATACTAAGCTAAGGAGAAAAGAAGAAGGAAAACAAGAGTAGCGAGTTTTCCTATGATTAAATACAAACGAGGCATGCCACGTGACCCGGAGGTGTGAGGCGTCACAATCACGTGCCTTGGTAGTTGTGTAGCCCGTCGTAACACTAGCCTTGAAAGAATATAAGAGATACTAGATGTCCTCTTCCTGAGAGCAGGATAGAATGAATCATGTGATTTTTATAGTAGTTTCGGAGTTATTTTATTTATTATTATATTAAACAAGTCAAAGATAAATAAATGTCTAATTATAAATTATAAATTATAAATTATAAATTATAAATTATAAATTATAAGATTTTATTTATTATATTATATATTATTTATTTATTTATTATATTATACTTAAAAAACAACCAAACTCAATATAAATTTAATAAAAATATAAAATCATATAATAATCGTCATCAAATATATATATAATAGACTTTTATACTCATATCTAATTCCAAGATATAAAAAATAGTGATGATCAATGAGATGATAAAAGTATATAGAAATACTCACGATTGGAATTGCTTCCCGCTCGCTATGTTAATCTCACAGTTAGAACACTACACTACTTACCGTCTTCCAGTTTCCAAGATTAATCGTATCGATTGCCCAATAATAAGCCATCCTGTGCTCTATGGTGCTAAGTACGTAGAAATTGTATAACATATCAATGATAGAATATGGGGACTTCAGATGTATATCTAGAAATCAACGAATATAGAATTGAAACACATCTGGTGTAGAAGTATGTGATGCAGCTAGAGCATTTTAAACTCTGAATATCTCACGGTCGAATGGATCTACTTTGCGAATCAAGCCGCGACCATTAATTTTCTTGCGTATGAGGCCTCCTTTGTACGGCTCACGGTCAAAAACCCACCCTAGAGGTGAGTAATCATCTGAGCTCTGTTGAACAATTCCAGACCAACTATAGAACTTGTTATATTCCTCCTCTCCTTCCTCCCACATCTGTTGATGAAAGGCCTTCTCGTCGTATAGTGCGGGATCCTCGAGATCAAAGCCAAATGTGTCGATTCCAGTCTTCTTGACAAATTCCTTCCACATATATGGACCACTACTGGCCCATGGATCTGGTGTGAAACCGATGATTTCACACATGGCGAAAAAATCTTGTTTAATGATGCGCCTCGACCATCCATTAAGATAAGAAGAGGGGTACCACGAGTCAGAATGTTCGCCAGGGAATCTGACTTCAGTCATTAACTCCTGGTACGGAACGGTGAAGATGGTGCCCGTCTCAATAAGTTGTCGGTTTTCATGATATTGATTTGAGCAGGGGGTTTTATATAACCGCAGTACTTTTATATTTTGCTCAAGTGGTGGAGGTAGATTGTTATTGCCTCTCTGTTGTATCTCAAAGTGTGTATTATCAAACCAATCTAAACCAAGGAATCGACACTCATCTTGATGTTGAGAGAAGCTTCTAATTGTCGCCAAGCCGACTGTAGCTTCGTCAACCCCTTTCACATCGATTGCCAATACCACAACATGATGGCCACACACGCCAGGGTGGGCATATTTTCGGATCTCTTTGAGGGATTCGGGAGCCAATCTTGTTTTACCTTTAAGAAAAAGAAGACAGCCAGGCGCTATGTCCCAGAGAGGCACACAGCTACTTTGATTGTATTCTGCTTTGTATCTTTGAGGGTCCCAGTGAGGACTGAATATTTTGTCCCATACTTTCGATTTCCGCCACTGAGGCGCATAAACACGTTCGACAGGTCTAGGAATTGACTTCAACTTTGCATGTTTATCCAAGACGTCTGTAGATAGAGGAGATACCCCACCTCTTTCCGTTGAGTAGAGAGATTTCGAAGCATGTTGAAAACGAGTTTTGAAGTCGCTTGGGATAACTGGTACGCGATGCCAAAAATTTGATAATCGACGACCTCCTTCGAAAGAAGCATTTGTGAGATAGACTTCTGGTCATTGGTAAGTCACCAATATGTGATATCCCTGGATGATAGTACGAGAGAAAATTTTACGCATTGAACTCGTTGTTTAGCTTTGGAGGAAGCAAGTGCGTAGGTCAAATATAGCGAAGGCGTTCAAAATCATGATCGGAAGTTTGAATGTTTAAAGAGAGTTCTGCGCATTCGGTATATGTTAGGAGAAGAACACAATATGAGAGTAGATTGACTTACCGGAGAATTGACAGATCTCCTTGATCGGAACAAATTCATGAAAACGTAGAGGTGGAGGTGGAGTGGAGTGAGGTCCCCTTGAAGAGAAGTAAATGATTTGTGAGATGTTTTTTGTGATGAATCTTATTGATTATGTAAGCGTGGTAAAAGTATTGACACCGAGAGTGTAGACAATTCTTATATATAACGGTATATAGGTAGTTTACACTATTTAATTTTTTCTTGTGTGATATCTTCGCATTCAGTCAGTTCATACGAATTCAAAATCAACTTTAAGAAATTTGGTCAGACCTCTAATCAAGTCTAAATCTAATTCATTTCGATTGTGTCGCTTTCTCGAGTCTATCGCCTTTTACCTCCAGCCAGAATTAGAAATCTATCTCTACCTAGCTATGTCCCGTAGCCAAGAACTTCTCTATAATCCTCATACATGCATTCATGTTTTACAGTGAAGTAAAATACCATCTCGACCCAGCCCATATATTTGCCTTAACCAGCGATGACTTTTATTCCATGCTCCATCTACCCATTTCTGAGTGCCTGCCTCTAATAGCTCATCCAAACACCTTATTCATTCCTTGGTGAGCCAATTCTACGCCCAAAAATGTTGCAGCATTAGCAGGTACAGCTCTGGCCAATGCTGGTCCAAATCCAGGGAAGAATGCCTTGAATCCTCCATTTCTATACAACCCCTTTATCACACCTCCAACTGTTGGTTTGCCTTCCATAGTTTGTAATCTCGACTTGACTGTGTCGACCGGGAAAACTGGAATCCACATTGCTACACCTGCGCATGCTCCTGCACCGGTAATCGCTAATAAACTTAGTTCCTTCCCTGGTTTACCCGTAGCGGGGTCTATAGGAGTTAGGCGACGTTTGATGTACTCGTAGGTTGCGAAATATGCGGCGCTTCCAGGACCATCTCTTGCCAGTGTAGCAGCAGATCCTCGAAAGACTGATTTAATACCACCCTCCTTGTAAAGTTGCTTTACGACATCGACACCACCATTATATTTTGGTTTCTCTCCAGGCGCAAGTTCCTTTTGACCTTGGATTTGTAAAAGAACTTTCACACGTTCAAATGGAGCAGTAATGAGCGTTTGGGGAATGGCGGAGAAAAAACCAGCAGTACTGATTTGAGCAATGGTGAGGGGTTCGTGAGGAGCAGTGGAGGTAAAGTTGCGCACAAGATTCTTGCCTACGTCGAAACCCCAAAATGATACGGCGACTGTGGAGAAAAAGAAGATCAGTCATTTGTTTGGGAGTATGACTTTCAAAACAAACAAAAGAATAATGATGAATAGGAAAAAGTAGAAAACATACACATAGGAGTAACACCCACCAGCGGTGCACTCACCCCCGCATATAAACCTCTTGCAAGACCATCCTTCGCGACAGATTTCGTCACAACATCAATAGCACCTTTGTACACCCCTCGTTCCGCAGTCTGTAAACGAACTTTGACCAAATCAAATGGATGTCCGACAATAACTGCGCAAACACCACCGAAACCTCCAGCAGCCAGCGACCGTAATCCTGCAAATGATTTTTGAACGACTATCTCGGCATCTTGTTTTAATTCCGCCTTGGATTCGGGAACGTGGGGCAGATGAGGGTTGAGTGCGTCGATCTTTTTGTTTATTTGAGCTCCTGGAGAGGAGGAAGATGAAGACATTGTTGAGAGAGGAGAGGTGAAGAGGTGAGGAAAAATTTGAAAATAAAATAAAATAAAATAAAAACAAAAAATTGTGAAGATCTTGTCTATGAAAGGAATGTTTAATTGGAGGAGGGTTATTATGAATGAAGCTTGTGATAATGAGGGATGTTTCTTAGCCTCATAGCTGGACCGCGGGATGTGGCTTGATAGCTTTCACAGCAGTTTTGCCGAGGTAGGCCAACAACTGGTCAAAGTCATCGGCTTAAGAGATTGAGGTTACCGAGTTTCGGAAAGGAGGGAAATTCGGAGGAGAGGAAAAATGTATGTTGTCAAAGGTAGACAGACATCTTTCGTGGTGTGATGGTAATACACATGCCAAATTCTTATTAATATGTCGTGTTATATCTTTTAGATGTAGTGTGGTAGTATGAGACTTGAAGGAAGAGTCATATGATAATATAATTGATTATGATGTACGGGAATGATGGTTAGAATGGAGAGATCTAGAAGAGCATTGGGTATCGATTATCTTTCCAGTCCGGATAGATGAATTCTGTTCATCAGGTGGTATTTCTGCCCAAAGCCATCCATAGGGAAGTACTTGGCAGGTATTTGTCAAATGTCAAGATTTAATAGAAATATAGTGGGAGAAATGAATCTCTTCTTCCGACGATGAAGACCTCGAGAGGAAAAGCTATTTTTGGAAAGAAGCGTTGCATCCATTCAAGAACACTTTAAGTCGTCATTAGGTGTTTTGATCTAGAGAATGAAACCCTGAAGCGTCTCATAATGAGCCTATCAGAAGCAATGACTCCTGAACCTTGTATCACATCCACAGCTAAAACACGATACTGGTAAGCCCTATGAGAGGCCCGATGATGCCCTGTATGAATATAAGATCTTACTTTGCATAGCATGAGTAGGCGTATCTTTTTATACCTACTACAAGATTGGTGCTTGGTTACCGTTAACCTACTCCTCGTCGAATGATAAACTGCACCTAAAATGTCACATACTATTCTCAAGTTAAGCAATCTGTTTACATTTACAAATATCGTGAAGATTCTACTATGTTTGCAAGGTCTACTAGGTATTCATTGGGCAATTGAAGTTGCTTGCTGGCAGTTGCACAGTTGCACAGTTGCTGGGAATTCCCCTCTAAATGTGACCCCTCCATCACCAGCATGGGAATCTTGAGATGCAAACCTAACAGGTCAGGGCTATCTACGTGACTGAAGAATCTGGAGGTCATTTTGGATTAGTATCCACTCATATTATCTACTTTTATCATATAGTCTCACTGATCAATTGACTCTCTTATAATCCGAACTTTTCATATCAATATATTTTGTCTACGTGTAATCGCAAACCTTAGCAATAATACTTGTTGTACGGCATTAAATGAAGGGATGATCGCTGGAGGGAAATGCCCGGCATTGGGCTGCACCCAGTCCCGGTGAAGTACCAAAGCAATGCAAAGGTAAAGCAAAAGGCCTGAAAAGAAATCATTTGCTTGAATTCGGCTCCACTCGAAAACAAAACATTAATTATTTGCTCTCTCTCTTCTTTCTCACTCCCTTTCAACCACTTAACTTCGAATTCAACGATTAACCACGCATGAATTTGACAACTCTTTGTGCTATACAACCGTGTTTTATATATTCAAATACCCAAATTCACATATATGCGGACTGGGAACATGGTAAAACGGTAAGATTAATTGTAAGGCCATCTCTATTATTACTATCTCTTGAGCATCAGTCGTCTCAGGTGTTTATCTCTATGTCTGTTTTGTTTCTGTTACTATTTTTTTAATCATTTCTAATGCCCGTTAATCTTCAACCTTCTACTGGTACTACCGGTAATCTCAAGAAAGAGAGATCAAGAGAAGGCTCAAGAAGAATGACGACCAATTCGCGACCTCCCCTATCCCATCGAATACGGGCATCATTTGAAGGAAAGAAATCTCAAGATTCAACCACTACTAAACATGCGAGCTTTTCTGGAGGCAGCCCAACAGATCCGGAAGTCCTTCGACAGGCAATTGATCAAGCTATCTCCGGAGATGCCTTCCAGGCTGGACTTGCTTCTCATATAGCTAAACTGCTCAAGCCTGACATCAAGGCGGCCCTCGATACGATTGAACCAATAGTGAACGCGGTTTTACAACATGAAATATTGTTGAAGAAGACCAATGTTGGCATGGACCATGTCTTATTGAGCCTGGAGTCAATGGCAGATCAAGAAGAAGCGGTAGATTCAACCAAAGCAAGATTTAGCACTCATGGCGCTCTGACTTCGCATCCTATATCTGATGATCCAAGATCAGGAGAATTACCACTGCCCATATCACATATTTCGACGCCTGGCACTGGTACACCACGTTCCTTTTCCAATCAAAAAACAAGGCCTCTGCCCAGTCGAAGTGGTACATTTACAGCTGGAAAACTATCTGAAATATCGGACACGTTGGACTCCAATAACAATAAACTAGGGAAGTTAATGGATGGAATTACGAAAATAAATAATTTGTTGATATCAGACGAACGCTTGGATGGTTTGAAAGAAAGCTTGGAGAAAAATGACACCCAAACTTCGGTGATGCAGACGCAATTAGATCAATTGCAGGAAAATGTCAGGGTGATCATTACACGAATCGGTACGGATCTAGGAACTAATGTAAAAGCGATAAATGACCAATTGGCCGGGGTAACCACCAAACTTGAGACAGCGGCCGTATCTCATGATGCTGGGGGTGATGCTGAGGTTCTTCAAGAAATATCTGCTACACTGGAGGTCTTAAACGGAAACTTGGATTCAGGCTCCTCTTCAAATAATGTCAATTTGGGATTGCTGAAAGAAGAAATTACGACTCTGCAGTCAACACTTGATTCCCAGAAGGAGATATTATTGGAGATCAAGGAAGTTAATAACAATGCCATGATTTTGGCAGGTATAGAGAAATCGAATGAGTCGCATGAGGCGCATATCGCGATTTTAGGAGAGCTTAAGCAGAGGAATATTCAGCTTATGGATATGCCAAATCAACCAGTCCTCACATCAGCAGACACGGAAACACTTCAAACCATCTTGAAAGAAGTGCAGAAATCCAATGAGGCTCATGAGAAGCACACGGCTGCGCTAGAGAGCATTAAAAGTTCCGACACGAATACAACCATCTTGGCAGAACTTCAAAAGTCAAACGACTCACATCTAGCTCATGCATCTGCGCTGGAAGGTCTCAAGACTTCGTTTACTCAACCATCGGAACCAACCACCTCCATCGATCTAGAAGGTCTAGAAACAAAAATGGATAGTCTAATCGAGACAAACACATCAATTCTAACAGAAGTCCAAAAATCAACTGAGTCACATGTTTCTCACGCAGCTGCGTTGGAAAACATAAAAGTTCTACCAATCCCGCCTCCTGAACCTATACCCGCGGGTGAAAGTGTTGTGGAAATTGTAGAAAAGAACACGGGATATATCATTGAAAAGTTAAACAGCCATGCCGCAATTCTGGATGATATTAAGCTCAACACGAAAGATGCTACCGCGTCAACGGGAGTTACTGTTGAATCTTTCAATAATCAATTTGGTTCGATGAGTAGTGTGTTGGAAACACAAAAGACGCTTTTGGAAGAAATTAAATCGAAGGATATTCCGGTTATAGATCTCACTCCGATTATTTCGATGCTGGAAACTCATGCTGTGATTTTGGAGGAGATTAGGGATAAGGAAGGAGAAGGTAGTGCTGATTTTAGTCCAGTTATTTCAATGCTGGAATCTCATGGTGCAATCTTGGAGGAGATTAAAACTAAGGGAGTAGGAGGTAGGGCTGATTTTAGTCCAATTACTTCGATGTTGGAAGCTCATGGTGCAACCTTGGAAGAGATCAGGGCTAAGGAGGCATATATTGTTGATTTCAGTCCGATTATTTCTACTCTGGAATCTCATACCGCAACCTTGGAGGAGATCAAGGCTAAGGATGCATATGTCGTTGATTTCAGTCCGATCACTTCTACCTTGGAATCTCATGGTGCAGTTCTGCATGAGATTAAATCGAAGGATCTTCAATCTAGCAATTCACCAGTGGCAGTTGATATGGAAGCGTTTGAGACACACTTTAATTCGATCACCGGTACACTGGCAGCGCATACCACAGCATTGGATGACATTAAGTCCAAAAATGGCTCGTCTGAATCTGCTTTGCTTGTAGATACTAACATTAAGGCTCTAGACGAACACTTTGGTTCTATGGCTAGCATGCTAGAAGCATATACCGCAGCATTAGACGAAATCAAATCGAAGGCTACTAGACTAGAGGAGCCCAACTCTGCAGCATTTGATGGCCATTTCAACTCTCTGATAAGCAAACTAGAGTCACATACCGTTGTGTTGGATGAGCTCAAATCGAGAAAAAATGATTCATCCCCGTCGTCAATGCCTAGAGAAGAAATTCCAAGACTCGAACTCTTTGAACCACATATTACGGCTATCAAGAGTGCTCTGAATGCTCACAGGATTGTGCTTGATGATATCAAGTCTGAGGCGCTTGCAAAAAATGATATGGATGCAATGGTAGTGGATAACATCCTAGAACCACATATCATGGTTATCAAGAGCACATTAAATTCACATACAGCTATTTTGGAGGAGCTCAAATCCAATGCTTCTACTTCGGAAATCGGCAACAGTTCTTTACCAAAAATACTAGAATCACTCGACAGTCACACGAATTTACTTCAAGAAATCAAGAACGCAGATGTCAGCGATGAAATTTTGACGGCATTACATGAATTGCAAGAAAGTAACTCTACAGCTTTTGAAACTCTTAGGGAATCGGATGTTAGTGATGAGATACTTACCGCATTACATACATGTAATGACTCTCAAGAGAAGTTGGATCGATCATTATTGGAACTTCAAACAGTGATGAATACTGCTGCTTCATCTGAGCAAAATAGAAAGAAATCTATCGAAGAGAGTGAGATTCAAGCTCCAATTGCTGCCGTGGATTTGAGCGGATTGGAAACCCAAATTAACACGGTTATTACGACACTCGAGAGCCAGAATGTGGTTTTGAAGGAGATTAGGGATGTTACGAATTCTGGTATGGAAGTACATAGCTCGCATAATGCGACCTTGGATGAACTTAGAAATGCGGCTAATGCTTCCAATGATTCTCACACAACTCATGCGGCAGTTCTTGGAGAAATCAAGGATTTAACCAGTATGTCCAACGAATCTCATGGAGCCCATTCTGCTACCCTTGCAGTGATAAGAGATGCAACAGCTGCTTTAAGTAGCGCACATGCCGCGCAAATCACCACTTTAGGGGAACTCCAGGAAGCAATACACAAGTCTAATAAATCCCATAATACGCACAGCAGTACCCTAGGAGAAATAAAAGATGCAACTTCTAGCTCGAATGAAGCACATCTTACCCATACAACTACTCTTGCTGAGCTTAAAGTAGCACTAATTGACTCGAATGCGTCTCATGCTTCTCACACTGCGGTTCTAGCAGATCTCAAATCACAACTGTCTCCGGATACTGCCGCTGAACCAATGCCAGCACCAATCCTCGATACTAGCGGATTACATTCACAGCTTACGAATATTATCACAACCCTGGAGTCACAGACTGCAAGCTTAGGAGAAATTAAAGATACTCATAACTCTCACACAACAATTCTAGGAGAAATCAAAGACGCGACAACAGCATCTAATGAGTCACACAGTGCCCACAGAGCTCTCTTGAGCGAAATCAAAGATGCAACTGTCCAAGTCCATGGCATGAACGAGATCTTAATTACACATACAGGTTTTTTGCAGGATCTGAAAGAAGAAAGTGGATTAAGACATACAGAAATAAGTGGTAATGTTGAGGAATTGAAGAAGATAGTCGTGGAGAGTTCAAGTAAACATGAAGAGAATCTTTTGAAACATGGGGAGTTAATCAAAGAGCATGGAGATCTGGTCAGGGAGAATCATGACGGATTGAAGGGTACGATTGCTGGGCTTGCTTTGGGCGGTATTGTGGGGGCTGGAGTTATGAAGGCTGTGGATGGTGAGGAGGGTAAGCTGGATAAGGATGATAAGGTACCTGAAGAGGCTGAAGAAGCGAAGGGAATTGTAAGTCAAGTTTTGAATTTTTCACTAGATGCTCTATACTAATCAGATTTTACAGACTGAGGAAGATATGATTCTTGAAGAAGAGAAGTCAATGTTGGAATCAGAAATACCGGTAAATTTTTAATTGATTAGTGAAAGATCTGAAAATACTAATGTTAGTTTTAGGTAGCTGAAGAGTTAGCCCCTGAGCTTACAGAACAGCGATTAGATTCTCCCGTAAGTTAGAGTTTTTTCACATTCTTTGCGAGGAATCTTGCTAACAATTTAAAAGGTCGAAGAACAAGTGGTGACAGAAATAGAAGCACAGCTAGAGCCAGAGATCATAGTAAGTATGCAATCTTGACATGACTAATTTTCAAATCCGTCTCGGAATGGAACGTTTTACTGATGTGGAATGTAGATTGAGGAGCAGAAGAGTATCAATGGCGACGAAGATTTATTGAATCTGGAAAAAGATGCAGAGGCTATTTCAACAGAGCCCGCGGTTACGGTAAGTTTCCGCCGTACTGAAGATTTTATGGTTTTGGTATATCTGACCTATCTGACAACAATCAGCTTGGGATACAGGAAGATAATACTGCTGCGCATCCTGCGCTAGTAGAACAGGAAGTGGAACTAGAAGTTGCTGTAAGATATCATGATTTCTATCTCCCAATACAAAAAGATCACCCAACGACGATTGACTAATTGAATTCAGGTCGAGAAAGAAGAACCTATTGAAGAGCAGACTCACATCCAAACAGAATCTCCGGTACAAGAGGTAGAAGTCAAAAGGCAACTTCCAGCAGAAGAATTGGAATTAGCTGTAGGTTTTACTTCGCATAGGTGATAATTGGCGCAACACTAACTTCTATTTAAAGACCGCGGACACTAAAGACATAACACTAGCTCTTGATTCGGACCAAGCTGAAGAGAATTTACCTGCCCAGGAACTCGTTCCTGAAGAGATACCTAGATCAATAGAATCCGAGGTTCCAGTAGGTTTCAATCAATTTGAATATTTTTGCTCACGCGCCTAACTTGTTCTCTAGTCTGAAACTAGCCCAGAAATTGACATCTCATCCATAAATAAGGAAGCTGAGGTTGAGAAAAATGAGGAGATTGGAGATACCATCGCAGATACAATCGAAGAACCACATCTTGTCGAAGACACGTAAGTTATATCAAATACTTCTCACACTCTATAATGCTAAAATCTCTAAAGCTCTGCCGTGGAAAAATTTGAAGTACATGAACAAGAGCAAACGTAAGTGCGCATCAATCTTTGATTTCCAAAACACATTTGATGGGGTTTAACTCGAAGATATGCATATTTAGGCCAGAAAAAGATGGTGTCGCGGAATCATCTAAGGATGAGCTGGAACCTGAAGAAAGACATGTTGTTGAGGAGATATCTAGTGAGGAAGAGATTATTGCGGCGGGAAGGTAAGTTTCTCTTCTTGTTTGATTTAGTTTGTAGATGGTGGGATGTGAGGAAGTGGAATAGTTATAAAGCTTTGATTGAGAGAATGGTAAGCTAATATGTGATAATTATAGGTCTGAGAAAGAGGTAGATGGAGAGAGCAAGGCAATTAAAGAACAAGTAGAGGATGTTGTAGATGGTGATAACTTGTAAGTTTGAATTCTCTGTCCGTATGAGCTAATCATTAAATTGTTCGATACTGATAACGAGATTTAGCCCTGTTGATAAAATAATACCTGTTGCCGTGGAGGAAGATAAGTGAGTTAATGGTCTTGCGGTTGATATTTTGATAAGGTAGATTTACACGATATTAACACGGCGAGTAGGTCGACGGAAGGGGTAATTCCGAGTATTGAAGACGAAGAAGTACATCTTGTCGATGAAGATATCCCAGCCGAGGAAGCAAAGTAAGTTATACAGCATCTATAACAAGTCCAAAACTGACAGTATAAAAGTTCCACCAAAGAAGTTATACCGGAAATATCCATGGGAAATTCTACGGTAGAAACGGAGGACATTCATCCTTTGAAAATGAATGAGGAGCTCTCAGAGTCAGCAGCAGCTGATCTACCGAGCTTGGATAATAGGCCAGCGGAAATTCTCGTCCCAGAAGTCGCAACAGGGAATCCTCTCACCAATCCAGAAGAAATTGATCATTTGGAAACGAAAGAAAACCTTCCAGAACCCGAAGAAATCGGCGTGTCGAGTTCAGATGAAAACTCCATGGACAAAAAAAATGGTACAAATCTCCAAGATCTAGAAATGGAGGCCTCGCCTCTGATCCCCGAATCAAGCCATGGAGTTTCTGCAGAGCATGTAGAAATATCTCCTCCGACTGGAGTAATTAAACCATGCAATGAGGAGCAGATTACAAATGAAGAAGCGGAGAAGGAACAGGTGGTTGAGGAAGAACCGGTCGAAAGTAAAATAGAGATTCTGGAAACACATGATTTGGGATCTAGTAATGAGGAGGTTCGTACTGAGAGATCTGAGAGCGTGACTGAGTTGCCTTTGGAGGAATGCTCTTCGGAATCAGTTGTCGATCCAGAGATACATGTGGTAGAGTCGAGTGATCAAGATCAAAATCCCATCAAAAATGACATGAAGGTTTTGGAAACAGAGGATTGCGAACCTAGCAATAGGAATGCTAGTAGCCAAATTTCGGAGAACTCTGTCGAGCCATTGCAGGAGGAATGCATATCTGAGCTCCTCGTGGAAACTAAGACTTCTGCTCCTGAGTTGAAGGATCATGATCAAACTCCCGTTGAAAGCGAGGAGACCGCTACGGAAATTGACGGTAGCGAGCATATCAAGGAAGAGATATCTAGCGATCCTAGCGAAACTGTTGGACACTTAGCAGAAACAAGCATATCAAAAGCAACCGGCGAAACCAAGTCACCCGTTTTGGAGCTGAATAACCAAGGCTCTGTTCTCGTTGGAAATGGAGGACTTCCCGTGGAAGTTAATGTTAGTAAACTGGCTGTCAAAGAGCTAGAAGATTCGGAAGATAGAGCCTCCTTGATTAGAGGCGAAGAAGGGGACTTGGAAACGGATAGCCAGAGCCGTAGTAATGAGTCTATATCGGCTGAAATCACAGAAAGTGCTGTAGAACAGTCTGAACAGACTCCTGATTTAGCCATCGAAAACGAGATCCACGTATCGGAGTCAAGTGATCAAGACCAAGTTCTTGTTGGGAACAAGGAAAAGTCTGCGGAAGCTGAGGAGGTCAGCGAATCTGATATCACAGGATGTGAAAATTTGGAACAGAAACTGCCGCTGCGAGTCGGGGAGAGGGGAGCATATGAAATGAAAATGAAGGATGCTCTTCAAGATCCGGTAAATGGGGATGAAATTTCTTCCAGTACTCCTGAAACAAGCGAAGAGGTCGAAGATATTGTTGAGGACGAGGAGCCTTCTCAATCAACCGAAAGACTGGCCGCTGAAATACCAATCAAAGAATTAGATTCTGAGAACCAATTTCCGGACTCCAACCAAGAAAAAAATTACCTTGGAACAGCGACAGATAAATTAATCCCTGAGCCAGAAGCCAAGGATGAGAAGCTCATATACATACCCGAGTTAAACAAAGAAATCCATTTTACGACCGACGACGAAGGTGAGGCTCCATCAACAGAGGAACAGGTTATTGAGACATACAGCGGAGAGCCTGTCATTGTTAAAGACCCAATATCTGAGCATGCTATCAATGAAGACCCAGAAGATGTCAGAGCTCGAGAGGAAATCGCTGTTTTGAACGCGCAGATGGCAACGATCTTGGATGAGGAGGCCGAGGTAAAGGATAATGCACTAATCGTGGAAGAGGCCAATGAAACTATAGGCAATAATGTTCCAGCTCAAACTGAGATATTGACGGGAAAGGAACCGAAGGAAGCGAAGGGTGAACGTCATGTCGAAGAACGTACCGATCTTCCGAAGGTGCAGACGCCACTCCAGAGCCAGGAAATTTTTGAAGAGCAATCTGAGGACGAACTAGCAGAGAAGGGAGAGAAACATGTGACTAGTGAACAACGTTCAAGCGAATCCCATGCGGAAGACAACCTTGATGATCTCGCTGCGACATCAACTGACTTAGAGGAAGATGGTTCCTTCAAAGGACCCAAATTTGTCGCAAGCGAGGACACAATCCTTACAAATACCGATGAATTAGTTCAGGACGAGGAAATTACTCCAGAAACCGACGAGAGTACCAACCAAGCACAATCTGCAGAGGATGAAAACCTACCTGAAAAAGAGTCTCTTGAGATTCCTATCGGACTTGAAGAAAGTACCCCCCAAAGTCTACCTCCTGTGGAGGAATCTACAAGCGAGGCTATGAATGACGAAAATTCGCCGCTTGAAGTTGAATCTGTGTTCGGGGAGGAGCCGCATGTGCTAGGTAGCGAATTGGTAGCTGTTGAACTCCCCACCGAGACTGAACCGAAAGATCCCCAAAGTGCAGAGTTAGGTGATGGTAGTGGCTACCCAGCTAACATTGAGGAAAAAAGGAGCCTATCCGATCAACACGAATCAGAAAACGTGACAGGCGAAGAGTCGCGTGGGACGCAATTCGAACCATTACCTGCAATGTTCGCGCAAGATCGCGAATTGAAGGATTCTAAAATGAAAGCGGTATTCAAGAATAGCACTGTACAAGGGGATGTTGAAGGGGAGCTCAGTCCTGAAACAAATCTGGACATCGAGTGTGAAAATGAGGAGATGGCGGACGAAACTCCATCTGTGGAGTACCTCGAGGTCATTGAAGCTGAACTGAAATCTGAAGATAACTTGGGAGATGCATCTCTCCCGGAAGAAGAAGAGAGTGAACTTGTTCATGAATATCTCGACGATGCAAAAGAACCAGAGACTGAAGAGAAAACTCCAGAAAGTACATCTGACAGGATTGATAGCAGCAAAACAGTTAAGGACAACCCAGAGGAAAACAGAGCCCAGGAACTGGATGATCTAGCTGAAGTTCAATCACCTCAGTCCAGTCATGAAGATACTTTGTTCCTAAATAGCAGCATACAGTATGCTTACGAGCTAAGCAGAGATGAAATTCTTCTGAGGTTTCTTCGACTGATGCAGAGTCAATTACCTTGGAGGAAAATGGGTATCCTGTTTTTGAATCTCTTCCAATTCAAGATAGTATTCTAACAGAAATAAACCAGGCCTCCGACGATGTTAATCCAGCTGAGAGTCAAGAAGCAAAAAATAGCTCTGTTGTTTCAAGTGAACACAAAATTGATGCCACAAACGAGTCGAGTTCCAGAGGAATGCTTACTATTCCTATAAATGAGGGAATAGTTGAAGAGGATGTTCCTATTGAGTCAAAGACGGTTCTGGGTCACCGGGGAACTATTGCGGAAGTAAAAAATGATTACTCACCACAAGAGGATACTTCCCGCGATGAATATGTGAGCAAATTTCTGCCCGGGAGCGAACCCCAAGCACAACCTAGCATAGGTAACTTCTCCGATGCAATAGGAACACCTAGGGATGAAGTCATCTCTCTCGGAAAGAAATCCCTTCCCAAGAAAGGAAAGTCCGTGACAGAGCCAACACAGGACCAAGCTTTTAAAGCAAATCCAAGCTTTTCAGGCGAGCCACCCACAATTTTGAAGGATGATAAGCAAATCGAAGATATCACCTCCCTTAAACCTCAAGATGATGAGGCCGAGAGTCCTATGCAGAGTTACAGACAAGAGGAAGAATTTCCGAGTTATGAGGGATCTTTGGGCCTAGGTGCTTTCACAGGTGACTATATTGATACCGAGCAACTGGGACGAAAGGTAGAGCCAGAAAATATGGAAATTGAGGCAGCGCAGTACCCAACTCAACAAGCCAACTTTAGCAACCCTGAATCTGTATCTGAGCAAAGATATTCAGGCTACGAAGAAACTCCTCTTAATGCACAAACTTTCTCCGACTATGGGGATGAAAATGAGACATTAGAGCCGGAGCCAGAGCCGGTGACTTCTGGATTTTACTCGAGGCATGCGCATTCAGCTTATGGGTCCAGCTTCGACAAATTTTTAACAGAACAAAGATATCCAGACTTTGAAGAAACTCCTTTTGCTACGCACACTTCCTTCAATCGCCAATATAACAGCGATAAATCAGTGCCAGAGGTAGAGCCGCAAACTACCCATGAGAGCGCATCTTATCAGCACGAAAATTACTCAAAGACCTATGCATTTCAAGAAGTTTTCGGTGACGACACCAAAGCTGCAAAAGCCCCGCCAATAACATCAAAGGGCCAGGGAAAACATCTAGATGACATCCCACCAACTCCATCACCATCCGCGATGACGAAAACGTCAACCGAGGCATTCCCTACATATGACGAATCTCGACGACCTCTGATTTCCCATGAGCTCAATCTTAGCCTACCAGCGAGAACTCCACAATATGCTGAAACGATCCATAAAACTCCTAAAAGTGAAAACAAACATCCATACCTTACGCAAAATGAACCAATACGCACTTCGGGACTGTCAAGATTACCTGTAGCAAGCCAAAGATCAGCAGAAACATTCCGTAAAACTCCTGAATTAAAAAACCAACTTAGTTATCATAGATACGACGAGCTACCAACTTCTAAATCTCCACAAGGACTCACAACCTCCGGTCTTCCAACAAGAAAACAAAGTTCTGTTGAGAAATCTCGTGGGAATTCTGAGTTTGGGAGTCAGGTTCGTGTTCCTAAACGTGATGAAGGACATTCGGGGGAATTTAAATTTGGGTTAGAAATTAGAGATGAGGCGGTTGTGGAATCGAAAGGGGAAATGGAAGGGTCGGTGGATAGGGGTAATATTGTTAATACTCGGAGTTTGTTGAGACGATTTGAGGGTGAGGAGTAGGACTTGGGTGTTTCTTCTTCGGTGATTTCATTGGGTGGGGAGCTGGGGGTGAAGGGGAGGAGGAGGAGGATAAGTAGGCGGGAGGCGCGGGGTGTTGGTATGTTTGAGGAGTGGCATGGAGGGGAATGGGGTGTGGGTATGGGTGTGGGTGTGAGGATGTGGATTGGATGAGTAACGGGAGATGAGCGAGGAGTAATGTTCCATGGTATAGTAGCGAATAATGGGATGAAGGAAAATTGAATCTTTTTTTTTTTTTTAAATTTTTTGAAAGTTTATATAATTATATTTCGTTTAACTTTCCTTTCTATTCTATTCTATCATTCAAAGATAATTATTAATCAGTTCTCAATTTTTATATAATTACGATTATTTGTTACGTCCAAAACGATTAGTATGTCACATGACCATAAAACATGTGATGGAACGGTGAGGAACGAACGTTCCTAGGAACAACCAGGAACGCTCGTTCCCAGGAACGACGATTCCTAGTTAACCATAGGCACGAAGGACTATATAATCAAGATGGATTTCTTTTGTATAGAGCTTCGTGCTCAAGATCAATCATTTAGTATACTCTACTATTAGTTACGAATTGCATATCATTATTGTCATTACTTCAAGTCCCTGCTTGACGCCTAGTTATAAACCTACTTCGAGAGCCTAGAGCACTTCCACGTGATCTAGACGGCAAACCTCGTAACATTATTATTATTATTATTATTATTATTATTATTATTATTATTGTTATTATTATTATTATTATTATTATTATAATTATTATTATTATTATTATTATTATTATTATTATTATTACTCTGATTATTATTATTATTATTTGTTACGAGGTTTGCCGTCTAGATCACGCGGAAGTGCTCTAGGCTCTCGAGGTGGTTTATAACTAGGCGTCAAGCAGGGACTTAAAGTAATGACAATGACGCAATCCGTAACTAATAGTAGAGTATACTAAATGATTGATCTTGAGCACGAAGCTCTATACAAAGGGAATCCATCTTGATTATATAGATTGTTGTACAGTATGTCCCACTGTTCCCCTCGATATAAATCAGTGGGATCGGTGGGAGGCTTTCCCACTGCTCCCCTCGATTTAAATCGGTGGGACGAGTGGGACTACGTGACCCCCTGATTAGTCATGTGATGTGGGGCTTAGTCATAACTGAGTACCGCCGTAACATGATGATATCAACTAGTATTGAGACCCAGAACTCTGCCATTCTTCACCTCATGTTCGCATGGGAAGAATTAAAAATATTATATAAAACTATCTATGGAACATCAAGAGATGTGTAAGAAAAGGTCCTGAAGGCTGCAAGAGAAAGTCACTGATAGTATTATTCTGACTCCTTTCTAAATCACCCATCTTCGACGTGAAATATACTCACTAGCACAAAGATGTTTTGGACAACATAAATAAAAGATATTTTGGACAATACAAAGAGCAAAATTACAAGAGGCCATTAAATATTTCAATTGAGCAGCTCATTAGTAACAATAAGAAGGTATCTAGGAGGAATACTGAATCCTTAGAAAGGTGGTGTTTACTCCCAGAGAAACCCACCTCTTCCTTAAGCGAGTAGATTGAATATCCTCGATATTTCTATAATTTACTGATATACACAGTCCTTGTACATCCAAGGAGAAATTAGAAAAGACACCTATCTATATGAGAAAATGTGCATTTATATTTGCTTAATTTGATCGATCTCAGTATTATGATGTTTGATACATACCTAGTAGGTACCTGGGCATAGATCTAGTAGACCTTCCGATATCTTTCTTTGAAAGGAGCTTCACCTTCACAATATTCACTGAAAATTACAAGAAAGAAGTAAATTACTGTTTATTCTATCCCCTTCAATAATATTTACCGCTGTCAGGATAATACTGCCAATCCTGTATGCTGTCTCCTAATCGTATATACCAAGTATTTTCCCTATCCCTCTTTCTTTCCCGCTCTTCGACCCCCTTCCCGGTACGATGTTCCCCCTTTCTCACAGCGCAGTGCGTTTCGCTTCCCCTGCCTTCCATGCATATCCCAACCCATATCCCAATCTATCTTCTCACTCTCCCATACTCACACAACCAACAAGTAAAAGTATAGCACGTATCTTTCATCCCATATTGCCAAAAAAAGTCACAATGCAGACAATTATACAAAAGAGCAGTAATACTATGGACTAGGTATGAAAAAAATATAATTAATTAAAGCATACGAGAAAAGATTTATGAGAACTCACTACATCACGATCTGAGTCTTCATTGACCGTCGCATATGTTATGGGATTCATTGTACTAATTACTGTGCAAGCAATAATCTCAATGTGGGATAGGTACTGTGTCGTGGTGGTGGGTAGGTATGATATACTGCGAGACTGCGCTTCTTGTGCTCTCTGGTATAATTAATACTTAACTATTGACTGATAATAAATGCTACATCGGGTCGTCATAAAGCTATAGTACGGATTATAGAGTGGAACCGTGATGGCGGTTTTCTTAATAACTGCAAAATGCAACAGACTAGTGTATGGAATGGCGGTCCTTGAGATGGGGGTGGAAATGGTGGAGAAGAAAGAAGGAAAAGACTGTTTATCCTAAGTAAGTTTGCCATACTTTAAACAGAAGATCAAGTTAAAGGTCTTCATTGGGAGGTCGCGAATCTTTGAGACGGGAACATTGATTAAATAATCGAGGGGGCAATCTTGTTATTATGAAGTAAAAACTGATACCGCTTGACTATCAACATAGTATCCCTTTCGCTGTCTCTTCGATCTACCGTCATAGTTTTAACAAGGAGAGCAAGTTTCAAACCTTCGAAAAGAAACCCCATTAGGAATAAGGAAAAGAAAAATAGAAACCAAAAAACCTCAGGCGCACAACAGGCAACTCTCCTCACTGTGATCTTTTCTGGCCAATATAGCAACCAGTTCCTCAAGACTACTCTTAATCCGAAGATCGTTTGCCCGCCCTGCAATATGGATGGCAGGATAGTTGTTGCTACCTGTCAATGGGTGACGAAACAATTCTCCCACAAGGGCCTGCAATTCACAGAACAATCTTCTGTATAAAAGTGAGCATCACTTTGGTCAATTCGTCAAAATATTCTTGAGACAATCATATTCCTTCCGGTCCAGCCGGAGAGTGGTTTTCTCGATTCGAGAAGTTAACTCGTCGTTGCGTGAAGAACCACGTGATGACGATGTGATTCGCACGTGCTAATCATTTCCAAAATAATCACCCAATAACTAGACAGTCTTGAAACATTTGCGCATCCCGTTGCATCCGCTGTATGTTATATGGGCCTGTAATCACGCCAAAGACATTATTACCTTTGGGTGGGATATCTCTCGCATACTCGATATCATTGGTCAATTAGCATGCAGAAGCGAAAGATGGCGAAATGGTCTGCAGCCATCACACAATATTTCGGCATTCGTCCAAGGATAAAAACGAAGGATAAAGACGTCAATGCATGGCACGTAGAGAAAGAATTCCCAATTTTGTATTTCATAACGGCGTTGATTTTTAGATTAGACTCATTGGAGTGTTGTGTAACATTTAATCATCTTTGTTATATTGTCAGTATCGTCGAAGATTTGGATGTTGGACTGGATTTATTTCGACTTGGAAGCTTATAAACGTAATATGGGCTTAACTTTTGAAAGAGTTGCCGTCATCGGTGCAGGTGTTAGTGGTCTGGCGGCAGCAAGGCATCTCTTAGATTATGGCTTGGATGTAACAATCTATGAGCGATCCTCGAAACCAGGTGGTGTTTGGTCCGTCAACTACTCCATTTCTTCTCCTTTTGGAAAGCTGTAAGGAAAAGATCATGTTAACAAAATGATCCAGGGCATACGATGAAAGGAAACCGCTGGAATCGAAATACCCGTCCATTTTGCCATCCGTTGCGGGCATCTATCCAGACTCAGATTCAGATTCTCAGGGTGTCACATCTCAATTGTTACCTCTTCAGACAGAAAACCTCATACTGAAGCACGCACCACCAGGCCCTGCATATTTTGGCCTAACAACGAACATTTCGACGAAACTTCAAGAAATGAAAGGCCACCCATGGAAAGAGGGTACCGGCGACTTTGTCAATGTGAAGGTTGTTGGTGATTATTTGAAGGACTATGCCAGGAGATTTCATCTCGAACAGGTCTTGAGATACAATACCAAAATCGAGGCTATTGAGAAAGTAGACAGTAAATGGGTTGTGAAATCAAAGCTGTTGAATAAAACTCATGACGGAAACATAAAGTTTGTAGAAAAAGAAGAGGTGAGTTATTGAGTTTGCGTTTGGAAGTTCTCGAAAGCTGACTCATGATAGACATTTGATAAAGTAGTCGTGGCGAGTGGGCATTATCATGCAAGCAGAGTCCCCGACATCAAAGGACTGAAAGATTGGAGGGAACGGTATCCTGAAAGAGTTATGCATTCGAAAGTTTACAGAAGACCTCAAGAACTTGCAGGCCAGGTAAGCATTCATGCCTAATAATAATGTAGTGTATTGACTTGCCTCAGACCGTACTTCTCATTGGTGGCGGTGTTTCTTCGACCGACATTGCCAGGGAGATCAATGGAATGGCCAAGAAGGTTTATCAATCCACTCGAGGTGGTCAATTTGACCTTCCTCTCAGCTTTCTACCTCCAAGGACAGAAAGAGTTGGAGAATGTGTGTCTTTTGAGTTTGAAGCAAGTAACAAAGGTCGAGGGATCGCTCACTTAAAAGATGGAACAAAGCTCGTTGACATCGATAAAGTGATAATTTGCACAGGATACCACATTTCATATCCTTTCCTCAGTCGCTATCATGATGATTTAACATCTCCAGCCGAAGCTAACGAGACAGTTCTTGTTACTGATGGAACACAAGTCCACAATCTTCATAAAGACATATTTTATATTCCAGATCCAACACTTGCATTCGTTGGCACAGCATATTATGTATCGACCTTTTCCCTGTTCGAATTCCAGGCCATTGCGGTCGCAGCTGTGTTCTCCGGAAGAGCAAAACTGCCACGCGAGGAAGAGATGAGGGAAGAATATAGACTGAAAGTGAAAGAAAAGGGGTTCGGTAGAGCTTTTCACGCCCTTAATGGACGAGAACCAGAGTATGTTCGTGAATTGGTAGATTGGATTAACACAGATGCTGCGGCGAGCGGAGGACAAAAGGTAGAAGGTCACTCCGAAGCATGGTTGAGGGAAGACGAGATCAAGAAAGAAAAACTTCTTGAGAGATTTGAGAAGCAGAAACAAGAGGAGCTCCAGAAACAAGAACAAAGCTATCGTATATACAATTTGAGGAGTCAAGGACCTCTTCCTACCTCCGAATATCGGTTATTCGATGGAAACGGGAGTAAGGGAAAATTAGAGGAACAGGCTGTAGGTTAAGGTGGAAATTGTCTCCAATTTCCTGTTGGCGTATCATGAAGATTGTAGCCAGTATTTAGAGGGATAGCCCATGTTGAAGCAAGAACTGACAAACGTGCCATTACTCACTATATAGAGTGGTGAAAACGACTGGATTACTTAGAATAATAATGTCTATCCGAATGTACTCGTATATCGTCTGGTGTTTGCGATTTTGAAATGCTCTTCAGCCAGACGGTTGTTTGATGCACATGTGTTGATGGTTGAAGAGTTGCGATGATTGTTTGAATAATACATCATATGATTCTCCTAAAAAGTGAACTAGTAGTTTACGTTCATGAATATATGTATATATTTGAGCACTCTGAATAATGATGATGGCTGAATGGAGTGAAAGTTTATTGTCAGGGAGAGATGAGCGGTTGGTGAATGTTAAATGAACCTGGGATGAAATTTAGCGAAGGCGCGTCGAAGGGAAATCGCGACTTTCTCATTAACTCAATTATGACTGCATCATATATGCGGAACGCCCACAACTTTTTTAAGAGCTGGTATAATTCATGACAATACATTTTATTTCTATGTTTGAGCATACGAGAACTTGATTGTGGGATTAAATTTAACAACTGCCCAGATCCAATGCCATTTCTTGCACAACAGCCCAAGGAGTCCAAAAATTCGAAACGCGTTCACAACCACCCTCAGATACGAACTGCAGACTTTAATTTTCACTCCAGCAGAAGCTTTAGATAATCTGCCATATTTGGCACATTATTGACGCGTATCATATCTCTCGACATGTATTTACCACGCTCACAACTTGCAACACTATACCTCCACCTGCAGAAGACTCATCATCCATTATCCCCGCCAGTCCTTATACTCGTTGCTCTCGAACCCGATGCCTTATGCGGATGTCGAATCCTTACCCAACTACTCAAGCGCGATTATATCCCACATAAGATACAACCAATTGCCGGATATGGGGATCTGGAGAAAGCGGGGAAGAATGTTATACAACCTATGATGGAAAACCAGGGTGGTAGCGGGGGAGTTGTGGTTTGCTTGGGTGTTGGAGGCCTAGTTGACTTGGGTGCGCTGCTGGGGTTTGATTCCGAGGCAGATGAAGCTAGTTATGGTGGTGTTGAAGTTTGGGTCGTGGATGCAAGACGACCTTGGAACTTAGGGAATGTCTTTGGAGGATTCCCAATTGTATCACATCAAGTGGAGGGCGGGGAAATTATATCCGAGCCACCGAAAGGTGTGGTTGGAGGAATGATAGCAAGAAATTATAAGCCGGGCAAAGGAGGTATTATTGTTTTTGATGACGGGGATATCGAGGAAGATATGAAGGCGGAGAAGGATGCATACTTGGCACTAGTGGATATGCCTGAGATGGAGGATGATGGGGATGATAGTGAGGGTAGCGAGACAGAAGGAGACAGTGATGATGATGGGGCTTCTCCAATCAAGAGATCAAGCAAGAAGAGGAAGTCTTGGTCGGATCGGGATGAGGAAGATGATACTGACGTAGAGGATGATAGACCACGGCGGAGGCGGAGAAGCAATTCAGTATGTATGCTGTAATCATGTATTGCATACTGGCTAACCATTATTTTAGTCAAGTCCCATTCCAGAATCCCCGACTCGTGCTCCTCAGCGTGGACTTCTATCACTCAATTCACTAAATGATCCAACAATATTCTCAAGCGATTCACGATCCGTATCCCCACCACCCGCACAACCTCCCAAACCTCCTTCGGCAAGGGCTTTACGACGAAAACTGCGGAAACTGCGTCGAAAGAATGAGATGGTTCTCCAAACATATTATAACCTCGGTGCATCATATTCGGAGCCGATATCTTCGATGATGTATTCATTGGCTTCAGAGTTGGGAAGGGAAGATAACGACCTGCTTTGGATGACAATTGTAGGTGTCAGCTCACAAGAATTATATGGTCGTTCGGCAATTGGAGTTGGGGTGACTACAGAAAAGTCCTCGCCGTCAGGATGGTTAGGCTCTCGAGGATCACGAACCCGGCAACTTCTACGAGATGAAGTACGTCGCCTTAATCCCCCAGAACTTTCGGAGTCGGCCTTCAATTCCAATAGAAATTCGTCACCTGAAAATAGTGGCATAATACCAACAACAGCGCGAAGTCCAACAGATACTAGTATCCGTTTATCTCCGGAACCAAAATTTCTTCTCATCAGACATTGGAGTTTATATGATAGCATGTTACATTCCCCATATTTATCGGCGAGATTACATATTTGGTCGGATAGTGGACGAAAACGATTACATAAATTACTTGCAAAGATGGGTGTCAGTCTTGTTCAATGCAAACAAAGCTATACACATATGGATATGGAACTCAAACGCGGACTACGGACAAAACTATTGAAATACTCAGAACTCTATGGCCTAGATGATCTCGTCCCAGGTACAGATACGGACGGTAGAGACAGAGGAGGCTCGAAAGAAGGATGGGGTTTTGTGAGAAGTTGGGGTTGGAAGGCTACCCTTAGTGCACAAGATGTGGGAGTCGTAGTGGGTGCTATTTTGGAGGTGGGAAAGAAGGCAGTAACGACTATAGAGAATGGGACTTGGGATCGAAGTCGAGAGACAAAAGAGACGAGTGATGAGGATGGGACACTGGAAGGTGAGGAATGGGTTGGGAGGTTTTGGGATGCTTATGATGCACTTGAGAAGTATGTTGTCCCTTTCTTTACAGTTTATCCAGTGGTCATGCTGGAGTATGAAAAACCTCAAGTTGCATTGTTAACGTCGCTATGTAAACAGAATCGAAGAACTCAAACTAGCCCTTCCAACAGCCCAACATTTACATCGCGCAATTCTTCGCACTGGCACTTCTCTAATAGAAAAGCGCCAAATTAAACATCTTCGCGCCTTTCGTATGGCGGTAGTGAAAGATGGTCCAGATGTCCCATTATTCACCCATCCAGCCGCATTAACAAAACTCGCCCTATGGATTGGTGAGGCAATTGCAGAACAGGAGAGAGAAAGTAAAGGCAAGCTAGGTAATGGAGGTAGAGGTACACCATTAGTCGTTGCCGGACTAAACGAAGGCAGAGGTGTATATGTTGTAGTTGGTACAGGTGGTGGAGGCGGAGGAATAGGAGGTTGGGGCTTTGGCGATAAAAAAGCCGCAAGAGAAAAAGCCAAGAAAAAGCAGGAAAAAGCTGCAGCGAGAGAATTGAGAAGGAAAAATAAAGAAAAAATCAGAGAAGAGAAAAGAGCAGCTAGACGAGCAGCTCGAGGTGAAGAGGATGATGATGATGAGGACGATGAGACGGAAGAAGAATCTTCGGAATCAGAAGATGATGACGAAGAAGAAGAGGAAGACGAAGAAGCGGAGAGAGGAAAAGGATTTGGGAGAAACAAATTCGGTAATGCTTTTCAAGAGGTGGTGGAGGAGACGAATGCAAGGGTTAGGATTGATAGTTTCGAACATTGTGTGGTGGAGGTCAAGAAGGAGGATTTGGGAGGTTTTCTGGAAAGTTTGAGTTTGAGGGCTGTTGTTGGGTAGGGTCATGATGGTATAGTGCATGGATACGGCATTGAGAAACACGGAGCGGCATAGAAGGGGTTTAAGCTGTAGATAATGATTACGAAAGCTTGGCTAGCTGGGATCAATGGGATTGCTGAATACATTGCATGGCATGGTATGATATGGATTGACGACCCGCGGTAGGGTGAATTGTCTGGGGTTTTTTCCTTGCATGCTTCTTTGTTTGATGGGAAAAGAGCGAGCATATCAGGCGGGGTTTATATATTTTATTAGTGTATTGGCTGGTAGGTACTTCGTATGGTATGGATAGCGTGAGGATTGGATGGATGGATGGATGGATGGGTTGGTAGGTAGGTAGGTAGGTAAACGAATGAATGAATGATACTCCTGGGTTTATTGGTGAATAATTGGTTTGGATTGAATTTGTGTATAAGATCAGTGTAGGCGAGATGAAATTTTATATGATATTCGGAATTGGTGAGTATTGAAGTGATGTGTAGTGATGTGAATCAGAGAGTAAATAATGAATATGTGATTAGTGGAGTGGAGGAAGAGGGGCTATGAGTAGGAGAGGAAGGGGGTAACATGACGGGAGGCATAGAGGAAAATCAATGAATGGTGAATGAATAGAGGAAAGGAATAATACGATGAATCCTAGATGACACCTATTCTGAACTCAATCAAGCATCTAAGCATCTAAGCAATCAACAAGAAAGTCATAAGTAACACGAACGAACTCCCAACCCCTAATTTCCAAGCTATAGCTGATCGTCGGTATCTAGCGAAGCAAGAAATACACAAAAATGGAAAAAATAAAAATATAAAATCAAATATAAATCCTACCTAATTACATATCATTCCCATATCTCAAAGAGAAAACACTAGCCACCCGCATATCCATACCTATATCCATAAACCAAACCAAAAAAAAAAATTCTCATCAACGATCAATTAATTATACGCTCCAATTTAAGTTCCTGCATGACTTTCCGATGTATTTCTGCCTTTTGCTCTGCTGTTTGATATTCCCATCTTCTTACATATTTTTCGTCTAATGGGGAGACGGGGGAGTGGTTTTGAGTGGTTGTTGATGGTTTTAGATGGGGGGTTTTGGTGCTGCGGTTTATTTGTGGTTGTGAGGGAGGAGGAGGAGGTGGTGGTGGTGGTGCTGTTGTTGCTTGTGAATGTGGATATGAATATAGTGTGTTAGTGCTCGCGTGGAATAAATCATGGTGACTTTTTTTGGTTTTGGCGGTTGCGGGTTTATATTGGTTACTGGGAGTGTTGTTTGTGTGCGTATATGTGTATGAGGATGCTTGTGGTTGGATAGAGCCGGGATCTAGGAGATCTCGATGGCTTTTCTTCTGCGTCATTCCGCGACTGCTAGATCCAGGTCTTGCAGGTGACTTTTGATGGTCGCGATGGGGAGAATGGGTAGTTGGTGGTAGAGGGGGAATCCCTGGATTTTGGTAAATGTGGTTTTTATCGGGTGTGCGAGGAGAGCGCCTGGATGACTTTCTGTTGGGAGATTTACCGGGAGATTTTCCTTGCCGTTCCTCGTGGTTTGATGGATTTATATGTATTGAAGGTGTTGGTCGCGGATGAGGAGAAGGCTTCTTTTTTGGAGGAGCGTCACGGTTTGATTTTGCACTGGATGGCTCACGCTGAGACGGCAGTTGAGCAGAATTCTGTCCACGTCGTTGCCCGCGTGTAGAGGTGCCACTGTCAGAACCGTAATCGGATGATTTATATGTGTTTGCTTTGGGTGGAGGTCTTTGGCAGGAACCCGGATCATGGCGAATGGATATAGCAGAATCATGTCGAGTCTTTGTGCTGCCAGATTCGCGTGATTTTGAACGTTCTATAATCATGACGTGACCTATGATATGTCTATGTCTCCCTTCCCTAAGGTTCATCAGACAAGAATGGTAATCGATTTTATCCAGCCAGAAATGCACGTTTTTGAAACCATAATCGTTCTGCCATTTTTCGATTAACTTATCTGGAATCATAACACCTTGCGATTGATGATGGTGATTACCACAGTCATAGGCCATAGGGTTTATATCGTATTTTTTCCCTTGCTCTCGATATATTTGCCTCGATTTGGCCTGTTTATCTTCCAGACGTAGCTTATTGTGTTCAATGTAACTTCGAATGTCTTCCACTATTCTGCTACGCTCGGAAGAAGATGGCTGTGATTTTGACCTTGGATCCCCGAGACGATCAATGCGCTGACAGATACGATACTCCGGTGGAGGCTTTCGGATAATGATGCCGCTCATCCCGGATATATATACTCTTTTTTCATGTTCTGTCGCTCTAAACATTTTCTCCTGGATTGCTTTGTCCAATGTATCATCAGGAATCCAACGATCTGTCGTGTGCCATCTTGTTTCTGCGCATGCTCCTCGTAGTTCCGTTGTATGAAGTTTATATCGCCAGGACTTCCTCGGGTTACTGATAAATCTGATCTGAGTGCCAGGTTTTGGTTCTGTTAGCTTTTGGTCATTATCCAGAAGCCCTTCAAGAATGATAATGTCAATCTCGATGCGGCCGTTAGACGTATGAAGTTTTCTGTTATAGTCATCAATATAATCGCCAACAAGTGCTACTTGTTCTGTCACTGATTTGGAGGTTTTGTGTGTCTGAGTCGTCTGGCTGAAGTTTCCATGCCAATCTTCAGTTTTGTGCGGCAATGGTACTTGTTTTGCATGTCGCGGCTCTTCTGGATGCCCTCCTGGAAATCCATCATTCGGTATATCGCTCTGGTAGGTCGTATCATTTATTTTTGTCTTTTTTTGTTTTTGGGAGTAACTGATATGATTTTGGTGTTTTGAATCCTTCTTTTTACCAAAAATCTGTGTCAACCACTTCATACCGATCTACTGCAGCTATTTTGAGTCAGTATATTGAGGGGAATATTGAATCTACATATCATTACCTCAATCTACTTTGGACGACAGCTCATCATGATTCCCCTATGGGAGCAGAAGAAAATTCTATTTGCCTAGAAAACGACGAATGTACTAAAGAAAGGAATGGAACACTTGACCGACTGGTTTGGCAGTACTACTGAACCAACCTACTAACGAGAATAGATTCTTTAAAAAAAAAGGAAGACTCGATGATATTTTCCTATAAGGAAGAAGGGCAAATGTTGTAAATATACGATGACAAGCTATGCAAACCTTCAATGAAATGAGAATTAATGTTGGAAACTGTTAGGATCCAACAGAGAATCCTTCATTATATTAATATCCGACTGCGCCAAAGAATTGTTCGAAAATAAGATCAGGTCTCTATGACCGCCACCCATAGCAAAAAAAGAAGACCCAGATTATGACCTTTGCATGGAAATTTTCAAAGACAATAACGAATGATAATGTGTATGCTATAAAGGATGAAGGCCGGCTGTGACCAACACGCCACCAAACATTTTGCACCGCCGTCGTCGTTTTTGTACCTTAGCCTCTCGTATACCTTTGGTATAAGCCGAAGCAATCGCCGCATTAGCCGCAATGAAGGAAAATGAAGTTACTTTGATTGAAGTCTGTATACCAGTATGTATTCCAGTGTGGAATGGGTGTTGGTAAATTGAAGCTATCCTTCTCATATGCCAGTAAGATAATGAGGCCTTGGAATTTGGCTTATGCATCATTACTGAAAGCCTGCACTTTCTCCATGGACCAGCTTAGAGTTAAATAAGAGTTGCATCAAAACCAATGAATTGACTACTCGTGGCGACAATGAACATTCTGTGATGGTGTTGTGATATTTAATGTCTGGTTGCTTGGGAATGTTGTTCAGTCGGAGATTCGGCATTTAGTATCACCGTTTTCATTATTATGTAATCAATCACGTAAGCAAACGGCCCTCTAAACATTGACTTGACCAAAACAACCTGGTGAACCGTCACTCAAGGTCGGCCTGATAGAGATTTTTTTCTTCCTTTATTTGAACACTAAATAGACTGGCAGGCCTCAATGTAAACGAAGCAGAGTTCAGGGCAATCTAACTGGGCCTCGCTGGATGTCTTTCATACCGATGACAAAGGTTTAGCTCCAAGCGATGGCTATATTGAATGCTGGCTGTAACAGAGGTATACACGGATAATACAGATTTATCAATGAGCTACTATGTTCATATAAAAAAGAAAATTTGCGTAAGCTATCAAATCATAGATGCCTTTAATCATCAAAATGCCGGTTAGGAGTGGCATTGACATCGAGTAGGGCGAGCAATTTCCAGCTCGACCATGCCACCTCCAGGCAACCCAATATTTCCACGAAGACAGTGATTGAAGCCTGATTCACTATTGAAGTAGCGTCAAGGGGAGTTTTCATGTATCTTCTCCATTCAAATAAGGAAAAGAAAAAAAAAAAGTCACTAAAGAATGATAGCATTAATTGCTTACTTCTGGTCAATTCCTACAAGATATCTCATTGCGACCCAACACTAATTTCGCTAAAATCAGGGGCTATCGCAGTATGTGTGGTTGCTGTGTTCTTTAGACCTTTTCACCCCGAACATGGATCAAGTGTGCCTGATTAATTAATGTGGCTACTCCAATTAAGTGTCGTATGAATGGAAACCAGTAGAAACAAATATGCACTCCATATTCACCTTTGCAGCTTGCATATGCTGTAATCGTCGATCCCAGTGATCTTCACGGCGTGAGTCACTGATTAAGTATTACCCCACGATCCGAATTCGACATGAAGTATATATTCACCAACCTCAAATTTCTAGAATCACGGTATCAAACCCCCATACCATTCCCCTCAAAACCACTATAACCATCAACACCACAGGTACTATTGTTCGAGAAAAGATGTCGACTATACGTCTCACAAGTAAGGATATCGGATATATTCCAGGACAACTTCCACCAGGACCCAAGAACTCTATCCTCGATGTCCCAGGTTAGTTACCCCACATACCCCGCGTCACGAGAATGTTACATCCCCTCTTGGCTGTGCTTTTGGGAAATCCAACACTGCATACTAATTTTCTTCAGGAGTTCATGTCGGTCAAAATACAGTCGGAAAGGATGGCGAGGACGCTCGTAAAGGCGCTACTGTTATTTTTCCACGCCATCCTGATGATATCAATATTCCCTGTTATGCGGGGTTGCATACCCTAAATGGAAATGGGGAACTGACCAGTAGCTATCAGACTAAAGATTGGGGCTATTCAAATACTGTTCGTCATGATTTTTTTCCAATATCCATATTCAGTGTCTCCTCTTTTGACTTTGAGTAAAAACAATAGGGCACAGAAGTCATATTAACAAAAAGACACACAGCCAATCGCCATAACCAATTCTCCCTCCTTAGGAACAGTCTTCCAAGCACTCTGGCAACGAGTGCTTGACGTCGCCTCAAAAAAAAGAAAATCGTATCAAAGAAATATCCCATAACTACGGTACCCCCATTGTAGGGGAAACAGCCGATTTCATCCTCAACGACATTTATAGCTCCCCGCTGACCCTCGAGGACGTAAGACCTGCTTTCGAGAATGCATTAACGCAACAGGAGGTTCAAGAAGATCAATATGGAGGTGGAGCTGGTATGACATGTCATATGTTTCCTGGAGGGACTGGAACCAGTTCTAGAGTCTTTGGAGAAATTCCTTGGGAGACGTAGCCCGCCATTGCGCAGTAGGGCTCTCTCAATTTGGCGGCCATGGATTGGGACGCAATCATTCTGGTGATATAATCCTCGCTCTTTCCACAGGCAACAAAACCAACGAGCTAGTCGACGAACCTCAAGTGGATGGACTATCCAAAATCGAAGCCAACGATATTAAAATCATCAAAAATGAAAGTATCGAAACGCTCTTCCGAGCTGCGAGTGAAGCTACCGAAGAAGAAATTCTAAATTTTATGATTGTAGGAAGAGATGGGAGAACGGGATTTAAGGGATGTAGATTGGAGGGATTACCGGTGGATAGAGTAAGAGAGTTGGTGAAGAAGTATAGGGTGGATATTGATGATGGGAGTTGTCTATCTTCAGGGGAATATCTTGCGCTGCAGAATAAGGGTGTGCAGTAAGTTTGAATACTTTGCTGTTCATGAGTAAACGACTAGTATGATTACCGGCGTAATGTGCCTATGGCAAAAGTTAAGTACAGAAGCTTTCGATATCATCAAACAATCCTTGAAGTGCATACTTCCTAATTTCCATCCTTTTGTCATTAAGACTGGGTAAAGGCCGAGGTAGCCCACGGCTACCAGGAGTATCTTCCTCTGGGTTAAATACCCTGCTCGATATCTATAAGGTAAGGTAAATACGATATGTTTTCGGGTACGGGTTGACACCGCCGGGCGAGGCACGTGAAGACGCGTGAATAAACATGAATACGGGACACCTGCTATCTATAGAATAAACAATATCATGTGATATTATGGTCATATATCAGATGCTTGATATCTAGAGAGTATCATATGATCATATATTCGCCCTAAACTTTGGATAAGTATGGGACAATCACCTGATCATAGCCCGGGACCCTACCAATAACTAAATTTTGTAGGGTAAATACCCTAAGGGTCTAAATACCTCGGGTAGTGGGAGGGTGCGCATGCCTCTTTGTCACTTTATCTTCCAAGATGTTCAACACGAAGAGTCGAAAAACAATCCGGTTCATTGCCCAAAGAGAATTCTATCATATCACCACAATGACTATGCTGCAATTAGTGATAGGGGACATGCAGAATATGATTTTATGACGCAAGTTAGTTTCACAATAACTTTACGATCACTATTCTACCAAAAACATACACATCGTATTCCTATTCCCTTAAATCAAGTGATGCGAAGCTACGTAACAAGTTTACGATTTTTTCGTGTAACATCGGAAGCAAGCTTACACTATGCATTCCATTGTCAATCATAACCATCCGCAACACGATGCTCAAAGTTTGAGAGATAAGGTCTTCACCCTTTCAGGATGGACAAGTTGCTGGGTCTATTCCTAATTTTCTATGCTGGAGTGTACTTTGGCGACGATTATCAAGCGTTTGAGTCGGCGCTGAAGATGCAGAACGGCCGATGTTACATTGCATCTGTACCGCTTCATCAAAATAGTAGCATCCTTTGTGGCGCTCCATCTGCACTAACACCCACGAAACAGCATTATTATTTTGCTTTCAAGTTAAAAGTCGCACTGACACCACATTTTCGAAATATGACCGGAACAATTTATTACTCGTAACTAAATTGCGATCATTGATGAACCAAAATGCTAGCGCAATACTCAGCAAAACGATCGACCCGATGGAAGAAACTTGCTTTTTGGGCAAAAAGAATTCACAACGCGAGGAAGATGGACATTGAATGGCGATAAGTGCAAAGTTCTTCACAAAGTAAGTCCTGGGTAATATTTCACCGACCATATTCTTCATTTACGAAATGCTCGAAATTCTGCAGCAAAAGCCCCCAATCTGTAAGCATCAAAAATAGTACACATTTCTACATCAATACCACCAAAGTCAACTCGCCTGAGACGTCCAGGATCAACATCCTTACATCTATCGCAGGGGAGGGGCACAGTCGGTAGAAAATGAGGCACATTGCCTGTGATGTATACCTTTGCCAATTCTTTTTTATCCTCTCGATTTTCCTCCTTGTTCAATTTAAACATTCTATACAGTCTTTTCCACAATTGAATTATTCGCGATGTCGAAATCATCCTCATCATCCATACCTCTAATCACTGATCCACCAAAAATCTCCGCATACAATCGCGGTCCCATTTTAACTACCTTCGTACCGCCAGCTTCATGTCTATCTACATTGACCTTTTCAACCGATATGTATTTTGGACATCGAGATAAAGGCTATGTAGATGCTGCTTGTTTTCCCAGTAGTACCACGGATTATGGACCTTGGGAAAATGCATGGGGTGTTTATTATTGTTAGTCTACATCTTGATTACTTTAAGCACTTACTTATACATTTTTAGATAGTCCGGGAATATGCCCACAAGGCTGGTCGCAAGCGGCAACGTTATCATCCAGTTTTGGAAAAGGTACTACACAGCTGAAGCTTGGAGATGAGACTACGGCTGTTGTTTGCTGTCCTTCGTGAGTGGCCTGATATATTTAACAATATTGCTACGTGGAAGCTCACCACTAATGCTCTTTAAGTGGATTTAGCTATTCATCGGATGGTCATGCATGCGGCTCGACATTTTGGTCTACTACTTCTACACTCTTCTATATTAATCCTTCACTAAACGCTTTAAATTCATGGGTTTCAACTGATGCCAATACACCTCTCACGACCAGGGCATCTGGATCTCCATATATCATTTTCGGTGATGGAATACCCATTTGGTGGCAAGCAAGTGATTTGCAAGTTTTTTCTTCGGCGGCAGCTGCTCCCTCTATTACTCCATCTATGACCGCTACATCCACAGCAACCTTGGGGTCCGGGGCCGATTCAGCAACATTAACACAAACGTCACCAAGGTCACCTATGCAAACCACACAGCCAGAAAATACATCCTCATCCGATTCAGAGACATCAACACAAACATCATCGAGCTCATCTCTGCAAACCCCACAACCGGCAAATACATCCTCATCCAACAATGGACTTTCCGTGGGCAGCGGAATCGCAATCGGTGTAGCAATAGCATTATTCGCCCTAGGCCTATCAGCAGGCATCGCAAAATGTTTCTTAAGTAAACGTAAGCAGAAAAAAGCAAGAATGGAATCGAGCTCTTCAATGATGACTGGTGTGATTAATTTATCAGAACATGGGAGAGAAATGGTGAACCGGGGACCGGTCTCGGAACTTTATGTTGAGGAAGGTGGGAGGAGGAACTGGAGTACGGGGGTGAAGAGAACGAGTGAACTTCCTGGTCAGTGATATTGAGGTAAGGTATTTGGAGATGTGATTCGTCATTTCCGATTTGGTTGAGAGTATATCTTTTGGCAAGAGAGCAAGTGTTACAGATGATAAACTGATGGCAACCAAAACTTCAAATGAAGCTTTCTAATACCGACACGCAATCCTTGAAGAAGCAAAATTTCAGCTTCAGGAGAGAGAAATGTAAATATTAGCAAGAATTTCAATGGCGCGTTAAGAGCTAATACTTTAGAGGGACATGATGTTAATATTTACGACGAGATGAGATTTTGGAACTTTGCGATTTTATGTATATGTTTAGTGTTATTTATTTACAAATAATATAAAACTGAAACTTAAGAAGCAGTTTATTGATGCAGTGTAAGATGTTTGTTAGTTGTGCAAGTTTCCTTATAAGATCTTACTTAATGGTTAGGAGATGTAGTTGGGATATCCGTATCTAGCGGAAAATATCTACCTAGCTATAGTAAGATTAAGGAGGATCTAATCTGATATACAAGAGACAAATCCCCTCTAAACTACATCACCGTCCCAAAAACTCAGAATTCTACTAAGAAATTCTACTATTGTCTAGATCTAGATATATGGTAAAACCCCTCAAGTAACAGCAGAAATTCTTGATACGGATATTGGAAACACTTTCTTGAATTCTAGACCGTGCTATTATGGTCCAATGAGAGAGTTTGAATATTTTTTAAGATTTTGATGATTATTTGATGTGCTACTTGTAATCTTGCTATAGCAGTAAAAAACATTTTTGGGGTGGAGAATGACTCGATGCATAGTCCGGGACTAATGGGTAAATGATAGGTTGAGCGTAGATTGGGGATGGATCTGAAGGGTAAGTTTAAAGTAGGAGATGTGAATAATGAGATTTTGGGACCGATGTAAAGAATAGCTTCAAATGTGGCTATGAGTCCACAAGGGAAGGAGGGGAGCACAATCTGGAGACAGGCCGATTTTCAAATAACGAGTTTCATGCAACGGCTTTAAATCTTCAGGCTGGGTGCAAATCCTCTCATTTGAGAATGCAGCGGACATTTATTCTGGGATACTAGCCAATATGAGGTATGAAAAAAGTGATAAATCGAAGCGGGCAAACATCTCACTGAAGAGGGTCGAAAATTTCTGAATCCTCAACACCGTGATAAACGAACATCAGATTCCCAAAACACATTCTCCCTAGATATCAATTTAAAATTTCCATCCCAGTTCAAACGAAAAGTTTAAAGCCCCCGGGAACACCCTTCTGAAAAACACCTTCGGGATCATACTTCCTACTCGCCTCCTGCAAAATTGCCTTATTCGTCGCTCCATACCCATCAATCGGATCTTGCGAATTCGCCGCGTAATTCAAGTACTTCCAATCATTAAGATATCCCTCTGTCGCTGCAAATGAATCAATCTTGTCGAAGATAGCTTGAGCGGTGTTGGTGACAAGACTATCGTCGGCGATGTCCGCCCATGTAGCAGTTAGGAGAGCAACGATTAGTGGTCCGTCGTCTGGAATTACACCTAGGACGTTTCCGCCTGATGGTGCGGATTCGGCGGGGATGTTGGTCGGCAGCGGTGCTAAGGATAAGGCCCAGGTAATTCCGGAGAGGGATTCGATGAAGGGGAGAGACGCGTTGTAGGCGTTGAAGGCCGTGGTTATTATTTCTTTTTTGGCTTTGAATGTTGTTGTTTTGAAGAGAGTGCTGAGTATTTGTTAGAAGGATTGATATTTGATGTAAAATAGAGGAGAATAGAAGATATATACCGTGAACGGGGAAGTGTGGCAAGTGTTTCACTGGTGACGTCAGTTAAGTTCCTGATTCCCATAGTATCAAAGAACTGAGGTTGAATGGCTGTAAAAGGTTGGTATACAGGTGGGTTAACGACCGGTTCCGTATACACAACATTACTAACTACCACGGCGCCTAAACCGAGTTGAAACGCAAGACTCATAATTAAAGAAGCATTCTCATCATAAGTTGCGTTAGAGCTGAAGTCGGTCAAGGCATTGATTTGTTGGTCTGCGGTGGTAAGTGGATACACTATATTACCGCCCCATATATCGCCTTGTTTAAAAGCGTAAAAGTCAATTCGTGTAACGACACCGAGGTTGTTTGAGCCGCCTTTTAGTGCTAGAAATAAATCGCTGTTTTCCTTGGCATTTGCATTGACGACTTTTCCGTTTGCGAGAACCACTTCGAAGTTCTTTACATTGTCACATGTGAAACCTTTTTTAGGGGAGAAATAGGATATTCCACCTGTATATGTGACTTAGATTAAAAATGCAAAGGGAATAGATCAGCAGTACTTACCTCCGAGGGTCAACCCTCCAACCCCAACTGTGCTGACCCGTCCACCGGGAACAGTCAGTTGTAAAGCATCTAACCTAGAATAAACCTCTCCCCATTTTGCTGCAGGACCTACGGATACCACAGACTCATTGGTGTTAACACTGATTGCATTGATGGCACTCAGATCTATCGAAACTCCTTGATTTATGTTGGCGTCACCTGCTCCTGGGGCATGACCTCCAGATTTGATGGCGAATTGGCATGAAGGGTTCCAGTTTGTGGATTTTCCAAGAACAGATAAAATACCGACAGCAGTCGAGACGTCTGTTGTGGATGTTGGTGACAAAATACAGCCTGGAGATATGTCTGATTCTTGCTGAGAATAGAAATTTTCTAAAAATGCAGTATACGTTGATGAATTCGAGTAAGAAACTTTCGGACCCAATGCTTGTTGCAGAGCTTTGCACTATACGGAAACGTTAATTATTTGCGGCTAAAGGCTGTAAGGTGATATGAGAAATGAGGGGAATTAAATTATTGATGAGCAAAAATGCTGAGGGATGGAATTCAAAACCGAATACTCACACAAATGTTTACATCTGAAGTGGTAGAATTGTTGACACTAGAAACTGCGGAACTGATAGCGGTATTCAAAGCATCTGCATGTGCAACAGCAGAAAAGGAATATAACAAGGACAAGTACAAAGTTTTACGTAACATCCTGAGAAAGGAAAGGAGATGTTGCTAGGAGTTTATGGTAGATCGAACGTCTCCATTCAAGGAGATATAGACGTCTGGATGACCAGAGATCTTATACTTTAGACTCATATGTCCATCTGATGAGAGACTTTCACATCAGCCACACTGGCAGGGTTACTCCATGTCAAGGTTAAAGGATAAGAAAAGCCGTAAAACTTTATTGCCAAAGAATATGAAGATATAACTAGGATCAAGTATTACTTGTAGTGCCTTAAGAGAGGCTGAAAACTCTAATTTTACAACAACACTCCCCGCATCGCGTATGCGTCATTTCAAACAGAGCATCGAAATGTTTCGCGATGAGATATAAACAAATGAGGAGAATGAGTAACATCTCGAAAGGTTGACAAACTGTACCGTGCAATTTGCGATGAAAACGGTGGTGAGCCATTAGATACTGGGTACAAACATTTGGTATAGATTTTTTAACAAGCAGGTGAATAGCCATCAGACACGTTGTGGCTTATTTCCAAGCATTTGAACATTAAAAGTCCCTGGCTATATTTCCGACATCTTGATCCTGGTGTGCAGATTGCCCAAAGTGTCTTACAATAACAGTATTATTTCTCATCTATTTGGTGGTTTTCGTGAGGCAGGAATGGCGGAAGGAAATCGTCTCGAAAAGGAGGTTGATTTAAGCCCAGGCGAGCTAGGCCAAATTGAGTATACTTAATTTAATAACGTATTAACGACGCCTTGATGAAATATCTGATGCTTTCGTGAATATCTGGTTGTTAGAGTTTATTCAGAACCATTTTATCAATTGAAATCGAACTCAAACAAAGTCGAAAAAATTCAATTATATTAGATATTACGAATTAAATTCTTCTTAATCCTGAAGAGTAATTATTAAGCTTTTAATTCTAGGAGGAAAAGTCCGACTTGGAAGATATGTTATTCCAAAATATTGAATCTTTAAATTCTCTTTTATCTACCTTGGAATTATGCTAATTGAATTGAGAATGATATTCAGACGAAAATGGCGAGGTAGTTCATGTCCCTTTTTTGATGTTGATATATTAATCTTTGTCTGGTGTATGACCCACTTCCACCGTTCCTCCAGCTTCGCGTATGCATTTTATCCTCACGGGATAATTTGTATCTTTAAGAGTTAATAACTCAAATTTCCTCATATATAGCTTCATCAACCATACGTTTTCCCTCCTGGTCAATTTACGTTAGTCCGCATACCCGGACACCTCCACTACACACGTGAAATATATTGCGCTTTTCATGGTCCAACTCCAATTCCATAATTACAGAATTTGTCATTGAGTATCAACCCTTAGTACACTAAAATTTTCAATAATTAGATATATTACCATGTCTTAGAGCACGCGGAGATTTTGCATGCCAGCAAGAATTCCTAAGGACCACAAAAGTGGTTGAAATCTATCTGTCAACATTATTCTTGATACTGAATTCCCTAAGAAAGCAAAAAGTACGTATATGATATATATTATCTTTCTTTACTGATATACAGAAAATCTATATATATGATGTACATTATATACATATCTTTATATAAACAAACATCCAAAAATGAGATTCTCAAATATTGAAGTATAGTATAACGTAATTTATCACCGAGTGGGCCATATCACCGAGTGGGCCACTTTCACCTCAATTTACACTTTCAAGTACATATTATTCAACAACAATTGAATCAATTGATTGAAACTATTAGGAATCTAATAATCTAGGATCTGTTATATTGATTTGACAAGTTCTTGAATTATGACCTGGCTTTCCACACTTACTACAGCATCTACTAGAAGATGCTTCCCCATTAGAATTCCCCCCATTTTGACGCTCGTCGCGTTGAATCTGAATATCAACCTCTTGCTGAGATAATATATCCATAGCTTCTTGTCCAGTAAGTACTCCTCCTTGCCGTAATTGAGTTTTTTTTGCATGTCGATGTTTGCTTAATGCCTCATTTGCCTTCCGAAGTGTACGGTTTTCTGCACTTAAAAGTGTATTTTCATGTGCCAATCTTTCTGTGTCTTTAGCTAAAGCTAGTACAGTTTTGAATATAGATATAGGAGAGCTTGATTGATGACGAGATATTCGAGATTTTACTAAAGTTGATTGAGAAAGAGCTTCAGTTGGATTGTGAGGGGTTTGAGAGATCCAAAGATCTAAATCGAAAGAAGGAGGAGTAAGTGTATGAATTCGAATATCTAATTTTGAGAGTATAGCTTCGGGATTAAATGGTATTAATCCAGCTCCTCGAAACCCAGCTTTCATATTCTGAACTGTAATTGATTCTTGATATACAGCTTTAAAAGCTATAAAGAATTCAACTTTGGAGATATGATTGATATATGCCTTAATAAATCCATCAATTTGACAACCATACAAACGTTTTAGGATACTAAAACACCCAACATCAAGTGGTTGAGTTAAATGACTTGAATGCAATAGTAATCTTATATATATAATATCATTTGCCTTGTAATATGATTGAAAAGATATTGATTCATGATTTTCGTGTCTATCTAATACTAACATTCGATATTTGCCCTTTCTTCGATGAATCGTATGTTTATCGAAATACTTTAATTATTCTAATCCTGTCTCATTATTCGTCCATCCATTGGAAGTAGGTTTAATAGCCCAATCCGCAGGAAAATCGGTTTCGGTATACCAATTGGAAAGATGAACTTGTCCTTGAACTACCAGAAATGGAGGTATAGTTTCACCCTCTCCATTGCCACATATAATTGCCGTAGCCCACTCTCGATTGCCTGGTTGTATTGCCTTGCTTCTGCCATTTCGTTCAGCACTAGTTACAGCCATTCCAGGGCATATTATACCCATCATGAAGCCGGTTTCGTCGAAATTGTAGAAATCGGAATCAACAATACCATATTTCGCCCGCATATTCGATACCAATCGCAACTACTCTTCAATAAGCTTGGGGTCTTCGCAGAGAGCTCTTTGAAAATCATAAATGCGATTAAAACGCGTCTTTAATTCTGGGCATCGTTTAACAAAGCGATAAGCCCAGAGCTTTCCAATCTTCTTCGCACCCCGCGATTCGAGAATATAATTCGCCATATCTTCTACACCATTTAATTTAGGTGCAAACCCTCTCTCATCCATATCGATTATATACTGGATAAGCACTTCCTCTTCTAATTTGGTCAAATTATGACCATTTGCTCGAGATTCGATACGAGGGGTAGTACCGTCCATTCTGCGCTGAATCTTTGTACGCGGGATATTATATAGCTTAACAACCTTCCGAATGCTTAATTTTTGGTCTTTATTGATAGCTTCGATAGCTAAAAGTATTCGACCTTCTTGATTATTCGATTCCATAATATTTTGTTGATAAATCGCGTATTGAAGTTGAAAGATATAAATTGAGGTAAAAGTGGCCCGCTCGGTGATATGGCCCGCTCGCTGATAAACCACGTTAATCTTATTTTTAATTCGGTGTTACGAGGTTTGCCGTCTAGATCACGTGGAAGTGCTCTAGGCTCTCGAGATGGTTTATAACTAGGCGTCAAGCAGAGACTTAAGTAATGTGTTACGATGGTAACAGCTGACTTGTTTTCGTAAGCTTGGGCCATGTGCAAATCGGTTTCGATTCGCTCAATTTACTATGAGATTTCGGTCACCCTAAGAACTTATATGCACGCACTATCAGAGCATATAAACAAGTATGCTGGTGTGACGGAAACCCCTGCTTTCCTCCCACCCTTATTATATAAGAAACCTCAGGTACATTAACCATGTCCACACATGATACGATTACTCGGGATTAGTATACGATTTAGGTGGTCTGAGGATCAGATCCGGACAAGTACTAGGTATCAATGGTTATCGGTAAAGTAAGATCACTGGAGGGATAAATATGACTTCTTTTTGCCTAGCCATTGCGGCTAGGCCATTCATTTGTGTATATATAGAGTAGCTATCCCCATCTACAGGTGCTCTTCACCTGTAAATTCTAAGTTAAATACAATTGCTGGTCTATAAACACCCTTTTGGTCACAGCTGGATCACTCAGGATCACTGGTGATCCAAGGTGATCCAAGGAGCATGAAGATCTATATGTTCAATATGAATTTCTTTATTGTAGGGCTTAGTGCTCAAGATCAATCATTTAGTATACTCTACAATTAGTTACGAATTGCATATCATTATTGTCATTACTTAAGTTCCTGCTTGACGCCTAGTTATAAACCACCTCGAGAGCCTAGAGCACTTCCACGTGATCTAGACGGCAAACCTCGTAACACTTAAGTTTTTAATCACTCTATCTTGCTTATAAGACTATAATTGATAGGATAATCATATAATTACCATGCCATACGGAATTTAAAGAACATAAGATTATTTCTCGAAAGTATAATCTTCCATTTATCTATTCTACCCCCACCAATCCTATTGATTGATTCTCTCCAATTCCACCTCGCATACTTTCGCAACATCGTGTTTGAAGATGTATTCTTGATATTCTTGAGGATTTGCTAGATAGAGGGAAGTTTTGGATTAGCTTTTTATCGCAAATTTCTCCATTTAAAATTCCTCTCCCGTTCTTCTTCTCGTTATCCATCTCTTCCTCCTCTTATCATTACCCTGGCACCGCAAAATCCACATAATAAGGAATTGAAAGACTCACAAGGTACACACTGTCCCTCTTCCATAAAAGCCCTCGCACTTTCCTTCACCTTCTCCGACTGATCCGGGCCTGCATTTGAAAACATTTGCATGGCGCTTGCTCGATTTTTTCTTATTTTTTCGAAACTATGGAGTCTTGTTGATATTGTTTCTACTGTAGGATTGCCGGGTGGGAGCTTGGAGAAGAGAACGCCGAGAGCGCAACCATCTTCTATTGCTTGGGCGCCTGCTTGTCCTTGGTCTTGGGGGTTTGTTAGTGTGGGTGGGTATTTAGGGGATGGTAGTTGGGTATTGGGGATGGAAGGGATGTGAGGGAAATAGGGAGATGGAGAGTTGGAAGTGTGGACGGTCGAAGATAGATTTGAAGAAGATAAACAGAGAGTGGGAATTACAAGGTAACATAGGATGCGCAGCATCACCAATAACAACGAGTTTACCCCGATGCCAAGTAGGTAGAGGCGCTCTAAATAGAAGTTTCCATAGTCTGACATCTTTCCCCTTAGCTAATAAATGGCGAAGCGCAGGATGATATCCAGTAAGCTCATTGAGGAAGATCTCGCTAGGAATACGGATGTTCCAGTCTGGAGAATGTTTAAGTCAGATCCATTGAAGAATACAATAGAATGCATAAAAGGAATGAGGCTTGCCTTCAGTGGATTCGAGACCCTCTCTGTCCGGACACATGAATGCAACATTAAGTATTTGATTCCTGGAAATTTGTAAGTATTTGGAATAAGGCGTCAAGCACTCTGCAAGAGGAGGGATATGACATACTCTCTGCAAGGATACCAAACAACTCTTCGTTGGCTTTCAGTTGGGGAGACAAACATTCGAAGCTTGCCTTCCATTTCTTCCATAAAAAAAGCACATTCAGGGTCGTCTTGGATTTCTTTGACTGGTATTAAACATCGAAAACAAGATATTCCTGTTGGAACAGCTGGGTTCTCATATCCCGTGACTTCTTTTACAGCCGTAGAATGAATACCATCAGCACCGACAATTAAATCGGCCGTCATACTCTTTCCGTCGGCCAGAATTACTGATCCATTGATGGTGTCCTAAAATAGCTCAGCAAAATTTCAGCCAAAGATGTGTACATTTTCATACATAGCCGACAACTTCGCACTTATTTTGAATTACTGCCGGCTTTCCTTGTCCTTCTTCTCCTGTGGCAAGCAACTTTAACTCTGTATGTAAATCAACCCTATGACTGTAGAAATACCCAGATCCATATTCTTCTTCAATGTTAGAATGATCTACCACATTAAGTACACGAAGGTCATCCCCGGAAGTGTAAGTGGTCGATTGGGCAGTCACGAGGCGAGCTCTTTTGACATCGAAGCCCCATTGAGATACAACTCGGGATGCATTAGGCTGGACGTCTGGAATGGATTAATTTCTCTATATTGTGGTGATGATATGGAAGATGCTCACGGATTGCAGCGCCAACTTCATGAGATAGAGATGATTTATCGAGTATCTTTGATATTTATTAGCAGTGGTTAGATGATCCAAGAGCTCGTGAACCGTTCTTCAATAAAAATCTACTTCCAAAGTAGTACTCGAGGAGTTCGTACCAAGACTTCATGACCAGCTCTCCTAAGTCCAATCGCAGCTGAAAGACCAGCAATGCCTGCTCCAACCACAATGACCTTCATTTTGAAAGTTATTTTGATAAATTCGTGATGTTAAGATGTCCTCTGGTTTGGAAGTAAGATCTTACATATAGTAAGGTGAAGCGAATGCGGAAGCTAAATTTAAATCACTAGGTGATGAGGGATGATCCGCCCGCTTTGGTCAAACAGGGGAAGAACATTAAAAGAGCGAGCCTCCGAATAGCCACTTATAATCACCTATATATGGAACGATAGAAAACGTAATATGAAGTTGCGGCATTGAGATCAAATGCAATGCAAGATGAAGAATATGGGGTGTCCGTTCATAAACCTCTACCCAAGAACAATGTGTGCCATGGTAATGATATTATCGTCCCTTGTAGAATTTGCATGATCCGGACATTTTAACTCATCATTTTTATCTGATCTTTCCAAACCAACAGCACCAGATCGGTAAAAATTACCTTGGTATTGGTTAACGGTGTCTCAAGATATGTTCCATGGGCCCATCAACAATACAGGCAACGCCTTTTGGTGAAACTTTGATTGGTCGTGGCGTGAAGAGTTGCCAAGAGACATTTATCTGTTCCCCCGATTCCGATTCTGATTCCGATATTTTATTCTAACGGAATGTCGGTGAAAAGATATGTCTATCTATATTCGCTTTATGTGGTGCTCTCATGTCGGCGTCGGTGTTGTGTTTATTGCGATCGTCACACACCGTGAGCGGTAAGTTAGGTGAGCGGAGAAGAGAAGAGAGACTTAAACTCCGCTCGTTCCGCACCTAGGATACTTGTACTCTGTCTTTGGATGATGCCAATTTCATCAACATTGTTTTCACGAGGCTGATGTCTGCAAACGAATTCGGAGCCGACAAACAAATCTAATAATAAGCATGAAACCATCCGACAGCCCAGGCCAACAGGGGTTCAATTGGCAGTGTAGCGACATCCTTATTGGACGAATAGATGAGCGAAGTTCCCTTTTGTCTTTCCCTTTTAAGCTGGCCGATAGCATTGATTAATGGTCAGATTATTATTGCATTGCCATTTTCTTCTGTTGAGAGTCAGTGTTCAACCATCTCATCAGAGTCTAAGCTCATGAGTCACATCCAAAGCTTTAGACTTCGCCGTTCCTTTTCTGGAAATTTCTTATTCGAATGTCAGACAAATGATACCCATTATAAGGGATGTATGGCATTTAACGTATGCCTTTTCATACCGAAGCGCTGCGATTACTGTCATTACGGGGCTTTAGGAATTTCCCAACGAATTTCTTTCGACAAGATAGAGGTGATATAAAGTATTTCTCGATCTCAGCTTGGGATTTCGTATCTTCCAAACCATTTCATTACCTTCACTCCCCTATTTACTTGCGAACAATTATCTCAGCATGTCAGAGACTACCCCCGAACTGAAAACCTACCATGGCAATTGCCATTGCGGTGATTTTAAATTTATAATCAAAATGCCTGAGATAACTACTGTTACTAAATGTAACTGCAGTATCTGCTTCAAAAAAGGATATCGATGGGTATTTCCTGGTGAAGGCTGTTTTGAGATCACCAAGGGTGAGGGAACTCTGAAGGAATATCATTTCGGACCACGTTCAATGGCTCATAGGGTAATTTCACCATTCTCTTCTTTCAAACTATGCTCATCGACCTAGTTTTGTCCAACATGTGGAACAGGTGTACAAGGTTTCCGCTACAATACTCCAGCGGGAAGGGATAATGGTATCAATGTGGGTTGGGATAATATTACACATTTCATGAAGGTTGATGGCTGATTATCACGTTTAGGTCAATTCTCTTCAAGATATTGACCAATGGTCCTTAACAGTTAATAAGTGAGCAGAACCCAACCATTTGATTCAGTCTGTAGAAAGCTCTAACGTTGAATTTTAAGACATGATGGCCTTAATCGTGAACCGCAATCCGTTGCTCCGAAATACAGTGGCGAATTACCAACAGCTAAGTTCGAAAATGAGAAGCTGTATACTGGTGGTTGTCATTGTGGTGCGGTTACCATCGCATTCAAGACTCAAGCTCCTCTCACAAAGGGACATGAATTTATTCAGGAGTGCAACTGTAGTATCTGTTGTCGAGTAAGTGTTGTCTCAAGGAGATTCCATTAACACATTAGTACACTACTAATAAATGTATAGCTTGGCACTGTCATCAGTTATGCCAGGAAAGACCAAGTGGTCATTTCGGGCACATCGAATTTGACAAACTATTCGTTTGGTCAGGGATATAACGTCTTCAGATTCTGCTCAACTTGTGGAATCACTGTCGACGTTGACAAGGACATGAGTGCAGTGTCTAAATCACCAAAAACTTGGGAATCGTGGACACCAGCGCAACGGGAAAGGTGGCCAAATATCCATCCGGTGAACTTAAGATGCTTTGAAGGGATTGAATGGGATGATATCAATATCTACAAGGCAAACTCGAGAGCGACAGATCCGCAATACGTTGTTCCAGAATAATATATCTCTCTTCGTTAAGAATGGGGAGGCGGGGAAACGCATCCGGCTGGATTGAACGACGGTAGCGGAGTGGGAGAGCATCTTTTGATAATCAGATGATATCGTAGTCCCGGGTTACGCCCTTGGGATTTACCTAGGTACTTATCAGAAAATGACTTATCGACTTATTCACCACATTTTCATATCAGTGTCGTCCGAATCTTTGCAGTGAACTAAAATACCAACCGTTGTCCCACCAGAAGAATTGCTTTCATGCACGTTGATCTATGATTGGTTATGTTTCATCCACGTGACGATCAGCCGAATTTAGAAACTTTCACATGCAAATAACCTTCAACTTTTAACTTTTTTTTGCGATAGCAACGAGCATTCTTATCGTCTCCTGAGAAATATTCGGGCCTCTCGTCTCATGGACGTTTCTCTCATTTTCATAACAATCTCGCAATCAGCATTTATTCATCCATCCTCGAATTCTTTTTTATATATACACAGATGCATACTATGAATCGAATCTTCTTACCACTCTGATTTAATACAACGACGCTTTACGTTGGGCTAAATTGAAACTAGCTACCACTACTCCGGAATCGTTCTACACCTAGACCGTATTCGACCAGCCATCATCCTTTGTCCACAAAACGGTTGCTTGCAACAATTTAGTTCAACATTTGGAAAAAATCATCTACTTTCGTACATTCATTTTATTTTGGAAACATCTTTTGCGCTATAGAATGTACTCACGATTCACCCGTCGTTCCAAACGAAATATTTCCAAGGAGGTATATCTACATCAAGACGAAATCACATCACTTCAAGATTCGGAACTTGAGATGCAGAATCAACAATATCCTCCCACTTTTACTCCAACTTCAAAAGAAGCTTCAATGCTTTACTCCATGCTTCCTACAATTGTACAATCACGTTTACCTCGCATTCCTTCGATTCGGAGTTCCGTTAATTTATATGGACTTGTGAGTGGACGGAAATCTGAAGAAATTGTATCTGGCGCAACGACACCGGGATCCATATTCTCCTCATCAGCAACGACTCTTATCGGTGCACGAAGCTCGGTTTCTATTGATGAAGAATCAACCGATAGCTATTTCACAGAAGAGTCACTACTTTCAGACGAAGACTTTCCTCAAGCAACAAAGAATAGACAGCTTAAAATGATAGAATTGTCGGAAACAAAATCAGGCATTGGATGGAAATTTGCAAGCCAAGGTTTGACTGCTACTAATTCAAAGATATACACATAATAATCGTTATTTGAACAGGATACAGTCTTCTTACCCTCTCCATGAAGGAATCATCTGCAATTTCCCAAAACACTCGATTTAGTAATACGTCCTTGGCAAGACAGCTCTACATCCATGCCTTGACCTACCTACTCCGAGCTCTTCCTTCTGATCTATCAACGGAGGAAAGCATGAGTCTACAAACCTCGATACCACAAGAAGTAGTAGAATCAATACAAGAAGAATCAAGTATCCGCGAATCTAGTCAAACATCAGATGCTGGCAACGCTCCACCGTCATTGCTCCAAAGGAGTGTTGCCGCTACCATTATTCAACTATTTATATTGTTGCAGTTTATTCTCCCTTATGTGAAATACCTACTCACTTCAGCGTATCAATACGACAGAACCTATAAAATATCCGAGAAAGTTCTGTCCCGTGGTATCGTGACGGTTGATACCATTGGAAAATCAGGCCTCGCAGTCACTGGAGCGATATATGGAATGGGTGATGGTAAAGTTGGACAAGCTCTCACGGATGCCGCCGCTTGGGTTGTTGAAGGTGTCACGGGAGGGGTACATGAAGGTGTGAGTGGAGGATTGGTTATGTTGGGTGCAAAGAATGGTACTTCAAATAAAAAAATGAAGGATTGAAGGCTTTCGGATTGTATTTGGTGGTGTAAATTTTCGTCGGTAAATGGTGATTGTGATACCCAAATATGGAGAAGGCGTTTTTCGGTTGTCGGGCCACTTTTGGGTACATAAGGATTTACTCTTCAATGAAAGAATAATATAATCATCCAACATGATCTCCTGTCTACCTATCCCGTCTCCGTAGTGAAGATGAGCATTTTTCCATTTCTGTTTTCGCTTGGCGGTGGATAAGCAAGTTAAATCACGTGACATCTAATCTCCAGTCTAGCTATCTATGTATTAGCGAATAAAAGATAAACTCATTAGCGTCAAAAAAAAGTTCTGGTGGAGGAGAAACTCGCATGTCCATTTCTTGCAGGACTTCAGCGATATCGACACTTTTAAAGCATCGCCACTTTGATCTTTATATTGTTGATTTTGAAAGATATATCTTCAATTGAGTTGTCTTTAATACCTTTTCAATCTCTATCCGTTCACGGATCAGTTTTAGATCATGTTCTCTGCTTGCAGAAGAGGCCCTGCCTCAATATCCAGAGCCCTTCGCGCAGTCCCATCAACCATTCGAATCCCTTCAACCAGACCTTCAACCCTCTCTCTTATCTCACAAAAATCTTCAATTTCCGCCTTAGAGTCAAGATGGTTACATGTTTCTGCCGTTTCACAATTACAAAGTGTTGCCACGAAAGAAGCTGCGGTTATCCAAGAAAATAAAATCATTAATCGATTCGATGAACTCACCAAGTATGGTTTGGTTCACCCAAATGTTGTCAATGAAATCACTGATACCATGAAACTCGAGACCATGACGGAAGTGCAAACCATGACAATTAACCAAGCCTTACAAGGAACTGATATGTGAGTATCAAAAAGTCCTCGAGTCAAGAAATTCATGCTAATATTTTCTGCTATAGTATTGCACAAGCACGAACTGGTACCGGAAAGACAATTGGTTTCTTGCTCCCTACTATTCAAAACATTCTTGAGAAGAGTCCTGAGCTAGCAACCCGTCAACGTTATTCCAGGGCTAGACCATCCGATATTCGCGCAATCATCATATCCCCTACTCGTGAATTGGCAGAGCAAATTGCTGTCGAAGCCGTCAAGATTACAAGAAACACCGATTTAATTGTGCAAGTTGCAGTTGGAGGATCAAGCAAGAGAGAGATGCTTAGAAAAGTTCAACGTGAAGGTTGTCACATTCTTGTGGGCACTCCCGGAAGACTCCAAGATCTTTTGATGGATGAGTACAGTCAAGTATCTGCTCCAGGATTAACAACTTTGGTTCTTGATGAAGCAGATCGACTTTTGGATGATGGATTTTCTAAAGATATCGAAAACATTGAGGCATTATTACCTAACCGCAAGGAAGTTGATCGTCAAACACTGTTATTTTCCGCTACTGTTCCAAGAGAGGTCATGCGTCTCGTTAAAAGAACGCTGAAGCCAGGTTATCAGTTTGTACAAACTGTTAAGGAAGGAGATGTCGCCACTCACGAGAGAATTCCTCAAAAGATTGCCGCTACCGTGGGTTTGGAGAACACCATACCAGCCTTGGTCGAGCTTTGCAAGAAAGGAATAGAAAAAGCTAACACCGAGGGTACCTCCCCATTCAAAGCTATTGTATACTTTAACTCAACAGCCAGTGTCCAATTGGCTGGAGAGATCTTCAAGGGCATAGATTCGCTTCATTCCGTTGAAACATCTGCTATTCACGGCAAGCTTTCACAAGAAAGAAGAACTAGAGTTACAGATAGGTTCCGTCGTGCCCAATCCGCAATTATGTTTTCTAGTGATGTTACTGCTCGAGGAATGGACTTTCCAAATGTCACTCACGTTATTCAAGTTAGTGTGCCTAGGGACAGAGATACATACATCCACCGTGTAGGCCGAACTGGAAGAGGAGGTAAAGAAGGAGAGGGATGGCTCATCATGACGCAAGCTGAGATTCCAGTCGCTCGTCGATTACTCTCTGCCCTTCCAATCACACCCGATCGTACACTAGCGACCGCTCTTGTTGACATGAAAAAAGATGCTCAATTACCAGCCGCTACAGCAGAGATCCTCAATGAAGTCGGTCAAGCAACAAAGAGAGTTGATCGTGAAGTCAAAGTTGACGCTTACATGGCAGCAATTGGCGGTGGCCGAGCAGGTCAAAACAATAGAGAATTGATGATGTCTTTGAATGACATGGTCAAGTATGGTTGGGGATGGGAAAAGCCTCCCTTGATTAGCCCTGGCATGGCGCAAAAATTAGGAGTTGCTAAGCTTCCTGGCATGAATATTGGACACGCAAGTCGCGAGGATGACGATGATTTTGGTGGTGGACGAGGATTTGGAAGTAGTAGTGATGGTGGAAGAGGCTTTGGCAGCGGTGGTGGTGGTGGTGGTGGTGGGAGAGGCTTTGGAAGCAGTGGTGGTGGTGGTGGAAGAGGCTTTGGAAGCAGTGGTGGTGGACGAGGATTCGGAGGTGGTGATCGTGGATCCAGTGGAGGAAGAGGATTTGGCGGTAACCGAAGTGGTGGAGGTAAAGGATTTGGACGAAGTGACAGAAGTGGCGGAAAGGGATTTGGTGGTGGCGGTAGTGGCGGTAGAGGATTCGGCGGCTCAAGCTTCTAAACATGCCTTGATACCAAGTTGATTGAGTCCTTTGTTTGTATACCACCACTCCCTTTCCATTTCATTCCTCTTCCTTTTCTTTTCTGCTTTTTTTTCGTCTTGTTTTATTTTTGCCGGAACTTTGGGTGTACGCACACAGTTTCAAAGAAGGATGCAAGATGCAAACCAAGAATTGAAAGAAAGAGATGAATTTCAGATTCAAACTCATGCTTGTACGATACATGAAAGAAATATTCAAATTCTTGTTTTGAAAAAATTAGCTATAGCAGATAGATAGTATGGAAACCAAAATGGATAGGTTGGGGGCGGGCTGGAGTTTGGGCGTTTTTTTTTGTTTTGCGCTCTGGTTCCGATCCGGTTCTGGTTTTTCGGGCCTGCTTTAGGAGCTTTGAAGTAAGCTGTGGTTTAGATATCTATACTTCTTTGTATACTCGAATACATACATACATGCCCATGCCATGTTACTTGACGAGTATGAGTATGAGCTGGATTCACGGATGTATGTTTGGATGTATGATGGTATACTGAGGAATGGGAAGGGGGAGTAGAAATGAGAAATTAGCAATTAGGAGAATCTATCCATGATGGTCGGTCTCAGGAGTGATTAGTTGGTTGATATAATTCTACTCTTTAAATACTTACTTAACCGAATCCCTTTCTTCTTTGAGCTTCAAAAATTAAAATTCAAGATCCTTTTACTAAAATAAGTATTTCTTTTTTTTTTTTAAAAAAAAAAGAGAAAAAAACATCATTATTCTCTATTGATTAAAAAATCTAAATTACTCTTGAAAAGAATATAAAAAGAGAGTTATCTAATTTAATTGATCAAATTTAAAAGATCGAAAAAATTAAACTATAGTTGTATATTATATGATTTTTACCCGGTTATATTAATCATTTAGGTGAATTGATTCCTATAGCTTTGTCGGTTCAGTTGATGAGTCTAGTTGATTTTAATTTTCAATTGAATGAATTGATATTAGATGGTTTAATTGTGATTGTGTTAATTCAAGATCTAATTGTCACGATTTACCATTAGGATTGATGGTGTTACGATGGTAGCAAACTGATTAATTAGGGGAGCTTAGGCCTTGTGCAAACACGATCAGATTTCATCGAATTAGTACATGATCTTGGTCACCTGAAGATCGTATGCGCACGCACCATCAGAAATCACGTGATAAAGGGCCCTAGGAGCCCTCAAAGCTCCTGGAGCTCCAGGAGCCCTGAGGAGCCAGAAAGCTCCTAGGGGCTCCCTTTATCGTTCATTATATAGTCAGAGTAGTTTCATAGTTTAGGAGCTTCGTGCTCAACTTAGTTATCAATTAGTTATCAATTAGTTATCAATTAGTTATCAATTAGTTTACCTACATTCTACTTGATCTAGTAACGACTTCATTTCCAAGTGAATACCAGTGATAAAGCCTTAACCCATAACTACCAACCGACGAACCTTAGGCAGCCGCTGCCTTTAGTATAGTATCGTTACATACTGCTTGAATTGGGAAATGGAAGGAGATGTGAATTGAGAGATGGGCACGGGAAACTGGGGAAGCGGGATCTAGGAGTAGACAACTAAGAAATTGAGAACCAGTACTATCCTCTAAAGGCCTAAAAGAAGGAAGCAGGTAGTACACTAGTCCCTCAGGTATCTTTATCCATCTAGTTAATATGTCTAGTGGCAGTCTTCATTAAAATCTGGCATGTATTCTATTCCCCAACCAAATTACCAGCGAGAAAACTCCAAGAATCAAGACAGCGGAGTACAGAATCACGAGGGAACCTTGCAAGATGTAAATCTTACAATCGTAATAATCAAATCAACCAAACCCAAGAAAAGAGATGCACATCTCGCAATTTCTATGTTACTTGCCCCCATATTACCCATTCAACTTCCAAATATTCCGAGCTAATCAACTCATCGGTCGGTCTATTCCAGGAATCCGTTGTTTCAGGTTATATATGAGGATATTATCTTTTTCTTCCATATTTGTATCCTTACACTGAGAAGTACCAAACATAAGCTTCATGCCATATTCTCCAAATTCCACATTCTAAGATTACATTTTCCATATTTCCTCATACCCTTGATTTCTATGTCCTTTTTAACTCCACCTCTCAGTTCCGTCGTTACTATGATCTTTTAAAATCTCATAAACATCTTCATCTTCATATACCATCATCAGATTCCTATGCTAGCTATTTATACCTACACCCATATTCCTATATCCCCATCATCCCTACCACTATAATCCTCCCAGAATCCAGCACTACAGGATTCCCTTCCCCACCACAAAATCCTCCTCTTCCTCCTCATACAAATCTCAAAAATCTCAAAAGTCTTACATATCCACTCTCCCGCTCTGCAACTCCCTCTCTTTCCCCTCCCCCCCTCGCTCCTAAAATAATAGATCAAAACAAACATCACTCTCATCCTCCCTCCCACAAATCCCAACCCTCGTCCCGACTTCGGTACAACTTCTCCCTCTAACCTCCCCTCTAACCCCCTCCATCCTCGGCATAACCTCGTGTAAGAATTAATTTCCTCACCAAGCGATGATGACATCCCCACTAGCTCCTAGCTCCTAGATATTCCATCCGAAAAATTTTTTGGTTGCACATCTAATAATTATCCCGACATTCATCCCGCAGCAGTCCCGACATTCATCCCGCAGCAGTCCCGATGTTCATCCCGCGGCAGTCCTAATTTTCATCCCGACGGTAGTTCCGGTGGAAATCTTAGTGCCCTTGTAAATTGAATCTTTTCTCCTTGTCCTGTACCTGTAACGAAGTATTCTTACTATCCTCATTTGAAGCTTCGGTTGTCTTATATTCCCCATCTCAATGATTTAAGATATTAAAATATCTACCAAATATCGATTATTCATCTGTCAATAATACCTTCTCTCTTTTCGCGCTAATACATTAAAAGACGTCGCAATTGTTCGGAACAAATATTCACAAATATCCCAACTCTAACTCAAACCAGCTCCACACACCGGTGGTAGGATTTGTCATTTTGAGACGAACTATACATAGGATCTTGATTAGATTAGGTAGTTTACGGTAATGTAGCAAATGCTCACTTTCAGTCCCAAAAACACACCTCATAGATGAGTCTATGCCAAAACATACAATCAATAACCTCAATACAAAAGAAACAAAAGAAATTCTTGAATACAATTTTAGTGACACCGAACTCTGAAATCCTACAATAAAATACCCTAAGGAATCTCCTCTTTCATATCCATTACGCCAAAAGATAAAACGCCATCCATGTGGTATCATATTACTCATAAGATTATTTTATTTCCTTTTCCCAAGTACGCATTTATGAAGTAGAAAATAAAAATCTTATCAAACTCCACTTGAAGAAAAGAGGCCGTGAAAAAAAAAACGAGAACACAATAAAACATCTAAGGACCCATTACAGAACGGACATCCCAGACCAGAAGTCGTTCATCCCAAGCAGTACTTGCACACCAACCTTCACCAAAAAGACACCAATCAACACCAGTCGCGAATTCGGTATGAACATCCATACGACCCAGTTGGCGGGGCATGCTAGCATTTGATGTACCGTCTGTCCAAATACGACAAGACATATCATAACTGGCGCTTAGAAGTGTATCACTAAGATGAGGACTCCATACTAGTTTTCGAACAGCATAATCATGTCCTTGTAAAATCGCGATAGGTCCAGCTCCTGGATTACGAATATCAAAAGTTCGAATCATTTGATCAACACCAGCAGTTGCAATAACTCCATCACGATATTTATTCCAATCATGTGTGAGAGCTTCCGATGGAGGGAATATTTGTCGATTACTTCCGATTGCACCTAGGCTTCCTGTAGTTGGTGGAGGACCATGAATTGGAATGAGTGAAACTAAATGATTGGATGCAGAGGCAGGTGTACGAAGATCAAATATTCTCAAGTGCGAATCTGAGGAGACAGATGATATGACCGAAGGAGAATGAGGAGAGAAAGCAGTACTGTATGTGCAAGAGTGTGTAGGCAATGTAAGCAACGAGCTTTGGCGATTCGGATTCCACTGATAACGAAGGAGTTAGCGATATTCTGTATGAGAAGAATATACTCAGATATATTCATACCAATTTGATTGTACCATCCCAAGAACTCGAAACAAATGTATCCTTTGAAACCAAGTTCCAATGAACAGCAAAGACTTCACGGCTATGCTCATGGAAGTTTCCAACTGGAAATGGTTCATTGAGTGCGGTATCGAATAGCTTTACACTTCCATCACCACATGCAACAGCGACTTGATTTTCGTTTGATTCGGACCATGATAAATCGTAAATAGAATCTTGAGTATCGAAACTGCAAGGAGGGAAAGATAAAAGTCAGCCAAAGCTATAAAAATGGTGCATATAGAGAAATTGAACTCAAACCCCCGACATGACTTACGTTTTCTGTACCTGGATCCCTTGCGCCGTCAACATCAAGCTGTAAAGTCTCCCATTTCCCACCAGACCATAATTGGCGGAAGCAGCCACACAAATTCGATCTTCGTAGAAAGGGGAGTACTTGACAGCGGATCCCTTGAAACCTCGAGTGATAAACTCCAACATGGTCATGAAATAAAAGGTGGTGGTGGTGATCAAATGTGGTAATTGTATGGATGGAATGCTTTATTTACTCCTTATTATCATCATAACTTATCTGGATGAATTATCCGCAGTAAGGCTTGTGAACCCCCACTATGATTTTTGTATCTGGACCGAGGAGTTCGGTGATTAGATGATCCGGGGGTAAATCCAAACATGGTTTAGCTTGAGTCATACCTTTTGGAACCGAGCCGAAAACTCGGCATTCTTGTTTCTGTGTTTGTCAAGCGAAAGAATATCGGCGGCTCATAGGGCCGATTTTCTCAATGATGAAAGTCAGCTGACCACATTCGACAACATCAAATCTACCGAATGATATTACGGTTCTGATCTGTGACCGGTCAATCACCTTGCATCTTTGGCTTTTGATATTAGTACCTTACAAATAGCAAAAAGTACTCCGTCAACATCTGATCACTCTCTAGATATCTGGATACCATACTTCTCTATGATGGATGCTTTTATATCAAGAAAAAAGCGAAAGTTGTCTGGCTCTTCTTCATCACAAATCCCAGACACTATCGAACATATCAATGCTCTCAGTGTTCCGGATGATGAGTCTACAGATTTTAAGCTGGCCCTACTATCATCTTTACATCCTAACATTGAACAAGAAGTCCTTCTTGAAACTTTACTCGATCACAACGGTGAAGTCGAGAAGGCGTCGGCTTCCTTGTCAAATCCAGACACCACCTCTTTGCCAATAGCCAAGAAATCATCCGCGGTAGGATATCAAAGTTCTCTTTCTACATTTATCTCGAGTGAGAACTCCACAAAACGAGTAAAGACTCTACCTAAGAAAGGCAAAACTCTTCATTTATATTCTCCTGAAGATGTAGCAGCTCATACTCCTTGTTCTATTATACATAATTTTCTCCCGTTGGAAGAAGCCAATGGTTTGCTTGAGGAATTGTTGAAGGAAGCAACGACTTTCGATAGAATGGCTTTTAAGTTGTTTGATAATGTAGTTACGAGTCCTCACACAGCTTGCTTTTATGTTGAAAGTCTGGAAGAAGAAAAGGCTCAGAAGACTGAATATATCTATAATGGTGATCTTTTAACGGTGAGCAGAATTCAGCGCTCAAAACTTTGGATTGCTGACCGATGACTTGCAGGACGTTCGTCAACTAACTCTACAAATGAGGAAGATCTCACCCAAAGTTCAGGATGCTGTCAATTCAGAAGTCGCAAAACGAATTAAAAAACATTATCCTAATGGCCAAAAGCTCAAGTACCAATCACCTGAAAAATGGAAACCCAACGCAGCATTTGTGAACTGCTATAACGGTGGCGCAGAAAGTGTGGGATACCATAGCGATCAGCTCACCTACCTTGGACCACGTGCGGTGATTGGGTCAATATCTTTGGGTGTTGCCCGCGAATTTCGTGTCCGACAAATTTTTCCCCAGGAGATAGATTCGACGGAAAAAAGCAAAGAATCATCCGATGCAGAAGGTCAAATCGCTATTCACCTTCCACATAACTCCTTGTTGGTCATGCATGCCGAAATGCAAGAAACTTGGAAACATAGTATTGCACCAGCACAAGCCATAGATCCTCATCCAATTTCGGGAAATAGACGAATCAACATCACCTATCGAGATTATAAACCTTCATTACATCCTAAATTCACGCCAAAATGCAAATGTGGGGTACCTACTGTCTTGAGGGTTGTCCAAAGAAAGAAGGAGAATTTGGGTCGATATTTTTGGATGTGTCATGCTGGAAATGTTCCTGGAAAAGAAGGGTGTACATATTTTGAATGGGCCGAATTTGATGATGATGGTAATCCGGTGTGGAATAACAAAAATGGGGATTGAGGCTGGAATTAGTGGCCCGAAAAGTTAAATCGAGGGCTCATGGCTGGGCATGGAGAAATCAAGATCGCAGTACCATAGCCAGGGATAATCTATATTTCACCCCGGTAAACAGCAATGGTCAATCTGGCATAGCTGAAGACAGGACTGGTAATACACAATGATGTGTCTCAGTTCCGAAAAGATACCAAAGGAATCAATTTACGACCACAAACAACAATGGAAAATTCATTAGAACTTCTTATATTCTAAAGTGTTCATAGTATAAGATCTATAAAACCAGTAACCAATCAATTTTCTTGCGCTAAAAGCATTCTATCCTATTCATTACCTACCCCACTTGTAGAGATACAACCGTTGATACCTGAATTGTAAGACTCACTTTCCTTTTTTGCGTCATCATGCAACGTACGGTCCATCTCCTCCATTCATCACCATCATCCCTCCCCTCCTTCCTTTTTTTCTCATGTTCGTTCACCTTTCCACCCTCATGCACTTCCGTACTTACAACATCAAAAACACAAGTGCATAACCGTGTATGTATCCTTTGATGCATTTAAAAGCAAATGATGACAAAATAAGTACGACCATGTCAGCCGAGCGGTTAACATCATTGGTTACTGATGAGAAATACCTCCCTGAGTGAGCCCCTGAGAGGGCATTTGGCACGTGATCTTTGACTATGATTCTTAAATTATATTATATATCTAATTGATCACAATATCATGGAATTTTAGAACCCTGGGATGGATCTATAGATGATGCTATGAACCCAATCCCACGCCCACATGTAGCTTAGCCCAGTAAATCCTACACCCACAGTTTGTTCGTTTTGAACATAAACGTGGACAAGAAAAATATTATGTCATACAAATTAAAAAATCATTTTTTGATAATTTTTTATCTTTCCATTTGTATTTATTAGAGGATATCAAAGAGCATCTAACGATGCTATCGATGAATTTTTTTACTATCAATTAAAGCTTCTATATTGATTCCGCTTTCGAGATTCGATTTTTGATGAATGGGGAAGTTGCGAGTCTTTAATTGATGTTAATCGGGTAATTTCTGGGAGTGTAAGGTTATCATGTGGTTGTCTGAAATGGAAAAGTATATATATATGGGGGTTTATATAGGAAACCCATGTTATTGTTAAATATCAATGAATAATAACTATTATACGGAGTAGTGACTTGTAGAATTGAAATCTTATTAAGTAAATATTATAGTACTCCGACTTATTATATACGGAGGAAGTCATTGACCCAGTTAATAGTAGTGAAGTGTATTTTCGGTTAATTAATCTTATATTTGAAGTTAAGTCGTCATGTTATGACTGAAGTGAGTATGTATACTTTTTATTTTCCTATCGATAGGTACCGATAGGTATCGATATCGCTCTTTCGGATCATTATATCAAAATATCTAGGTAAGTGAATATAGCTTTTGAAGAGTTTAATCATAAATCGTGTTGCTTATAAGTAATAGAAGAAAGTGTTCATGTATATAAGAGGTTTTAAGAAGAAGTGTGAGGAACGAGATAATTTAATATAACAGTAATAAATCGTGACCTTGCAGTCAAACACAGCACAATAATAATAATTGAAGATAATGCAAAGCAAGTGCTGCGGGATATTGATCAGTTTCTCATTACACTGGAAAATGAATTATGGCTATACATGATATCTCGAGATATGATCTTGAAGTAGGTGTTGGAAGATTCTTAATTCTGTATTGGATATATTATTCCAATACACCATTCCCTCTCATCAAGCTTTACCGAGCGAACCTCGCTTCGCAACACACACATTCCATTTCATCTCATCTCTCATCCTTCCGAATTAATCAAACAAATCCTCGGATACACGCGCTATCCACTTTCATCTCATCTCATCAGCCTCACAGCACCCCCTCTTCTTTTCAACCACTCTCTCACCAGCCAATTTCTAACCCGTCCAAAGCGCAGGCCCAGGAATGGTATAATTATTCAAGGTCACATAAGGATTAAAGTAAATCCCGGGATCAGTGGCTTTGTAAAAACTAGTAGCAGGTACACCGACAGGATTAGCGGTTCCAGAACCCGTTACGTCGATGTTGAGACAGAAGGGATAGTTTTGGGCGCCGTTTGGTGTGGTGGCTCCGTGGAGCGCGATGATTTCGTGTCGGAATATGTAGTGTCCTGATTTTGTTAGTGGGGCTTGGAGGGGGGAGAAGAGGAGAGGTGGGGGGTGAGTGAAGCAGTGGGTGAGAGCGAAGAGGGTGATAGCAAAGAGGAGATAGAGACGGAGAGAGGGGATGCAATAATTAGGCATGGGAAAGGAACAAGAAGGAAAGGTGATTAGAAGATCGAGTTGAGGAAAAGGATACACACCAGCAGCAAGACTCTTTGGCACCGTAGTCGTCCAAGAACTATTCTTCGCAATTAAATCCCCCGAAGCCCAAACCTGCGTACTTAAATTAATCCCCGCCTGATCAATCTTGACAAATTTCAAATTATTTTTATTGACCTAATTGTGAATCATAACTCAATTAGTTTCATTTTCTCTCAAAATCTTCATGAAATCTTCATCATTATATCATAGTAATAGTAATAGTAAAACAGAAGAAAAATGACATACTGTCGCACAACTTCCCCCACAATTAGCAACATATGTCAATACTGGACCAATATTATGTGGCCAGGTCGTCCACTGGAACTCGACTGTTCCGCCTGCAGGAACCGTGGCGGATACATTTGCATTTACGGCGTTTTTGTGACATATGATGTCGGATGTTCTTTGGTAATAATCAGTCACCATTCACTTATCACTTCTTTCTTTCTTAAGCTCCTCATACAGAAGTCTGGAGTGAAAATGCAGATAGAACTTATACAAAGGGAGTCATACGCATATTGATCCGGCGAAATAAATCCCAAATCCAACGCCTCTTCATACCATCCCGGTGTCTGTGGATAAGGGACTTTATTAATGATGTCGTACCAGTAGGATACTTGCCAGCCGGAGGTATAGACACCGTTTGCGACAATGCCGGAGACGTAGCCGTGGGCTTGGGTTGTGGGGAGGAGAGAGAAGAGGGAGAAGGCGGTTAGGGCGGTTAGGGATGAGAGGGGAATCATGCTGAGTGTGGTGTTTGGATGTGCTTGGGTTTGCGGGATGTGAGTTGTGGTTCTAAGACATTGTATGAGCGGGTTTGAGAAGATTTATATAGCTGATGTAGATGCTGATGTTGAGGAGAGAAATTGCGAATTCCTTGGAAATGAGAGAATGAAGCGTGTGACCAATTCTCTAAGATGCAATATGGCTATATAGTAGTACCTAGTCATGTATTAATTGATAATATAAAAGATATAGTAACACTTACTCCACGTATTGATGGAAAATCCGGGGTAGTGGGGGCGCGTTCTAAATGCAATATATGGATAGAAGGATCATTGGTGCGACCTCTCCTAAATCCGGGGAAGATATATGAAGTTGCATATATTAATGTAGCATCTCAACATAGGTTTGTCGTTGTCAATGTCGCCAAGACGGTTAAAGTTGTCCCCATTTTATATTGCGCGGAATTTCGGAACGTCGAGGCGGATGCAATATCGGCATCGCCGTAGCATGCCGCAATTTCACTTAAAAGTGTTAAAGGATATTGGAAGCTGAAGAAGTTTGTGAGTTTTTGGTTTGTCGTCGTAGTTATAGAGATACATAGCTTGAAGGTTTTTTGTGGGATTAGGTACGTGTTGCATTTGCTTCAGTTCGCAGTTGAACTAGAAGTTTTGCGGTTTAAAGTCCCGCAAACTAAAAGTCTCCAGGGGATGGCAGTTATATATTCTGTTTTGCCGATTATCCTTAGAATCCCTGGAATGTGAAGGCATCTTTGGAAACATGGGCCTTCTTTCCGGTTCGACGGAATCAGGGTATAAAGTTTGAGCAATCCCTTAACGAAGCTGCCCCCTGATCAGGTGCGGCAATTTGCATGTTAGCCGTGACGGCCCAGGACGGTCTTCTTATCTCCAAATTCCTCGACTCTTGGTCCAATAATACATACTCCGTTGAATCCATCAGATGCCGCGTGATTATGATTTGTCTTTTCCTTGGTATGATGAAATGATTTTAACTAAAACTTCGTGAGCATCACACGAACTATCGCTTGTGTTTTATTCAAAACTTGGTACTATTGTAAAGCAGATTCGGATATTAAATAGTTAAACAGCTTCTTAAAATCAGACCCTAACTAAAGAAAGACTACCATCATCAAACTTTGACCTGAAAGATATAGTTCTATTTTTGGTTGAATCAGTGGTTAAAATTTTACCCAATTTAGCTTCATCGTTCAACCACAATCCAAACAGCAAAGACTCGTTTTCCTGCTCGGTTTTCATTTTCGTTAAATCTAATTGATGATTAGACTAAGGTTATGACATGTTGCTCATCATCAAACTCATGTCTCTCCCTCGGAATATATGCACTCTCCTCTGCATGATTTGTTCTGTCGTCGTAAACTACCTCGGAAAAATTTATGAATTTGTGATGAAAGGGGGAATGCTTCAATGCACCAATTCTTTCGTATTCACCTTGGGAACTTCCGGTACGCCTCGAAATTACTCCCCCTGTATCCATGAGCCTCAAGATAAACGGGCACGTTTCAGTGTCCACCATATCGCTAGGATAGAAGTTAAAAAACAGCTTGTCATCTCAAATCCATTTCGCATGGTCACTCTGTATTCCTCGGGAATTTTTGCAACTAGCAGTGGAGGACACGACAACCAAAGTACTGCATTCGGCATGTCACCGAATGGATCATCAGACCTTGGTCTCTCCAGCTTCAAGACCTTCGATACCTTATGCCCATTTACATCTTCATTCATTGGTGCGAAACGCGTATTGAGGGAGGCCCATGACCATGTCGGGGCTCGCTTAGGGAGAACCTTTTCAGGCGGCCGATCATGACAATACCACCAGCACAGTTCTATCAAATTGTCGTACCATATTCCAGCACAATACCCGTCTTTATTTTGGGACCACATGGTCTGTGCAATTCCGGCTAGTGCAATGAGTCTACCCTTTTCGTAGGTTAACCTACGGTTTGAGTAACGACTGATGATATTGGCCCAATTTTCGATTGAAAGTGGCTCTTTGCCTCGCATGAAATCTCCCTTGAAACCAAAAGGCGAGGTTTCGGAAGCAAATTTAGTATGGCATTCCCAGAAGACCTCGTCTCGAGTAAAGTGTACTGCCCGTGGAGATAGTAAGCGCTCCTGCAAGGTCCAGCCTCGACTTTCCAAAGGACGGGGATTATTGACACGGTGTGGATCCGGTGTCTCGGACATGATATCATACTCAAAATTGGTATTATTATCAATTTTCAGAGAGAAATGGCATCTCGGTAGATCCTTGCGTTTGAAGAAACATCCTTGGCTGCTGTCCCTGGCACTGGATGCAGCAATATTGAGCAGACCTAGAACATTGTGAAATTAGTAAGTGGACATTAGAGGAGCCTATTAAAAAGAATTCGAAGTCAATTGAATAGCAAGAATTGAATAAATTACCAAAAATGAAATTTTTATAGGAAACTAGATGCAAGATGAAAGACGCAATAAAACTTACAACCGCCATAAAAATTGGCCATAGTGGCGGATTCTTTGGCCCAGTCTTGTTCATCATCTTGTATAATACAGAGCGAATCAATCCAAATGTATCTAATGTCCAACCTTTTACAAATTTCAATTGCATCCCGAAAGGTTTTGGGAAGCTCGGTCGTTCTGATTTCTGACAAGTAGTTTTCTAGGGTTGATCTCGTTAATTTTAAGATTCCCTTTTCCGAGGTGCCCCAACAGTGGCTTAACGTGGCATACTGAACAGAGTCATCTTTGAAAGAGCTGCTTAATCGCAATCGGACAATGGGAACATGTAGATCAATAAGCCTCGTTGGTATAAAACCTTGCAACCAATTGTTACAGTTTGGGTGCAATCTCTGACATGCATTGAACCATTCTTTCACCAGTGGTAGCGACTGACTAGTGTTTGATATTTTATCAGTGTTTTCAACTACCGTATTATCTGAAGTAGCAGGCGGTAGTGTCAGTACTATGCAAGTCTGCAACAACTCCAAGCATAAGGATACGTCCATCTCAGACCAGCTTTCCCCTGTTGAAAATACTGAAAATGAATCCAACATCTTCAACATTGGTTGGCTACTAGTCAATCTCCTCTTCTCCACTATACTATTATGACAACGTAAAGTACTTATTCACACCGAGAACTCACAAATTTCAGGGGCTTTTCTATTTTTACCCGAAATTGAAGTGATTCAAACCGCCCACAGCGATCCATCTCGTGATGATTTGGAAATCTTAGTTCGACATAACTTCGGGCCTTATCGAGACGTTGTAGGCTGATTTCAGCACTCGGTAAAGCAGTTTCTCCAAAGTTGGCCTTCCATTTACAGATGTATTCTGAAATCAAAGCTCTCGTTTGACTCCCGGAGCAAAACAAAGCGCACAAAGAGCAACCATGCTTTGCGGACCGAAGTAGGGCTAAAGGGCCCTGAACATGGGTGGCATCTATCCTCCATTCAGTGTGCCCTAATTCAAGGACCATTCTCTGGCAATAATGGCATAGCCTTGATAACGGTATAGTGCTGCTCGAGGGTAGATTATCCAGAACATGGTCAAAAGAATGATCCGAGTCATCTTCACGCTGCTCATCACTGCTTGTTTCCCCACCATCGAGAAATGAATCAAAATCGAATTTATAGGACATGGCTTGATCAATTAGTTAGCGCGGTCCATCGTATCAAAGACACAATTTAAAGTCGAAAGTGGTGTGTGATTTTTCGAAAGCGGCTGACATTTTAACAGCTTGAGAGGACACGTAAGCGCCGCTAATCCAACCAATACTTTGGAGAAGTATCTACCGAACGTAACCGAGATAAAAAGAGCCTCACACTGGACCGAGAGCCAAAACGGATTTTCACAATCGTAATTTAGTATTCATCTAAATTTGGATAAGACTTTTGACTTTCGATATTGTACGTTTTTCGACACAACTCCTATTACAATAGCATGCACAGCTCAAATTCAGTTCACACCACTATAATTAACTTATATTTACTTGACACTGCTCCGTGCAGCTATACACCAATCCCGAAAATGTTGAGCCGAGGTTTATTGCTGACCAGGTGAGGGAGCCTTCACCGCTGGCTTCCTAGATGAAGAATTCTTGAACATAGGTATTGTAAATGGAAGGAACTATGCTTTCTTACTGGGAACAATTAAATCAAATCTTTCTTACATGAACAGTCGCGGACGGCTGCTCCTGTGGTAGATATGCACAAATTTACTGCAGAATTTAATAGACAGTGCTCTATTAAGCTCCATCCTAGTTTGGTGGAGCTAGAACGGAGACTGCAGTTGTCGGCATTATCTTCAATAAAGAAGCCATATAAAATATCCTCCTATTAAGTTTTCGACGTAAAGAGATATTGAGGACGTTGATATACAGAGTAAGATTAGTGAATTTATGTACCTCCCATCGTATCTCACTTCCCTCTCGATGGTATGATATCATACATTATTTGTAGTGGACACTATAAATACAGTTTCCTATGGAGTAAAGGTGTCTAGTTTTTTTTTGAGCTAGCTATCTCAAGTACAAGGGCTATTTTAGTGCAATCTTATTTATTATACTATTATTTATTTAATGTAATATAATAATGAGTAATGCTAAATTTCAATATCAAAATTATTTCGGTGATATCATTTAATTTTCAAAATAATAGAATTTGAAAAAATGTTTTTATTATAATACATCATTCAAGATTTTTTAATAATTAAAATAATTTATAGAAATTGATGGATTATATGATTGTTACGCCTGGTAACAGGAAACTCTCACGTACAATCAATATTACGTGACTGGCTCAGTAAGGATCAGTGAGCTCAGTACTGAGCCGCATTGATCCTACTGAGTAGGTATAGGCACGAAGGTCTATATAATCTAGATGGATTTCCTTTGTATAGAGCTTCGTGCTCAAGATCAATCATTTAGTATACTCTACTATTAGTTACGAATTGCATCACTGTCATTACTTAAGTCCCTGCTTGACGCCTAGTCATAAACCACTTCGAGAGCCTAGAGCACTTCCACGTGATCTAGACGGCAAACCTCGTAACATCATTCAGAAGCCATACTAAAATTATATTAGAAAAGGCTGTCGAGTGATAACTAGTTTCTTGATAAGCTAAATACCTCTATTGTGTGGCAGCCACGCAATGCGTGGTAGATTGCGGGGTCGTGGGGGCGATCTAATCTACAGCAAACAGGGGAGTAAGATGATGAATAACGCATATGATTGCCGGATGCATGCATCCAGCTGCAAAAGTCTGCTAAGCATATCCTATGAGACACCAAGGTCGGCCATAATGCCGGCCATTATCCTGACTACAAATTAACTGGACAAATCTTGCACGCAAATAAATTAGCAGTTATCAGCGAGGCTATACGAAAAAAGAACATACCGTCACCAAAGGCCTAGCACTTTCAATATCATCACATACACCGAAAGTAGGCGTAACAACCTCCTCTTCATCCACATTTGGAGGATAGCATTTCCACATCTTGTCACCACATACTACACTCCCATCAAAAAATTTCTGTTCTTCGCAGGTTTAATCGTGTCCTTCAACTTTGCCAAAAGTACCTGGCGCTCTTCTCTCTGCACCTCCATTTGGTCGACCACTAGGCATGTTTTTAACACGGGTTTCAGTTGTCGTGACTTTTCGTCGTAGTTGCATGGTAACTCGGAGTTGGGAATAATCGCAAGGAGTGGAATGAGACTATTATACAGACGGAAAACCTCGGTGCAGTCTATATTTAGATTATGATACAACCTAGTGCCACTATGTACGCATCATAATTCACTACACCTGGTTTGCGAGGATAACTCCAGATAAGTATTACTTCTTTATTTGGAACTGGAGAAGCAGTGCTGGCACACGATGTAGTTGATGAAGTTGTTGGCTGTGAAATTGAGAATACATTAGACTCGATAATTTCGTGAAACCGGCTGGCACGGAGATAGTGTAGTGGATTGGCACCTATAATGGCAAGTCAAGCCTCGAAGTTGGTGGCTGAAGTGCTAATAGCAATGGATATTCCTCTTTGCCACAAGCCAATGCCCATCAACAACGTAACATCATGGCATTACTTTTTTGAGATCTCACGCCTGATACACGGAATAAGATTCACGGAGCGCTGCAAATTTTAATAAATTTGACTCTCATTCAAGATATGAGGCACTGATTCGTCACTCGTTTGCGAAGACATGTTCAAACTAGGCACCGGTATTCTCGGATCACGAAAACTTGAGAGCCCCCAAAGCGAGGTACTCCAAGGAGATAATATCGTAGGTGAACATCTTCCTTGATACCCACTTCTCATGCTTTCCCCATCAGAGACTGCCATTGATTGACCTGCCACTCGGCAGTTTAAAGAGATTTTATTGCACTCTCAATGGGCTTTTGCCCAAGCCCGGTGCAGGGCATTTGATTATATGACAAAGACATGATACATGTACTTTTTTAACCAAATTTGAAATATTCTACCCAAAATAGATGTCCAGCAAGCTGCCAAAGTACCAGACAAAAGCGATTGTGTTCTGGGCTCTGCGTAAACTATTAACCCAAAAGGCGCGTATTGGCAGATCAGACTTTACCTCTCGTTCTTAAGATAAGCTATACGCTATACGCTATACGATATGACTTCGAATGGAATGTAGATATAACTGGATTAATGTGGACAACGATAAAGAGTGTGACTATGAATATAAGGCGAGAGTTGTGCAGTAAGGGATACAATACACCTATTTGACGGACCTTAGATGTTTGATAGTATATCATTGCACGAGATAAGCTTTTCTTTTGGGAGCCCTAAGGAATAAAGGTGACGAAAACTGGTACCTTGCATCCAAACGATGAATTCATGATCAAAGATAAAGAATTCGCTGTATTGTACGAAGTCTGCCATTTTTTGTTCCTGCGGTAGCAAATCGCACGTGTTTGCCAAGCATATTAGATGTTGCCATTAAAGCAAAATAGGTGAACTAGGCGCGAGTGCCGCTGTCGGCGGCTGAAGCGAGCGGCAATAAGGTGGAATGTGTTCATATCCGATATAAGCTTTCCATATGAAGACTTAGCACCTCCGCGGGTAGTAATGATGTATTGAGATTGAGCATTTGTTTGTGCTTTTGTGCTTAACCCTTGTGTGAAGTAGACAGTTTAAGCACACTGCTATTTGATCTGGTCTTGAGGGAAATTAGAGGGCCTGGTGGTGTGGAGTTTTTCAGCATCGAACAGCTTCTAAAAAGGCGAAGGAAAAGTATCACAATGAAAACTGGACAGGATACCACTTTTCAGAGTATGCTGCAAACATCCTTCAAATCCTCGATCATTGCTGCTCTTGCACCTTTAACGCTGAAGTAGATAAGGGGAGTATGTAGCAATGTTGTTAATTTCACACGGGATCAATTAATATTATGAACAATGCTTTTAGACTGACAACCTTAAGCGCTGACTCTCGGTTAGCAAGGCATAGACGAAGGAACAGTTATTGCACTCCCCACGTCTGACATTGCACTTACAAGGTAATAAGATATGCCTTTTCTAGATTTTCATTGGTAATATATTCACTTGACCCCAGAAGACGACTCCGAGATTGAAAAAGTCATTGGAGAGAGGTAATAGTTGAGCCACAGCTCGTCGCACATTACCTGAATTCGTGACAAAATCCCCATACAAAAACTACAATGTCTTGTATAAACTTAAATAGCGAATAACTCTTTCAAAATCCAAATTGGATAAAATTAATGTTTCCAAATAACGTTTTCAAAAGCTTCCTTCTTTTTCGAATTGAATTATTCATAATTCTAGAAAATAAAACAATTATAAATAAATCATTTGTTTTTTATTTAGATTTTACTGAATTATATATATAAAGATTTAAAAGAATTTAGAATTTTTATCGATGTATTAAAATGTTAACAGGGATTTCAAAAGTTGAAGAAATGATACTTTTTGATATAATAACATTAGAAATACCCCGAGCTGCGGTCCCACTTACCAAATGATATAGAACAGGGCAAATTTGTCAATGGGGAATCATAAATCTCTAGGCTGAAAGGAAGCAGTAAACGAAACTTTTCAGGCCTAGTCACCTCTCTTATAGGCTGCAAAACCAAAGCCTTTTCCTCTTCCCCAAGACGCGTCCACTGATAGCTATTGAAGAACACGTCGCCACTGAGCTTTACATCAAGCACCGAAAGACCCTTCATGCTAGCTAATATTTTCCACGATTTTACCCAAAATCCCCAAGTTTGATGGCTAAAGCCTTCCAAGCCCAGAGGAATGGGCGAACCATATGGAAATCCCCAGTCTATAGTCATGGAACGGATGGCATTGAAGCGTTGAGGAAGAAGAAGACTTGGAAGGCCCCCAAGGTAACAAGCACTTATATTAAAATTGTTGCGTGAATAGAGGCAGTCGATTGCCTCTGAGTATCTAATATAAACTTAGCGGGGCTACGATACTTCTTCATTTAGATAGTACCGACATCCTGCGGCAAGTCAAGACTAAGGGGAAAACTTTACGATTTTGCCCGGGATGAGCGGCTGTTATATTTCGGTTATCGTTGGAGGGAAGCTCCGATGGCAACGGATGCAAAGAGGAGCCTTGCTGGTTCGGCTCTTCGTGGCATACTAGCTGAGTCGATTCACCGGGGCCTCCAAGAAGCGAGAAACGAAATCTTCTTCCACCGAGACACAGTTCCCAAATCGATTTCCGCAGTTCCGCAGGCAGCTTCGTCAAAAGTAAACATTGATCTTGTGTATGGGTTGTGTGTTTGCGATTTTCAGTGTCTGAAGCAGATGATAGAGGCAGCGTCAGGGCGCTATCATTCATCCTTAATGTGTAGGGAGAAGATTTCTTGAGATAGGCTTTGCCAAATCGTGAGCATGGTTTACCCAGTATGTAAAAAATTAGAACGAATAAGGCGTAAAGGCAACCGATGAAGTATGAAGCAGTGCACAGTAAAACTTCTTTCACTGCAGATCTTACCGCCCCTAGTGACATTGTTGTAAAAAGAAATCTTGAAGGGAAGAATCGTGGACCTGCGACAAAAAAGTGGCAAGTTTAGAAGGGTAACGCTTGATATGTGATTTTATTTTCAAACCAAAAGATTCTCGTGAGGTAACTTGTTCCTTTATGTTAGGTGTCTGTTGGTGATACGAATGTGCCCAGCAATGCAGATGACATGTTTCAATGCGTCATGGCTAAATGTGGCGGTGGCTGACACGTAAGATCTTACCAATGACTCGAAAAATAATTCACTACCTGCATAGGTATCAACAGTTGAAGAAAATCATTGCTTAAACCAGGTCTGAACGTTTCATGTTAAATGGCAGGCACTGGCTGCCAAACACGAGCTCGTGTAAGAGACTGCAAGTGTGCGTATAAAGAGGGCAGCCTAGGAATTTGAGCGTCGATCAATACATCATCTTACCTCTCACCGTTATAACTTTAAACACTCATTAGCAATTTCACCAACTCCCATCGATCTCTCACATACGTAGAGATGTCTGCATCTGTGTTATATTTGAAGCCCAAAAAAATAAAACATGGCCACTTAGATCGAACTACTCCAACAGGTTTGAAGAGACACATTTCATTGTCCATGCAGATTTTAGACTTCTGTATTTTTGCGACGCTGAACGAAGCGAGGCATACGGGTTAATTTCTTTCCCAGATTTTCCAATACAGTGCTGTGTCATTTGGAATGACGCTGTAATATACTTGATTGATCAGATCTATTGAGGGCATGTGAATGTTCAATCGATCCGAAGTTGCTTCAAGGTTTCGGGTTTTGCTACTTCCACCTATTCAGATTAATGCTTCCGATTGACTTAAATAATGCCGCTTAGAAAGAATCTTCATGGTTGATCGCAACTGGGTGCTGGAGAAGGAAATAATGAGGGTACTTTATGCCTGTCATAGCTCGTATTGATTGAAGTCGGGCAGGTATATATCGGATATGGAATTTGAGGATAGGGTAATGGAGGTAAATTTCATCTCCGGTAACATATCCGATAAAAAAGGGCGTTCTCCCCAAAATAACCGAAGATATAGATAGCCAAGTCATGCTATTCATAGCATGTATGTACGGCACTATTTAAGAGAGATGCGTCCAAAGTGTAACATTAAAAGGGAGAATTGAAAGCATAGATCATGAGTCATTGGAAAATCGGAATAACAGCCATATACCATCAATCCCGAATTGCCAATAAATACTGAGATTTTAGCCGCTAACTTATTGACTCCAGCCTCAAGAAAAAAACTACTCGATATTCGCACCTGACCTCCTTCTTACGTTTGATTACTGAGACTTTTTCATACTTTGATTTCGGACGTCGGAACCTAGCATCTGAATGTATTTAAACATTAAGACGTCAAAACCCCCGAATCAAGCTCGGAAATCGGATACTGCACTCTCAAATGGGTCGCCAGAAGCACTATCCTTTACCGCCTCATAGGCCACCGGGGAGGACTTGGAATGGGAGTTTCTGCCGCATAGTGACGATAATTCGCTCTCGGAAGACAGGAAAGCTAAGAAAAAATTGCTCAGGAGCCGTGATATTCATGATTGGTTCAAACAACCTCACCTGTTCGGCCTCAATCATCCGATTCTCGTCTAAGTGCAAGCAATGGAGCTCAACATACAAATATTTAAAGTTCTCCATGACCGATATTAATTGTCATATATCGATGCATTGCAAATAGTAGAGATGATTGCATGCCTCGCCTGGCGGTGTAGCCATAGGTAAGTGAAAATCACAACATGGCCATGCTACGGGGAATGCAGTGTTATTGTCATATCTTTGCCGAAATACTAGAGACAAATCCCTCAGATCCCTTTGCTGCACCTGAAACAGGTTATGGGTGTATAATATTTCGATCGACTCGGTGTAACTACCAGAGTCAGTAACGGCCATGGAAAGAGTAAACTAGATTGAGAAGAGTGTTGATTTATCCTTGAAATATAGATTGGTGGTTCCGGGTTACTAGTAGAACGATAATGATATTTCCTCTCATGGTTTCTGAAAGGATATACCACCCAACGGTGAAAGGTTCGCACTAACCAACTTATGATGGTGAACCACAGGCGGATTCTGTTGACTATCATATATCTCGAACGGCCAGAGCGACAACCGTCCCTCATAATGACAATGAAGCCTGAAAGACAAGTGGCGTCAGAATTGGTAGTCTGCCAAATCGCTGTTGTCAAGCAGATATAACTTAAATGGTGGTAAACAGCATGAAATATCTATTTCGGAACAGTAAGTCCTTCTAATGCTGCCTGGTCATAGCCAAGAAAAAATGATTTGTCATTTGTAGATACCTCAGGTAAAACATATCACGAAACTGCCCTTTAAAGAATATCGTATTCCCTTCATCTTCTGTTGCTATAAAGGTTGATGCTATAGGTGACTACTCCTATTAGACATCGAGCTGGGTGCCATTTTGAAGCCTTAAGGTTTCAATGCCATGTCACGTAGATGCATATGCTCCATTGATATCCTAGCAGTGCATCTACTTCAACAGGAAGCGTGGCCGTTTTACATCAAGCATTTTAACTCATATAAAAAAGATACATAAACAAGAAACTTCTTCAATTTTCTAAATGGAGTTCACTTTGTGTGACAATGCACGTGATATTAGTTGGTAGTTGAAACAGTAAAGCACAGCCACACAGCCACTCAAAACGAGGCTGAGGAACCTCTTTTGCTGCCGCTAGCTCCCGCAATGCTCAGACAAAGATCAACGATTGGCTAGAGCTCATTTCAGCCTTGAGCTACGGTTACATCAATAGCATCAAACCATTCACTGCTTCTACTTCAATTGTGTTAACTAAGTCTTATATAGGTTTCTCTATCAATTCACCATGAATATGGGATTTATGCGAATATAGATACCGTAGTTGTTACGATTGTGCAACATCATCCTAAATCATCGCTGATTGCGTCGACACGCGACATCAATCTCAAGCCATGGCGATTCTCGAAGAATTTCTGGAGTCTATCCTGAAGTTCCTTAGGACAAAAGACTCAGCAAATCTACAGCTATGGCTTCGAGTTGAACCTCCCCTTCCCGATCATTACTTCCAACTTGGTCAGGAATTGAGAGCATCATTCCAAAATAGTACTGCACTCGAACGCCAAATTGCCAAACTCCTACCAGACGACCCCGACGCAAGTTACGAAGATGGCAACGTTTGGCCGGGCTTTTTGGCTTTCATGAAGGACTACTTGGAATTCTGGAGAGATGTCAATTTTGAGGATTTGTTGGAAACACATTCACAGCTCACAGCTTTAGCAAGGTAAATTGAGTCTCTTGACTTTCAGTCAATCTACTAACCATATGCGATACAGTACTTGTCTAGCAGCTTTGTCCAATCCAACGTACGGGATAGTTATACTACCAACGGCCATCCAACTATCTACAGCCCTCGCCAAACTTGCCATGACCCTTGACAAACGACCGGATTTGACTAGACGATTGCGAAGAGTCGCCGACGTCGATGCAGGCGAAAACAGGAAGACTTTGGTAGAAGGCACTGCAGAAACAATACAACGCGCGTTTACTGTTTGCCTAACGGAAAGGACCACAAACAGAAATGGAGTGGGGGCGGATGGAAAACCAGAGGGGAAGAAAGTTGGAATATACTCGTTTGCGAATTTGGCTTTGAAACTCTTCTTCCAAGTATGGTGGCCTCTATTCGATCCATGGATTAATGCTGAATGGTCCCGTAGTGCCGGAAAACAAGATTGGCAAATCAACTCATCACAAATATTACCCAGCACTCCCCACCATTGGAGCTTTATCCGGCAAGCCAAAGGGTGACATACCTCTATTACCTTGGGCGTTATTTCTTTTCGAATACCCACTTCTATCTTGCGCAGTGCAGTCTTCAAGCTGCGTACAACCAGTGCCATGCCCAGTGCATTAATCAACGACGTCTAATCTTGATCTACCTAATATCATCGAATATGATACTCGGTCGATTTCCTTCTCGACCTTTCATGTCGCGGCCTAAAGCTGCTGGGATTCTGGAAAAGTTCACACCAATTGTCAAAGCCATAAAATTAGGCGATCTGATTGCTTTTAAGCGCTCTCTGGGACCAGAAGGTGGAAATGAAAAATGGTTCTTCGACAAGGGAATTCTTTTGCCGCTATTGTATCGCTGCGAACCATATGTGTGGCGTTCACTTGCACGACGAGTCTTATGTTTGACATATCAATGGCCATTCGACCCTAACTCCAAAAAAGCACCAACTCTAAATCTTGTTGACTTGGTCACAGCTGCGCAGTATTGCCAGAAGGTCCTTGAAGGCTGGGAGCGACCTGTAGATTCTACTGCTTTTATGCAGTCTGGTCGAACACATACAAATACGATGTTCATGACAGCACCAGATCTAATAAAGCCACCTCCAGGCACGGTGAAAATTTCTGCAAATGTTGGAGTAATTTGGGGTAGCAAAATGCCAGATATGTTGGATATCGAGGCAATTGTTGCAAGTTTAGTCCAACAAGGACTACTCAGGGGGTTTATAAGTCATATACAAGGAAAATTTGCGATTTTGGGCGCAAAACAAAGGGGAGGACCATTGAATGCAGGTTTCCCAACTATTTGGGAAGTCATTAAGGATAGAGCTGAGAAAGAAGGACATGGTAATGAAGTACCTGGTTGGGTCACGGGCGACAGCACTGAATTTACTAGTGGAGGAATCGTTAATTTGACTGGAATCGCTCGGCCAGCTGGCGCAACATGAGCAAGAACGAGTTCGAAGATAATCAAAAAATACGGAATATATTAGAGATTAATCCAAGCCTTCCGAGGCGACGCGATTGTTCGCTGTCCCATAAATCGATCTCGCTCTCTGTGACTACTTTTTCTTAAATTTTACAGAATATCGGCAAAAGAGAGCCTACCTATGTGGTCGCCAGGGAATTTCGCAGGGCACAATCACCATTGCATTCACCGAACAACAACAACAACTTCAATTGCCCAATTTGTAGCACAATCAGCCGCAATACCACTACAATGTACATCACATCTCTCGAATTTTTTCGACAAGATTCAGCATAGAGCATTTTCAAGTGACAAATTATGTTTGGAATATCATATACACGCACCTAACGCATCACGATACTACTTTTATATATTTCAGCTCCACTTCAGTTATTGGTTGATTTGTGGTGGGGAGGTTTCAAAGCATATACTTTTTCACAAGGAATGTACTTTTATATCCATGATGGAGTATTCAATACAATTGTATATAGATTTGTATATCTTCATGATGGACAAAAAGTTGAAGTTGTAGAAAAATTAGATCGTAATTTGTAAGATTACATGACGAATATCAAAAGTCTAAATTTCATCTAGTGAAATTAGAATAGAGGGATTTAGATTATTGGATTACACACATTTTCATACCCGGACTTTTAGCATAGATGTATCATAGCATCTCTATTTCAGTGTTATTTTCACTAAATATCTATTTTGTACTGGAATTGAGATACTGCTAGCTACTAGCTGACTTCAACGTGAGGGTAATGGATGAAATTTCCTGTATTATCTATCTGCTTGATGTCAGCCCGGGATGGTGGGTCACACAGAGATGGCCGAAGCATTGGAAGTCGAAGTGCCTCATTAGTCTTTGGAGCTTTATTGGAGAGGGCATGGGTGAGGCTGGGATAGACTCGGACTATACGAGCTGGGTATGAGGTCTGTGGGCTGGGAATTCTACAGTTATTGGGCATTTGGAGGTGGTAGACGTGTTTTAACTTAGTTTGGAAGATGAACGGTCAAGTTTTTTGGCTAGAGGATTTTGGGCACTTTGTTTTAATAAGTCTTGATGGTGTGGATAGGAATGGGGGAATGAGTGGTAGATTTTTCGGCTCGATCAATGTCACGGCTATTGACAAATCCAAATTAGTCTCGGGCCTAGATGATAATCTCGCCATTGTATCCTTACTCTCGACCTATCTCTAGCAGTATTATGTCTAGGTACGTATTAACAATTGCAGATCGCCGGAAATGATGTAATTTACTGACATGCCCCGCAGCTGCAGTGTATCTTGGAGATCCAGACTGCCAAATTAGTCATTGCATTTAAAGTGCTGTATGCAATCGACACTGCTAACATTCTCGCTCTCAGTATCCCGGAAATAACCATTTCTCTTCCTCTACAAACGATTCTTCGTCACACCAAGACTAACTAGCATCTTAATGAAGGTCGCTACTTACGTGACCTACGAGTTCATAAAGGTTTTTGAAGCAATAGCTATTTTCCGACGCACTCCCGGGGCCAATTTCGATGGATTCAAAACCTGCCCTAGAGTAACTCATCGTTTTCTCGATAGTACCACCATGCATGCAGACTTGGATGGCAATTCTAAGCATCATCACTGATATCAAAATCTTCGTACATTCCTATCCCAGTGGTTCGGCAACTCGATGGCCCCCGGAGAGCAAAGATAGCTTAGCCATGAAGTTTATCAGGTGCTTCTTATTTAAGTTGCACAAGTAAAGATTGTTCCCGAGTTTGTTTTCGGAAAAACTCCGGAAAAATTGGAAATTTAGAGGTTCCATTAGTGCGTACGACTTCAGTAACAGTTGTGACATCGGAAGTCGTTATGAAAGGAGGAGGGTTTAAGCGGTGTAGTTAGTGTGGGACATTCGGGTAATTGAGCAAGGTAAAGCTTAAATACTAGATGGTACTAGTCCTGATATTTATAACATCATTTTCACAACAGACAGAACAAACTATCATCATCTTCTTATCATTTTATTTTATTTTGCTTTATTTGTCATTTAAATATTTAATTCAGTCCATTTCGATTGAATTTATGAGAATTTTCATGCTAAGCGATTGATTTAAAACGTCGCCCAGCTTCTATTCAAAATTGTTCCACAAGAGAAGCCACGAGTCAACTAAAATGAATATAGATTCTTCTTCTTTCGCCTCGTCATGATCTTCTTTCTCTATTATTAAATCTTTGCTTCATGATTCATAATCGTTTGATTTCGAATGTTCACTATAGTGATTGATTACTCTTCTATTCGATTCACTATTGATGACCATTTTTCTCTCTCGAATGTTCGAGGCTCATTCTTTGTCGCCTCAAGTCCGTGTTAAAAGCCAGGGTTCTATATCATTTTTTATGTTTGGAAGTTAGAAGCAACGACATAATGTCATAGCTACCACAATATTCCTCCCTTTTGGTTCTTACAGCTCTACATCTACATAAGTTGGGGCTTTCCCCCTCCAGCTTCTATGCACACATTTTCCTCAAAACATAAGAGCAATCAGTCAACCACGTTCAAGTGTTCAAGCAATCAAGAGCCATGAACAACCTCCGTCAACCTCCAGACAAGGTTCCAGAGTTCCTTTACATCGTCCATGATCCCTCAAATGATCAAAATCCTGGCGGTGTGTCTCACAACTCCGAGGAGTCTTACTCCCCGAGGGATATTGGCTTTCGCCCTTATGATGTACTTACTCTCGAACGTGAAACTGCAAGCAGCTATCTTCTTTTCCATTATGGCGTCGAAAATGAGATGCGAAGAAACCCTCCAAGCATCTATGTCGCTGCGACAGATGACATTGAAGCTGCGAGAAACCAAGTTATTACCAGCGAGAAAGAGCTAGTTATGTACAGGCTAAACGGGAGGTGTGATGATATGAAAAGATGTGTTGTTTTCAAAGCATCGAAGTGGCTGCGGGCTTTAAATTTGTGGGAGGATGATGCGGATGAAGACGAAGAGGAGAAACATGAAAGGCAGAAGAAGTTAGGGTCTGAGTGGTTGATTTGGCCAATCGTTCCGAGAGAGGCGATCATTGGTATGTCGGGAAAAGAGGACATTATGAAGGAAACCGGTCAGTTGTGCAATTTGTGTCCAGGTTTTGGAGGCCAACGATGCTAATTTTGTGCATAGAAAAAGAGCATGAGTCATCCGCAAACTACCAAGGCCAAAAACGACGAAAGAACTCAGCAGGTCCGAGTCGGGATCTTGAAGTTGCAAAAACTGCCAAAAAAGGCAAGTCCTCTTCGAAGTCAAGTGCCAGAAATGAAAAAGGATTTGTGTGCAAGGAGTTAGACTCGGACGGCGCACCGCAGTACATGTCTAAATATTCCGAAGAGCAACCATTTCCGTTCTCAGCTATTCACATCATCGAACCAGGAGAAGGCGGCTCGCGGTGTCTTGTCCACTGGGATACCAACATAGAACCAAGCTGGTTCAATATTCGTGACGTCGATGCCAGGGCTGTGAGGGAGTTTCGGAGCCGCCAGATCAGCGCTGAGTCCCGCAAGGAACCGAAAAAGGGAGACCCGTTCGAAATCCTATTTGAAGAACCACTCAACAAAGAGACTAAATTGAATAGCAGATTCTTGGTCAGATGGACTGACACGAGGAGGGTCACGTGGGAGACTTACGGAGGTAGTCCTGGCGTGACGAGGCATGCTGGTAATAGATTTTTGGCGAAAAGGAATACATGGACGAGATATCGCTATACATGATCCTTCCAACTGGGACTTGTGGACGTTTGCAGAACTTTAGGAAGGATCTATATTAGATTTCGTGGGCAAGATTAGCGCAGGCAATTTGGGAAATGGATAAGGACACCATAATAGGAAGCAATAAGGCTGATATTCATCGATATAATGCATGGATCTTCTCATCTGTAGCCAATATTCGCTCCCTTTTCCGTTTAGCAGCACAATGTTTAGTTATTCAAACCTTAGCCAGCTTGGATTTTCGAATAAATCGTCATTATCAAAGAATTGCAGCGAATAACAGTGGCTGGTCTTGACATGTCTTGACATGAGATTAAATTGTCCCGTTTTGTCCCATTACTATAGAATGTATATGATTAAACATTTAGATTAGGCCTAGACGGAAAAATGCTTTTTCAAAAAATCTAAATGGCCTAGAGAATGAGGAGCAGTCGTTAAAGACAACGTTTAAGCAAGAAGAATAGAATCGCGGCCTTATGTCCAAGGCGTGTCTAGAGATTAATGTATAGAGCTCTTCAACTTTTCAATGTAGTCGGCAACTTACAATATGTAGATAAAACTATTGGGGTCATCTTGATATTCTGCATGTATGAGAACACTTCAGAGTTGTCAATGATCTGAGGTTTGATATTGCATCACGTGAGAAGCGACAAGCTTACATGGGCTGAGGCGGGGCACAATAAACAACGTACCGTACCGCATTCACTACAAGTTAAACTCCAAGTTTGTTTTGTATTATACATAAACATATCACCAAGTCTGAGTGTCCTCCAACCGCAACGGAGGTATTATAACCATGGCCCCACAGAGCTCTGAGGATTGGGTAGTCGAAATGGCAAATGGTCGAATGCCTGAAAGTCTAGCTGAAATTGAAGAAATGACCAAACAAATGAACCATATGGGCTTGAAGGGTGCTTACAACCTATCATATGTCTATCCTGGATCTCCTTTCACTCTTACCTCGAGACCCAAGCCGGAGGAAGTGCGTGAGAAGGCTAGATCGTCGTCACAGAAAGTATTGTCAGACTGGAACACACTACGAAAGATTGTGGAGTTACATGCTGACACATCGGAGAAGCGTTGGATCTAAAAGTCGAGGAAGAAACAAAGAGAACTGCTCTTGAAGGCTTGGCCAAACATGTCTGCTAATCATCGCCCTGATTTCGAGGTATATCGGGAAGAGTGTATAGGAAGAGTGCTCAAAGGACTGTCGAAATTCCAGGAAGCTTACAAGTGGCCTTATATTAATCAGCAAGGCCTCAGTAGCAGATCTCTCATTATTTTCATCAAAAGCCGGGCGCAGCACCCTCCAAGTGCATTCGCTCGTGCGGATGTTAATGCGACGCATCTCGGCACTATGGCGCACTTCATTCCCGAGCCAGCTTTTCTTCCATTTCATAAACTCTTCTTGGATGGGGATAAGGTAGAAACATATGGAAGATTAGTTTCATGGGAGGAAGATGATGCTGTTGCTGATCTGATGTTTACAGAGAGACAGTTCAGTCCCGGTGACGGTTTGAAGGCATTTGAGCTCCAAGAGAAAATATATCCATTCCTTATCAAGTGTTGTGAGCTTATTCTTCACGACTTTGTTACGTCAGGTGCATTGCTTGATGGGACTATCTCAACTGGTATTACGCCCGATCCTGTTGTCACTCCTGAGCCTGGTCCTTCTGCAGTAACCGAGATTCTGCCATCTCTAGCTACCATCTCAGTCGAAGCACCATATCGTCTGCCTGCTAATATCAATTTTGAACGCCTCCGAGATATTTTTGCAGCTAGGCTTTCTGCAGCAGAAGATTATCTGTTCGATTTGAGAGAGGACCCTGGGTTTTTTGCAGATACAATCATTGATTGGAGCGAGCACCGGAATGATGCATTATTAGACACGTACGGCAATCCACATCCAACTGGACCACACACTCATGACTTTTAAGAGCGTGTTATCAAAAATTTCATCAGCGATGGATATATCAACTATGAAACTTGGTTTCTTCTATATCGACAAGGTGATCTCTCGTGAACATTGAAGGAGAAATATAAAAACGAGATTTCCTATGACAGGCAACTTCCCAAAGAGTACATCATTGCTCTTTTGAAATTCAAAGAATAGTATGAAATAAGCAGTTACAAACTATACAGGATGTTTACGCTAATCATATTGCAGTCTCAAGATAAGTTCTGAAGCGCCCATCCACTATCTTCAAAATATACAATCATCCCCGCCACTCCGACATCATTTTACACGTGCTCCGCAAACTCCAGGCACGACCAATATGCATATCATGCCCATAAATGAGGATAGTCCATTTTTCCACAAACCATGGGGTCTCTTACTCATTTTGTGGGATCGAGAACAGCGGGATTTATTTTGATTGAGCAATGTTATAGACGCATGCGAACAATTGATGCAAGATCCTGAGGAAAGTAAAAATATGTCTTCGTATATTGCCGATTGATTCTCAGATCTCGCTATTTTGTCTCGCGCTCTTTACGAAGTGGATAACTATCAACCTTGGGCTGCTACTTTCGATGATGAATACAATGTAAGCAACTTTCCTGCTACTCCTAGCGGTTCCAATAGTCAGGACTGGAGTCCAACAATGAGACAAGTTTTTCCTTCTAAAACCAAATGGGACATTCAAATCATGTTTGGAACATTTGAGTTTAAGTTGAAAATTCACATGAGGGTCGCTAGTTAGACTGTTGGACAATCTGAAGTCTATTCCCCATCTTCTTAACATTAATCTGTACTGATGAGAGCTGCAGCATAACCACCAAGCAGAGGTCGCTAGAACCATCATGCAAAACTATATTTTCAACACCAAATACATCAGACACATCAGCAATATTCTCAAAGGTATTATACCTCTATCAATGCCAGGTGATGGAAAGTTCAATTACCCAGTAAATAAGAAACGTACGAAAAAAAACACGGAACAAATGATTCTAGCCGAGAAAAATATTGATCACTTCTGGAGCATGTTTGACATTAATTGGAAGAGATTGGCGAGGAAGAATATTGATTCGTGCTTTGGGGACCATCCGCCAAGAAAAAGAGGACAAATTCAAAGGACATCAGCATACATCGAGCCATTACAGAACAAAAATAAAGCACGGTCTCAAAAAATCCAGGAACCACAGATGTAAGAACGGGGTCACAACGGGGAAAATGAAAAAGTCAAGACGAAAGCAAAGAAAGGAAAGGTCAAGACTAAAGGAAATCCACAGCCGTCTACGCAACCTGAAGCCCAACCCGAAAACACCGAAGTAACCCCCCGACTCGAAGCACAACGCAAAGTCAAAATCCCACACCACCTCGTTCGAGTCTTCAATACATTATTCTTCCAACCCGGCCAAAACAACACACCAGGCGATGTCCCATGGATTGAATTTCTAAAAGCGATGGTAAAAATAGGTTTCGCAGCACAGAAATTATATGGAAGTGTTCGGAAATTCTCGCCTGTTTCTAAGGAGGGAGAAGAAAATACAGGAGCAGATAAGAGCATTCAATTCCATGAACCGCATCCGGGTGTTAAGATTAGTTTTAATGTTGCTAGAAGAATGGGAAGAAGATTGATGAGGAGTTTTGGGTGGTCCAGTAGGATGTTTGAGGAGGAGTAGAGGGGAGGGAGAGAGGGTGTGAGAATTTAATTCTGGCTATCTGTTGTATCTAGGTGAGCTTGCAGATAGAGGGTCGTTTGGATCTTATATCTGGATCGGGATCTGGATCTGGATCTGGATTTGGATGTTGAACATTGAAGAATGCTATGACGCTAGGATACGAATTTTGGTACGTTTTCTATTTCAGATGCGGAAAGCTCTGAAGATTGGTATAGAACGCGTTGAAATAGTCTAAACTAGATGAATGGAGACGTTGTTTTGTTGATGAAGAGTAAGCTTCGGATTTATCAATGTATAATGATCAACACAACTATCAACAGATTCAAGTTCCAACACTCTCAGCTAGATCATTGTATCTGGTAGACAAAATACAAGATAAGTCTTACATCCTGGTGAGATTCTCTCAAGACCGAGGTCTACTGCTATCTACAAGTTATGCTTTATACTCTCACTTCATCGGCTGTGCTGCAACTCTCTCGTCGATACTGTAAAGATGATATATTGACCAGTTATCTAGAGAAGGACAAATGAAGATATAGCTTTGGTATTATATCACAGCAATTTTCTATAAGAGCGAAGAGTATCAAGAGGTATTTGTTTGATGATGTTTTGTTTTGTTTTAGTATTTGTGTTGATATTGGTGTTTTTGTGTTTATTATAGGTTTGGGTAAGTGTGGGTGTGAGGATGAGTGTGAGTGCGGTGGTTTTTGGTATATTGTTTTTGGGGGATTGTTGTCTTACTGATGTATAACCATTTTGATATTCTTCCTGATAGTTTATTAGTGAGTTGAGTGCTGCAGGTTTGATTTGGTGCGTACCATGGTGAAAGACAATGGCAGATAAAAAATGCTCACGAAAGTAAGCAGCTTTATGTTTTCTCCTAGGAGAGTTGATGCTCTCGTTTCCATGACTCCACTGGCGTTGAACATCTGATAGAAGAGTCAGTACGTATGAGCAAAGTTAGATATTCACATACTCCATCTCTTAGCGCGATGGCAATTTCCTGCTGCCCTTTGAAACGTGCCTGAAGGTTGATGAGATCCTCACGGAGGATTGTTAGAGTCCGCACTACTATCTTCTCTCGATCTTCACTCCTCTTGCCTTTGGGCAGTGGGTAGTACTTGTGCAGCATAGAATTTTCCTAGAAATCCATAAACCCACGAAGTTGACTAGTCACTGCCGCGATATCAGAATCAATTTCTCTCAGCATGTTGATTGCCCAAAAATAACGTTTTGACTTAGTATACTTTGAATCGTCTACAAGCAAGAGATCGTGTACCTCTGGCTGTAGCAAGGCGTCTCTTTCGCTAAGTAGCATTTCAAAATGATTTGCCAGACTATTCCATTTTTGAATGACTCTTCTTGTGCCTAGGTCTATAATTCCTGAAAAGGCCACTAAAAACTCGCGATCAGTAGCTCAGCTACTATCTTTATACATTTCCATATCAAAGTCGCACGTTGCGGGTGTTAGCAGTAACATCGTCCAGTTCTCGGGGGACCACTCCTGAAAAAAGCAGGCGACACCTAAAATCTGATGACAGGTCAAATTCTTATAAGCAGTTGAGTGGTTCACGATGGAAGACTAACTGTAACTGAACTACGTCTTAAAACAAGATTCTCGTTTCCTGAAATCCATATATTTCGATCCCTGCGCCGAAGCTCGTGATTGTGGAATTTTCTGTTTTCCAAATGCCACAAGGAGTTTTTTGTGGCGGGACCATTTCGTAAAAGGTTATCTGATAAGTGATGCTGCTATCTTCATACAAAGATTTACTAAACCGCTCGCAGATGCAGTGAGAACGCCATGCACGTATCAGCGCAGACTCTGCACGTGCAAGTTTAAAAATTTGTCCTTTCGCATCCTTTGTGTCCCTGAGGTCTTTGAAATGCAAGGGAGGCAAATCCTGAGCATATAGGCCACACTCTAGTGCTTCAATTAACTTATACATGGGCGAAATGTCTTGAAGTAGTCTAAAAGCGATTAGCCGGATAAGTACAACCTGCTTTCGTGATTTGACTCACATTATTCTCCTCCATTGTCGATGATTTCCCATACTATTTTGACTTAGAAGCTGTATATTCTTTCGTCGCTGGTAAACCTCGGCCATGGAACTCAGAAGGTGCTTAATATGACCATAATGACGACCCTCATAGGAGCGTGATTTATCCCGATCATTATCGGGTGGAAACACCAATTCCTGCGCTTTTATGTAATGGCAAAGATTTTCTGAGGAATAAGATGTACCGTAGTAACAATGTTGATGAAACCAATCTCTGATACGCAATGAGGGAATGCAATTGACAACAAATTTGTTCTGTAGCAAGAGGAAGTCTTTGAACGTTCCAAAATCAAAGCCGATTCGATCATCATATGGCATGGATCTGAGCCTATTCCAAATCTTCCAGATTCTCCGTCTCGTCATGCGGCCGCTCCTCTTCTAAGCGCATTTGTTTACTTTGATCCAAATACAAGTCATCTTTAATCTAGAATGAATGAATGAATGGAGGAGTCAGCGGTACTCATACAAGTTGTGAAATAGCTCATGACTCTTTGAGATGGGAGGTACTTGAAAATTCAAAATAATCTTCTGGAAGCTTCTCCGAAAAGAACCTCTCATCAATATCGCCCCAAAATCCATCATTTGCAGGCTGAAAAACCTCACTACTGGATAATGGCTTTTTATCCTGCGACATGTTGGTTGGTACCGCATTGTCATTAATTTTCTTCGCGGATGCAACTTTTTTCGCCTCTTGTTCGCGTAACAACATTCGAGACTGCATTATCAAGATTCTAATTTCCTTATTGGGTTGTCCTACCTGAGAAGAGATATTTTGCAGTTCCTTCAATGCTTCTTTGAGGCGATTGACTATTCTGTCATGATCTAGGCTACTTGAGTTCGCCATAGTAGTTCAATGTCACAAAAATTGGGAAGAAATTAGACTCATCCTACTTTCCGAAATTGACCAGAAAATATGGAGGGAACATAGAAACTAAATACAAAAAAATCCTTCAATTTACCATCTTCAGTAAGCCTAGAGCATTATCATACGATAATAAGTTGATCTGGGCCATTGACTTCGCCCCTTTCTCATCGACTCATAAATGCAACTCTTGAAGGATGTCGAAACTTTCAGAAAGCAACTCTACACAACCTTTTGAAAAGCAATGGAAGATTGGCCCTTAAGATCCCCAATAGACGCAACTTCGGACTCCGTCGAGAAATTCTCTAATGCAGTAACCAGAGTTTTGAGGATACGACCCATTCGATCGACGAGTACTAATGATGCTGATAGAAGTTGGCCATCCGTAAAAGCTTATCCTGATGCTGAAGATGATCTAGATCTCTATGTTTGTCCTCGATATAATTTCATCATCAGTAAAACTGGCTAAATGCATAAACACGGGTTTCACCAGTCACACAACCTCCGGGATGCATTTCAAGTATCAGGCATGATGTGATATCCTCGATTTGATATTGCGGTGAGCTTATGGCAAGTACTTTGGGAGCAAAAAGACTGGTTCTAATTTATCATAGCATGTGGTAGAAGTTTCTCAATGGAACACGAAGCAGTGTTCGCTGTAACACATTACTCCAAAAATGAATAGGGCTACTTTGTAGACTGCCGGATCTATTTGCTTTATGATGTACCAAACAACTTGGAAGGCTCAACATCACAGCGACATGACACCATGATCTAAAGCTATTCAGATTAAATTCCGAGTTCGTCACTAGATATGTGCGACGATATATGTAGTGGAAATAGCTTCATCCCGGACGGTCACGACGCCTCATGAACCACTTCGCACATTCCAGACACGATGCCTAAAAACCTTCGCTCATTACAGGTGATACCCTGCGTTATTCTCGTGCCACTGCTCATTACCTTCAAGAACCTTATACAAACTACCAATTTAGGTAGCTACTACATAGCCCTAGCTACCAATATTGATTCCTTCTCTGAAAATCATGGTAGCTTTCCGTGGTGAGGCTTTGAATAATAGATGAGACAATACATGACAACTCTACATGAAGTGAAGTGAAGTAAAAAATACACGCTAACCTCTAGCGTCAATCTAATCTAATCTTATCTCAACCCCGCAAAGGCAAAAAAATAATTTCCATCTCCCTCGAACTTCAACACAACACCACCCACCACAACCCAAAGCTTTTCTCCACCCCTCCAATCCAAACCCATCGCAGTCAATTCTCCCCAAATAATCATCGCATACGAGAACCATCAACCCGTCACATCGCGCACAGCGCATCCCTCAAAAAATGAAACTCCTAACCCTCAATTTCCTCACCTGCGCCGTAAAAGCCTGCAAATCAACCAGCGCGAGTTTTCCCCTCCATCCCAAAGAATGTTCACTCGTTAGTAACGATATCCCTTTAAATACCGCTTTATTATTAAATATCCTCCCGCGGATTGATTGGAAAGCTTTGTGTATTATTGCTTCTGAGGTATATATTTCCATCCATTCCCTTTACCCTCCTCTCAGGACTTCTCTCTCAAGAGGTTTATTATAAATAGGAAATACTAATACTAACAATAATAATCTAGCTTTCTTTCCCCGAACTCCCCTCCACACCACCTACGCCTGAAGCGCTCCAGGAAGATGAGAAAATGATGAAGGAATTACATACGCTTCTTATGGAAACGGAAATTGATGAGGGGAGTTTGGTTTGTGCGAATTGTGGTCATGAGTATAGGGTTAAGGAGGGGATTGGGAATTTTTTGTTGCCGGGTCATTTGGTTTAGATTGTGATGATGGATGGTGGATGAATATGGGGATTGATGCGGTTGGTGGCTTGCTTTGGGATTAGGATGGGATGGTTCTCAGAGGATGGATGGGAGGGGGAAGGTGTTGGGGAAAAAAAGCTGGTTATTAAAGGCTTGCGACATTACTACGATTATGGGGAAAGAAAGAAGAGTAAATTTCGGGCGCGCTGGGTGGATAATAATGCGCTACCAAGTCGGGGACAGAAAACAGAATGATACCCAAGGATTCAACGTTGCCATACATCCATATCTTTCTCTAAACAATTTTCTCCATGCACCCTCTCGAAATCCTCGACGAAATCCAAGAGGAAGCAAAGTACATTAAAACCTCATGCCTCCTACAGAAAACCGAAGTCTCACCAAAACGCCCCTCTCCCCTTTTCACAAACTCAATATATCTTCAAAAACTTACCGGATACATTTATTACCAACATGTAATCTTACCAAACCATTACATCCGACTCGACTCAGCAACCAGAAAAAAAGCCAATTAAGTCGTCAATACGGACGGAGTACGAAAATTTAGGTCTCATGATTTCCTTTCTCCAAAAGCAATTTAAATCTTGAGATTATAAATAAGATTACATGACATTACTACAAAGTTCTTCGTTATTAGTAACTGAGATATTAGATCTTTTGTTTTATATTTCTCTATTCTATATAATATGAGATTTTGTAAGTGAGTGTTAACATATATATAAATATATGAGAAATATTTGTTGCTTTTGAAAATATTATATTATAACGTAACTTATGGTGAACCGGGTCATATGGGGAACCGGGTCACAAAATTCAATTCTCTCTATGTGATCTTGTTCTACGAGCTACACATTCATCCAATTCCAACTCTAAATCACTTGAACTACTCTCTGGCTCTTCTTCTTCAGTCTCCTCTTCTAATTCTTCAATTGGACGTTTACGTGGTCGCCCTCGTAGCTTTTTCTCCTTCGGTTTTTCCTCCGCCTCACGTACCATTTTCAGTACTTCCTCACTACTAAAGACAAATTGACCTTGTAATTTGACTCTTTTGCCTTTAGTTCTCTTCTTTCGAGTCTCAATTACTTCCTGAGCATCAGCGAGCTGTTTCCGAAGTAGGGCTATCTCAGCATTTTGAGATTCTACAAGCTTAGTCATTCTCTTGGCATATCGACGAGTTGGTGATGCAAGAGAATCATTATCTGCTAGAGCTTTATTAAAGGTTTGATTTGCTTGCCTTAGCTCTGTCCCATCTGGAGGAGAGCTCCTGAGTATAGATAAGTCTAGATCTTGATTGGACATTCTCATTTGTGGAGTAGAAGGTTGTTGGGAGGAGTTAAATGGTAATATATCGAGTACTTTTCGTGGGGCAAAAGGTACTAAACCAGCTCCTCTCCAACCAGCTTTAATATTAGAAGAATTCAGTGCTTTTTTTCTAATATTTTGAAAGAGTTCTACCCATTCAGCTCTTTGAATTCGCTTTACACCAGCTCGAGAATATCGATCGACCTCTAAAGCATGATATCGTTTCATTGGCCCGTACACCGCAATATCAAGTGGTTGAAGCAAGTGGGAGCAATGAGGAGGTAATATAAGTAAATCGATTTCCTTCTCTATACAGAAAGCAATAAAGCTGCCTGTAATATGACTTGAATGGCCATCCATGATCAAAAGTCGAGGTCGGTCACCTGACACTTTCTTGATTCTGGTTCGAAAACCCTTTTTAGCCATTCTAATCCATGACTATTTGAGGTCCATCCATTCGTACTCGTAGAAAACTGCCAGCTTTGAGGTGTGTCCTTTGGAATCCATGCAGAATTCGTATTCTGAACCTTGAAAATGATCATAGATGATAGAGCCTTTCCAGCTGCATTGACACATTCAAATGCAGTTATCCATTCTTGCTTGCCAGCTGTAACTTTCCAATTCGATTTCTGAGTAGAATCGACTATAATACGCGTACTTTGAGTACTTCCAACTCCAAATCCGGTTTCGTCCATATTATACATATCATCTAATTCATACTTTCGTTCAATGAGACACGTACGAAACGCATCAAACCAAGTCTGAATATTCTCTGGAGTTGCCACTTTAGCCCGATTAGACTCTAATTGATGTGAATAGCATGTTTTAAGTTCTGGATGTCGTTTTTGGAATCTATAGATCCATTCGTGGCCTATAGGTGGAATTTCTGTCGAGGTAGGAATTCGAGATGACGCGACCTGAACGCGTCGAAGACGAATTTCGTCGGCCATTTCCTTCACCAACATAGGTGTAGCAGGGAATCCAGTGATGGTAAGTCGTGAAATCCATCGTACAAGAGTATTTTCTTCTGCGTTTGAAAGAATTTGAGCCATTTCGTGGGATTGAGTACGTGATTTCCTTCCAGCGACCCTAGCTATGAGAGTTGACTTAGGAACTTCAAAATACTCTGCAGCCTTTCTAATTGATTTAAAGTCCTTCAATTGAAGTGCAATAATAGCATTCTGTATCTTCTCTTCAATTTGAGAAGGCGTAAGAGGTGATTCGGTATGCATAGCAAAATTTGTTGGGGTTTGAAGTCAGTGATGGGCTAAATGTGACCCGGTTCCCCATATGACCCGGTTCACCATAAGTTACGTTACTACATTTTCTTTATTATTTACTATTAAGGTAAATAAGTGTTAAATATTCGATTACAAAGATATTCTCTTAATTATAATATTTTCTTTTATTATTGAAAACTATACATGTATATATATCAATACTAGAAGAAAATATCTTAAAAAAGGTAATTTTATTTTAACTAAGAGATTCAAGAACAGTTGATTAGAATAAAAAATAGGTAGTTATCCAATAAGAGACTACTAAAATACGACTAGAAAGAGTTATTTTCTATTTTATCTTAAGCTACCTACCTAGATAGGGATGAAAAGCTACTAGTGTACATTAGATGCATAAAATCGCATTTGAGATGCGAATCCAGCATCCTGATTAGCCATGTCATCCATCAATTGCCATCCCAATTTAGCCCTTCACCCAACACCATAAATCCATCCATTAGAAAGCTGATAACTCATCCATTCCACCTGTTGCGTTTCAGCTTTTCAATCTCCAAACCCCGGTACTACCCTCTATCCTCTTCACCAAGCACTCCTACCATCACCTTCCCCATCAAATCCAGTCCCCTCAATCTGCATCCCTATCGCATTTGGCATGCCAATAAGAATCCTTCCCTTCGGTACCCTCACATCCCTAACCTTAAAGTTTCCAAAGATAATTAACTTTTTCAATTTCGGACATGTTCTGAAGATACTACCAACCACAAAATCATTGACTTCTGCACAAAAGCTAATATTCATTTCCTGTAATTCAGGATATTGTTTCTCAAGCGAAAATACCTTTTCAAAACTTTGTAATGAGATATGTCTGCAAGAATTGATATCTAGATAGCGGAGAGTGGTGCCTGAATGAGCCATTAGGGCTTCGAAACCAAGAGAGCAAAGACCAATGTTATCTGGGTTGTCTTTGGGAACGGAGGCATCGAGATGGCGGTTCTTGGAAAGATCAATGAAGGATAAGGGTGGGTTATACCAATTTATGAAGAGGTGTGCAAAGCCCGCATCTGTCATGACATTGTTGTCAGTGATGCGTAACTTGTTTATGTTTTGACAGTTGTCATGGATAGCGTTAAGAACCGAATCATCTATTGCGTGGACTTGACCAAGTGAAAGAGTTTGAAGTTGAGGTCCGATACTGCCAAGAATTTCAACATAAGGCTTCGAGCTTGTCTTTTTTTGAAGTTCGAGCCCGAGATGTTGAAGAGTGGAGATACGTGAAATATGCTCAATCCCAGCGTCGGTAGCTTTTTGATTATGGGAGATCTTGAGACGAGTCAATTGTGGACACGATTCAGTGATCAATTCTATCTGATCATCACCAAATTGACCATCTGTGTAATAAACCTTGAAGGTTTTGAGGTGTGACCCTTTCTCTATGAAATAACGATTCCAGTAATCATCGCTGATGAGATTGCTACCAGACAAACTGAGATGCTCAAGGTTGATAGTAGTTGCTAAAAGATGTTCCATTACTTTGTCTTTGAATTGTACTCCAGATCGAATGCGTAACGATTTGATGCTTGGTACGACTTGGAAGATGCGAATATAATCATCTGAACTTAGATACGCTCCTTCATAGATGGTGATGACTTCTCGACCATTTTGAAGGAACAAATCCAAGGTATTGGGACGCAAAAGACGTTTTTTAGAGAGAATAGCTGATAATCTATCCATGAGCGTTTCTGGTAAATCTCCTAAATCATCGGCCATATCGACATTTTTGGCTAAAGTCTCAATACACAAGGTCATCAAGTCTTTTGCGCCAGGGTATACACCATCGAGAAGATTACTTTGGAGTTTTCTTCTTTGTGCACCAGCTTGAGTCTTTCGTTTTTTCCTGGCCTGTCCTTCTTCTTTATTCCGGTCATTTGTACATTGTGGGCAAAGTAGACCTCCATCCGGACCAGCTCGACTATATGCGGTGACAGTGAATCTCTTTTCGCAAACTTCGCAATTCTCCATTTGATCGGGTAAAGGAGCTATGCTTTCATTGAACAATCGAAGGGCAGCTTCATCTTCATCGCTAATATCCTCATCTGATCCATGGTTTCTTCGACTCTGGAACCTCTTAGAGGCTTTGATTTTGGCAATTGCTTTCTGGAAAGTTGTCAGTCATATCTTTCAACTCATGAAAGTCTTCATACCTCTTCTTCCTTCTTCCGCTTATTCTTTTGTGCTCCACTTTCATTTCGGCGGGAGCGGGTGCGCGTGGCAATTTCTGGCGCAGCAGATGATGATTCACCTTCCTCCTCGTTTTCATTCCCTTCAGCGGTTTGTTGCGAGGCAAGTGCAGCAGCTCGACGGGTATTTGCATCTTGACGAATTTGGTTGGCATTGATATTATGAGACTAATGTAAATGGATTAGTGATTGTAGCCAAACATGTAGAATGTGATTTGATGTCTTACAGCAAGAAAATCGGTCAAGGCGGATTGACTATGACTTTATCAGTATGTTAGAAAATCCGGAGTTGAATGTGCATCTTACGGTCCACGAATTGATCTTCTCGGCGCTGGAGCATTAGGACCACCAGGTGGAGGGGGTGGAGGAGGATTCCTATGTGTAATTGTTAGCAGTTAAGCAAATTGAAGGTAGTATTTTCATGATGTACATTTTTTCCCCAAAATTGAAACTAGATTCTTCTTCAATGCCGGAAATTCGAAATACACAAACGAGGTCCTTTTTATATGATGGTTTTACTTTCGTAGAGTGAAAATGCCTTTGTACCAATTGTAAGATCTTAGCAAGAAAGAAGAGTTGGTAAACTTTATCCTTTGATGGAGTGATGTTCTCGGGATGAGGTTTTCGAGATTATAAATATGTTTTTAAACTCTTGTAATATGTACAGTACAAAGAATGAATTGGATGAATTGAAGGACTGTATGATAATGATTTCAATTCTTTCACTTCGTCTCAAGATGTTGTCTGATTCAATTGTCTCTTCTGCCGTTTCCTTCTCGCCTCTTCATATCTGAACTCCTCATCCCGCGTAAAGTGGTTTTACACACAGACCGCGATTGAGTTTATTACCTAATCGATTGAAATCACCCATTCCACCAATCAACTCCCGACTGTTGCCTAAATGTTGATGGGTCAATCACGTGATTTTCGTGTTTTGGTGTTTTATGGATCGCGTCTTTCATCTTATCCGACGAATGACGTGCCGTGAATTTTTCCCACAGGAGGTGGCAATTTGAATCATTTTCAACTGTCAAACTCTCTTTTTCTTTTCTTTGATGTAGATTCAAAAATAGTACGAGTACGACAAAACTTTCATCTTTGATCTTTTCGTTGTTTTGTTAAGAATTTAGAGATCGTGAATAACTTCATTCTCTTTTTTTATCTCTCTTCAATTCACTCCTCTCTTTCTCTCTTTCTCTCCTTCGTCTTGTGTGTGATTTTATCCATATCACGATAAGCACCTAGGATTCGATAAGTTCCATGCGACCCTCTTGATTTATCAAACCCCATTCCCAACCTTTCTTTGGAGTTCGGCTCTCTCGTACTATTTCCTCTCTCACCGTACCTCCATAATTGTATCTGGATATATAATTCATTCAATCTCACGAATTGCCTTGTCGGTGTCTCTTTCATTAGATCGTGTTGCCTATCTAGTAGCCCCTCCTTCGTCAGCACATCGCCTTGTTTCTTTTCGTAACAATTCGCTTTGTCAAACCCACCAACCCAATCATCATGGCGCCAGCGAGAAAAGGAAGAGGAAGACCAAGAAAAGTCGCAGATTCAGGACAAACTAGTAGTGTCGGAAGTAGTCGGACACGTCGGAAAAGTTCTCGAATATCTGGTAATTCCTTTCCAATTCAAATAGATCTGCCTGCACCTTATATTGACTTATTTTAATTAGCTGTCATGCAAGCTTCCAATCTTGAGCTCGACGAACTTTCCTCTCCTGCACCACCACCAGAATCGAGTTCAAGAACTTCTATGGTCATTGCCGATAGCGATGATGACGACTCCCTATCAGATCCTCCATCCCCTTCCATGATTGGTGAATACACAAAGGCGAAGAAGTCTCCAGAGAAAGAGAAAAGTAAATCTGTGGGGTCCCTCGAATCTCTGTCCTCCGCTTCTACAAGTAACGACTATAATGAGGCAAGTGACTACTCTACTCCAGAGACCAGTGGGGTCGCAACTCCGGCGTCTACAAAAAATCCCCTCATCTCTTCAACTACAACTACCTCTGCGAGAAGAGGTCGGGCTCAAACTGCGAACCCAATGCAAAACACTTCTTCAGTAAGCGCAATCGCCCGAGCTCGGGCACTTCAGAACAGCATGTACTCCCTCAACCCCATGAAGAAGAGAAAGTTTGTCGAATCTGAGGATGAAGAAATGTTTGATGACGATACACCAGATGCCCAGCTTGCTCGTGCTATTCAAGAACAAGAATTTGCGGCATCAACCTCATTAGTAGCTAAATCTTCACCTGGATTACGTAGAACTCCACGCAAAGTTCAACCTGTCAACTTGACTTTTGATGCCGAGTTTAGCGAGGACGATGAAGATGATTATGTTAATCCTAAGGCCTCGCGCGCAAAGAAGGCTAAGATTGAACCAAAAGTTGAACTCTCAGGCACCTCAAATGCTGTCAACTTTAGAACTCCAAACCGAGGAAAGGGCACCAGGTGTGATGACTCGGATGACTCGGATGATTTCGTTGCCATTGATTCGGATTCGGATATTCCTGTCCCTCCATCCTCTGCTCCACGAAGTTCGATCAGAAAGGAACCAAGCCGAATTTCAAAGGTTATTCAGAAACACTCTCAAAATTTCCAAAATCGTCACAAGGCAGGACCAGCACAGAAGACCTCGATCAAACAAGAAATCGAGGCACCCACTCCTCGTCTAAAGGCTGAAGATACCAGGGAATCTAACGCTAGTTCTACTCTCACAGATCTTTCTTCTTCTATGTCAGAAGACGATTCGTTTGTTTCAAATGATGACTCCATGCTTGGAACTGATACTTCTGACGATGAAGGTCCGATCGCTGCTAGGACTCAACCTGTAGCTCCTGATGCGCGTAGTGCGCGTGCTGCGCGTCTACGTATCAATCATCTAGAAGACAGATCTAGCAGACGAGCCCGTAAGGAACGTGTGCGGCTGGAAACTCATCATCCTGAACTCCATACGATGTGGAAGGAATTAGAAGATCTACCCAAGATTGGAGACTGTAAAATTGAACAACCAACAAACATCAATCGTGAACTTAAGCCTTTCCAGCTTCAGGGTGTTGGATGGATGAGAGCAATGGAAAAGACTGCTTGGGGTGGAGGTTTGTTGGGTGATGAGATGGGCATGGGAAAGACGATTCAAGCCGTCTCATTGATCATGTCTGATTTCCCTGCCAAGCAGCCATCACTTGTTCTGATTCCACCCGTCGCTCTCATGCAATGGCAGCAAGAGATTGCCGATTATACACACGGCACCTTGAAAACCTTTGTCTTTCACGGCAGCAATGCCAAAGCAAAAGGGATCACTGTTCAACAATTGAAAAAATACAACGTCATTCTTATGTCATACAACAGTTTGGAGTCCATGTACCGAAAACAAGAGAAAGGTTTCAAGCGCAAGGATGGAATTTTTAAGGAGAAGAGTCCAATTCATCAAATCATGTTTCATCGGGTTATTCTTGATGAAGCACACAGTATTAAGGTAGGATCTTATGTTCCCCAACTAATCAATTTTTCTAATGGTTTATCAGCAACGCACTTCTGGTTCTGCTAAAGCATGCTTTGCTCTCAAAGCGAGTCACAAATGGTGTCTGTCTGGAACACCTCTGCAGAATCGTATTGGTGAATTCTTCTCACTCGTACGATTCCTCGATATTCGACCTTTTGCATGTTATTTTTGTAAACAATGTCCTTGCTCGACCCTCGAATGGGATATGAATAGTGAAAATCGCTGCACTGGCTGCAATCATAGTGGCATGCAGCATGTCTCCGTCTTCAACCAAGAGTTACTTAATCCTATCCAGAAATTTGGTAATAACGGTCCTGGAAAGGAGGCATTTCGAAAGCTTCGTATTTTGACTGATAGATTTATGCTCCGTCGTGTCAAGCGAGATCATTCATCTTCTATGGAGCTTCCTGCGAAGGAGGTTTACGTCGACAGACAATTCTTCGGCGAAGAGGAGAATGATTTTGCTGGTAGTATCATGAATAATGGTGCTCGAAAGTTCGAAACATATGTTGCTCAAGGTGTCTTGCTCAACAATTACGCTAATATTTTTGGTCTTATCATGCAAATGCGTCAAGTTGCTGATCATCCTGATTTAATTTTGAAGAAGAATGGTGAAGGTGGTCAAAACATTCTTGTTTGTTGCATTTGTGACGAAACGGCAGAGGAAGCTATCAAATCTGCCTGTCGTCATGATTTCTGTCGAGAATGTGCCAAGAACTATTTGAGATCTTCTGGTAGGTCATTTTTGTCCTTTTGATAGTCTATTACTAACTCATTAGAATCTCCCGATTGCCCGCAATGTCACATTCCCTTGGCCATCGACCTCGAACAACCTGAAATTGAACAAGATGAAGTACAAGTCAAAAAATCTTCTATCATCAATCGAATCAAGATGGAAAACTGGACTTCGTCGTCAAAGATTGAAGCTTTGGTTCATGATCTTTATCAACTTCGATCCAAAAATTCCTCGAGCAAATCTATTATCTTCTCACAGTTCACTACCATGCTCCAACTCGTCGAATGGCGTCTTCGTCGTGCAGGTATCACAACCGTCATGCTTGATGGTTCAATGACACCTGCTCAACGTCAAGCTTCCATTAATCATTTTATGACCGATGTCAATGTAGAATGTTTTCTCGTTTCCTTGAAGGCCGGTGGTGTCGCATTGAATCTCACTGAAGCCAATAAAGTTTTTATCGTGGATCCATGGTGGAATCCAGCTGCGGAGTGGCAAAGTGCAGATAGGTGTCACAGAATTGGACAAGCTAGACCATGTAGTATCACCAGATTGTGCATTGAAGATAGTGTTGAGAGTAGAATGGTGTTATTGCAAGAGAAGAAGGCAAACATGATTCACAGTACCATTAATGCTGATGACAGTGCGATGGAGAACCTAACGCCAGAGGATATGCAGTTTCTCTTTAGAGGAAACTAGAGCTTTCACACGGAGTTTGGGCAAGGAATGATTCTATGTTTTCCCTGGGCGATATCTTGCTTCTCTAAGTATTGTATAATACTTTCTCATTTACATCTGCTCTTTCGGCGCAGAGGAGTAAAGCTCAGTTCTCACGGTGTTCTACTTGGCGTAGAAGATTGCTATGGTTACCAATGTGGAAAGCTGGTTGCATGTGGAGTTGAGCATAATTATTGTCTCAATCCTTCACTGGCTTACATTCTCAATAAATTAAGATCTATATAGACTGTTTAAAAGTCTAAAATTTTTAAGATTTCCATGGCTCTAAGGATTAATATTAATAAAGTTCTTGTGGTTATCTTGTCGGGACATTACTTGAGTGATTTTATATGATTCTGTTTTAAATTGGGATAAATGTTGAAATAACCATGTGATGATACTATGACTTACACAAGTTGTAGCAAGGCATTTTATTAACCTATTTATTATTTGTGATAAACTAGGGTCCCTATTATGAGTTTAATATTGTATATAAAACCTCTCTAATTATATTACGAGGTTTGCCGTCTAGATCACGTGGAAGTGCTCTAGGCTCTCGAGGTGGTTTATAACTAGGCGTCAAGCAGGGACTTAAAGTAATGACAATAATGATATGCAATTCGTAACTAATAGTAGAGTATACTAAATGATTGATCTTGAGCACGAAGCTCTATACAAAGGAAATCCATCTTGATTATATAGACCTTCGTATTCCAACATTGGAGCGATGGCGCTGGGGAGCGAGATTCGAATCTCGCTCCTTCGCTCCCTCGCTCCCTCACAAGACTATTCATGTGATCCTATAATACGTGATAATAGTTATAATGTTACAACGTAACAGATTGGTTGGTTTGAGTGAGATAGTGGATAGAAGGAGAAATTGAGGAATTGAATTAAAAAAGAGATGGGAGGAGTTAAGGAAAAGGTGAAGAGGTGAAGAAATGAAGAGATAAAGAGATGAAGAGATGAAGAGGTGAAGAGGTGAAGAAGTGGGCGGTTTTGGGGGGGATAGTGTGTTGGGAGATGATGGACATATGATTATGGGTATAGATATGGATGATATCTAGCAGGTGTAAAATTAAATATGTATAGATTTGATAAGAGGTGGTATATGAGAGGTGGGAGATAAGAGAGTGGAAAGCTTGAAGGGTTTGAGAGGTTTGAGAGGGGAGGTTGGATTGTATGACTGTTGTAGTTGGAGAGCTGTTTGCTTGTTTGCTTTGGGAAGGTAGCTTTTATGAATTTGGGGTAGGGTTTGAGGGGGTTGAAACGGTTGGATTGTGAGAAGGAGATTTAGGAAGAGATGGGGAAGGGGTTGAGAGGTATTTGGGTGGGATTAATTGCAAAAGAGATGAGCTGTTTATTATACTGCATATAGAGGTGTGGTGAAATAAAGAAGATTCAAAAACTTTTATTGGAGTTGTAAGATATGAAATATTTCTGGGCTGGTTATATATGGATATCAATACCGAGCAGCGGTAAAATCTCAAGTAGGGAGTGAACCAGGTCAGACGTAGCATAGGTTGAAAGGCGTGGTTTCTCAGGGGCTTTAGGGATTTGAGGATGTTTTTTTTTGTCTTTTTTCTGAGGAGTGGAAGACGATGGTGATTTTGACATCGATGCTAAAGTGGTGAAAACTGCGTTCAGACGGAGAGATAAGAAGAGAATAGATGAAGATGCGTAGATTAGGGTGGAGGAAAAGAGCAGGTAGGTGTTAGGTTAGCCTAGCTGAGGTCACCGTGAAACTTGGGATGTGGGAGAACTTTTGTGGAGAGATGTGTATAGTTGATATGTTTAGATATTGAAGATTTGAGGAGATGGTTGATTGCAAAGGAAGGAGATTTAAAAGTTGGTTTCTTATTTAATTTATTTAGTAATATATATATATGTCACGATTCACCACCGCAGGATTAGTGTCATGTGAAAAGTGGAATCACGTGATGGGCTAGCTCTGCTAGCCAGCTAGCATTCGGGAAACATGTAGTATATAGTCAGAATAGTTTCATAGGATAGGAGCCTCGTGCTCAAATTAGTTATCAATTAGTTACCTACATTCTACTTGATCTAGTAACGACTTCACTTCCAAGTGAATACCAGTGATAAAGCCTTAACCCATAACTACCAACCAGACGAAACCTCAGGCAGCCGCTGCCTCCAGTACAGTATCGTTACAATATAGTGGAAAGAAACATCTATGATATTTTTAAAAAGGGATATATATTATATTTTTTCTTATATTTATTAAAAATCTATTTTATATTTTATAAGAAAGTGTTACACCTGTTGCGATAGAATATCACATGACCTTGAAAACACGTGATTGAACGGTGAGGAACGGACGTTCCTAGGAACAATCAGGAACGCCCGCTCCTAGGAGCAACGGCTCCTGACTAACCATCGGCACAAAGGTCTATATAATCAAGATGGATTTCCTTTGTATAGAGCTTCGTGCTCAAGATCAATCATTTAGTATACTCTACTATTAGTTACGAATTGTATATCATTATTTGTCATTACTTAAGTCCCTGCTTGACGCCTAGTTATAAACCACCTCGAGAGCCTAGAGCACTTCCACGTGATCTAGACGGCAAACCTCGTAACAGAAAGCTATATTTATATATTTTGATAAGATTCAAAAGTATATAAAAGAATAAAAAAACAAATACAGGGGTTTTAAACTATATATAACAACTTGAACATCTAAAATACCGACATCCGTATAATATATCTCGAACTTTGTCATAGGATAATCTTGCATAGATTCCAGGCCTAGCTGACCTTGTATCCATTTAATGCTTACTAGCTGCCTTATTCATCAGATGGCAAGATTAGGCAATCCCAGAAGAGTTAAAATATAATCTTGAACACCACACAATTCTAAGCATGCCCGCCTTTTCTTTCACGTGTCTCTCACTTCCTCCTTTCTTCATCCTCTACAGGCGGAATAGGGACGAATTCGTGCGGAGCGGATATTGCGGAATTTTACCTTCAAATCGCGTAATAGAGAAGAAAATCTAATTGGTGAATCCACCCAAATTCCACCTTTAATCCACATGAAATCCACCAACAAGGAAGAAGAATTTTGACAACTGCCGATTAATTGATTATGAAATCCTGACAATTCCTTATCTCATAAATCTTTTCTCACTCAGCTGCTCTAGACTTCTTCCATGGGTTTGTGATTGGACTGATGTGTCTCAGTATGTCGATATATTTCCACTTCCGCAAACTTAATCATCTACTCGAGTAGTTACAATTGAATTTCTATTTCCGCTGTTGAAATTTCCTATCCCGCTGCTATCCCGTTTGCACTATGACCATTTCTGTTTTGGGCGCGGCCTGTGTCACTTATTATGGAATATAGATATACTCGGGACTCACAATTTTTTATGACCTTGACTTTCTTCCATCTGTTGTGTAACAAAAAGATCGACGGAGATTCGAACTCTAAGACCTACTCACTCGGACCAGAAGATATCTCCCCGGATTGACAATATCGCCACTTTTGTAGAGAACTAGGATGGAATCTCCATTGGCATCATCTTCCTCATCCAAGATGACGGGTAACGGGCCTCTTGACATCGAGAAGACAAAGTCTAAACCAGAGACCGCCGATCCAAACGCTCTTGAACTTGTCCAAAGCAAAATTGAACATTTTAATTCACGTCCCCGAGAGATTATTTTTATCGCATTAATATGCATGGCTCAACTTATGACGCAAGCTGCATTGGGACAAGCCATTGCCCCTCTACATATTATTGGATCTAGTTTTGGGATTTCAAATCCCGGACAGTTGAGTACGTTCCTTCATCTCGTGTTTGATATATAAATTATCGCTAACATCAGTGGTGAAGGTTGGTTTGCTGCTGCATACTCGTTGACTGTCGGTACATTCATTCTTATCGCTGGACGTTTGGGGGATCTTTACGGCCACAAAATCCTTTTCGTCAGCGGTTTCTTTTGGTTTGGTCTTTGGTCTCTCCTTGCCGGTTTCAGCGCCTATTCGGATCCAATATTTTTCGATGTCACTCGTGCTCTTCAAGGGATTGGACCAGCATTCCTATTACCAAATGCTCTCGCGATCCTTGCCCGCATATATGAGCCTGGAAGGAAGAAGGAAATGATCTTTAGTCTCTTTGGTGCCACCGCCCCAACAGGTTTTACTCTAGGTGCAGCATTCTCGAGTATATTTGCGGAATTTGTTTGGTGGCCTTGGGCTTACTGGGTGACTGCTATGGTGTGTGTTTTGCTCGCTGTAGTAGGCATTATCATCATTCCTCAAACGCCTCCTCCACATTTTGATGGTTCGGTGAGTATGTTCAAACGGGCTGATGGTGCCGGAGCTTTGACTGGTGTTGCTGGACTGGTTCTGGTTAACTTTGCATGGAATCAAGGACCGGTTATTGGTTGGTCTACCGTTTATGTCTATGTTATTCTCATTATTGGGGCTCTCGTACTTGGGATTTTTGCTTTCATTGAATCTCGTGCGAGATACCCGTTGGTACCTTTTGATGCCTTCAATTCTCACACTGGCTACACACTAGCGTGCATTGCGGGTGGATGGTCTAGCTTCGGTATATGGGTCTTTTACTTTTGGCAAATATTGGAGGAGATGAGAGGAGTTAGTCCACTTCTCGGCACGGCAATGGTCTCACCTACAACAATCAGTGGATTATGTGCATCATTGACAACAGGATATATTCTTAGCAAGGTTCCAGCTAGTACGGTCATGATGATTGCTATGACTGGTTTCCTTCTTGGATCAATTTTGATGGCCACAGTTCCTATCAATCAAACATACTGGGCACAAACTTTTGTTTCCACGATTGTTACTCCTTGGGGAATGTAAGTACAAACATTATTACATTCAACGTTCTCAAATGCTAATGAATTAGGGATATGTCGTTCCCAGCAGCAACAATCCTCCTCAGTGATTCCATGCACAAAGACCATCAAGGTCTTGCAGCCTCACTAGTCAACACCGTCGTCAATTATTCAATCTCCATTGGCTTGGGTATTGCAGGAACTGTTGAAGTTCAAATCAATAATGGTGGAAAGAATCAGCAAGATCTTTTGAAAGGATATCGTGGAGCTCAGTATATAGGGATCGGACTTGCGGGATTGGGATTGGCTAGTTCGATTTTGTTTTCATTATCGGAAAGAACGAAGAGGGCCAAGGATAGAAAGGAGGCGGGACATTCAGAGGGGGTTTGATTTCTTTGAACAGTTGATATTTGCGTATATATACCCTAGAAGTTCGTCGCTAGTGTTGCTTGAGTAGTATTTAATAGAAAGTATCTGAGGGGATGAAGAAATGGGAATGAGAAATGAAAAACTATATATTTATTATTGTCATTTACAAACATTTTTGATGACATTCAACAGTGGAGCCATATTGATGAATTGGATGACACTAGACCCCATGAGGCTAGTCTAGAGCCAAGTCCGACCGGAAGAGTAGCATTTGGACCAACTTCAACTCACTTCTTTCTCATCACATGATGAATCAAAATGTATCCATCAAATGATAATTTATCTCCTCCAGTAGGATTTGAAAATACTCCTTCCCAAGTCAAATTAAAGAGAGCCATCTCAATGTCAAACAATGTCAGAATCAATCAATGGGTCATCGTCAAAACCACCATTGGAACGGAATCGTCCAATTCATGGACGTCAACGTGCTAGAAAGGCTTGTATTCCTTGTCGACAACGAAAGAGAAAGTGCGATGTAGAGTTTCCCTGTTCAATGTGTAGCAGATATGGATACAATTGTCGATACACAGATGTGCGTACTCCTACAATTCCCAATCTTCCTCCCGTTCGGACCATTCTTCCAGGTCTCGCCGAGATGCAGCATGAATTTGCACCGTCAACTACAAATCCTACAGATGGACGTCGAAGTATAGCGAATACTCAGCCATCATCCATATCGTCTCAGAATGTTGTCGAGCAGGGTATTCTTGATCCCCTGAAATCACGATACATGAGTCAACATTCTGCGGTTGCTTTTCCCAGAAGTCTTGGCGTGGAATTTCAATCTGCAAATCCTCCACCTCTCCATTCTTTTGCGTGGAATTGTGGAATCAGAGCTGAGGAAGCTGCATCTGCTCAAACCAATCTGACACATTTGGTTTCGTTTGATGAATTTAAGCGCTACTCGGATATATACATGGCAACGGTTCATCCACCATTTGGATTCCTAGATTGGCCATATTTCACGAAACGGTGTAATGATTATTGGTCTAATCAAGGAAAGGATTTGACATTTGGTGCTGTTGTTGGGGGAGTTGTAGCTTTGGGATCATTTTTTGCTTTTCGATTAGGTCATCCTCGAGAATTGGATATTGTTCAACATGTGAAAACGGTTCTTGAAGATCCTACATTTAGCCGCCATCCTTCAATTGACCAAATAAATGCATGGATCTTGCGGACTCTATATCTTCGTTCAACGACTAGACCTCATGTAGCATGGCTTGCTAGCTGTATCACGATACATTTGGCTGAAGCTACGGGCTTGCATCAAGAAGTCCATTCGGTACTCTTAGCTACGGAAGGAGATACACAAGCAAAGGGGATGGATGAAGCAGAGATTGAACGAGCAAGGAAAACCTTTTGGATGGCTTGGTCTGTTCACACAATCATATCATATGAATATGGAAGATCTGCAGTAATTCTCAACAGCATAACTTGCAAGCCTATCAAGGAAACCATAGGTGATAGTACTGCTATCCACATAAAAATTGCCCAATTAATTCCCCGCGACAACATGATCACCAGTTCAGAAACACATAAAGAAGAACTAATGAGCGCGTTAAAAGAATTGTCTCAAATTCAAGTCGAGCATCCTTTTCTCTCACTCTCCAAAGGCGACGTATGCTTTTGTTTCTACCGAAGATTACGAATCATGAAACACGTCCTAGAAAAAGAAACCATCCAATCCATCATCGAAATCGGCAACAAAGCCGCCGAAGCCGCCGACACATTTGCACGTAACGGACATCCATGGTGGAACATCCTCTCCACCACATTCCAATACTTCTGCGTACTCCTCGCAATCGACACCTCGGAAAGTCTCTCCAACGTCTCCTGGGTTCTGAATATCCTTGAAAATATCGTTAGGATTATGGATACGCATTTAGCGGTTGAAGCATTCGATACGGCGAAAGTATTGTTGAGAGATAGTATGGCGAAGAAGAGGAGGGATTTGGGTTTTTTGGAAAATGCCGATGGGCAGCATGGTCCGGAGTTGGAGGGTTTGGTCGATATTAATTGGGATGCTCTGCTGGATCCGACGTTTCCTGATGCTTTGATGAGTGAGGAGTTTTCGATTTATCATTCTTAGGTATTAGGTATATAGGTAGCTTGGGGATTTATTGTTAGGTTGGGTGGATGGATTGGGCATATCGATTTGACTGGTGGGTTGGAGGGATTTAAGTTTGTTGGTATAATTATTTAAGAGCTCTGGCAATTACTTATTATATACTATTGTGACGGAAACCCCTGCTTTCCTCCCACCCTTATTATATAAGAAACCTCAGGTACATTAACCATGTCCACACATGATACGATTACTCGAGATTAGTATACGATTTAGGTGACCTGAGGATCAGATCCGGACAAGTACTAGGTATCAATGGTTATCGGTAAAGTAAGATCATTGGAGGAATAAATATGACTTCTTTTTGCCTAGCCATTGCGGCTAGGCCATTCATTTGTGTATATATAGAGTAGCTATCCCCATCTACAGGTGCTCTTCACCTGTAGATTCTAAGTTAAATACAATTGCTGGTCTATAAACACCCTTTTGGTCACAACTATATGAATTTGTATTATAGTGAATGATTTTTATCTTTTTAAATCTTTATTATTTTTATCTAAAATTCAAAATTATTTATTATAATTTGTTGAAATTAAGGTCATTATGGGCCTAGAATTGAGGTCATATGACCATTATGGTGCACGGACCATAATTGGGAATATCTTCAATTCTACCATTACTGTAACTTAGATCCTTAGTTTTAACCTACATCTAATAATACTACTACTTCCAAACAACTCAGATTCAACATAATTTATATTTATATTTATATGAAAATAATTAATTCAAATTTAATAAAAATAAAATAGTATATTTTCAATTATTTTATTTCAAATTTATTATTAAAAGATTGGGTGGAAGAGGCCTCTATGTTACGTGACGGTTGTTATCCCACTAGTGGCTCACGTGCACTAGCCCTGTATATAAAGACCTTCTTACTTAGAATCTTCTTAGTTCTTTAGTTTTAGATTCTAAGTAATTGAATTGACTCCGTTTACGACTTTTCCGTCACACTCTATATTGACTATATTACTACGTCTGTAGGCATATTAATCTCCTCTTGGTATCCTCGGAGGGGACCAATATGCCTGCTTATGGTTCGTCTAATCTAGCCTGTTTAGGTAACCGTATTACTAATCACGACACGTGATTAGTACCGGTAACTTCTATTCCTTTTAACATTTATATATATTAAAGATTTAGAAGTTTAAGGAAAAAATTTATTTTTAGATAACTAGTATTATTGTGATATTTTTTGAATCTTGAAAAATATCAATAGTGATGTAAGACTTAATATTATTTTAATTCTAATAGATGGGGAAGAAAATAAATACAAAGGTCTCTACACAAGAAATTTTTAAGATATCCGATTGTTTGTTCATGTGACCAAAAGGGTGTTTATAGACCAGCAATTGTATTTAACTTAGAATCTACAGGTGAAGAGCACCTGTAGATGGGGATAGCTACTCTATATATACACAAATGAATGGCCTAGCCGCAATGGCTAGGCAAAAAGAAGTCATATTTATTCCTCCAATGATCTTACTTTACCGATAACCATTGATACCTAGTACTTGTCCGGATCTGATCCTCAGGTCACCTAAATCGCATACTAATCTCGAGTAATCGTATCATGTGTGGACATGGTTAATGTACCTGAGGTTTCTTATATAATAAAGGTGGGAGGAAAGCAGGGATTTCCGTCACAGTTCATCGTAAATTGATTAATAAAACGGCAACTCTATAATCCTCTATTATATTATCGACATGTTATTGTCTGAAAGATACAAGCTTTGAGCTTAATCGATTATAATGCGTAATCCTTAGGAGTGTAACCCCTAGCCCTGTAATACAGGTATGTATTGTACATCACCCTCCTCATTCTGTAGCTCGTAAATTTTAGCCATTGTAGAGACATTTTATCTATTAGAAGCCACCCATTATATTCGTATAGTCGTCGATATGCTGTTAGTAACATGCCTTCTCCACCTATCTTCAAACAATCGGATACAACTTTGTTTGCCGACTCTCCATTCTACGCCGCACTGTTGGTGATTTCAATCCCCAGCATAATTCAGCAGAAAACCCCTAAAAAATAATTCCTTTTCTCAGCAACCACGCCAAATAGAGGTCGAACTTCACACTAACATTACACC